CTCTCTCTGTCCCTCTTCCTTTGGGGTGTGACCAGCAGTGAACTTGACTTCCCCAGGCCTTGTACGACTGGGGTGAGCGGCGGGTTCTGGGTTTCCTTGGAGCTAGCTCATTCGGCTCACAGCCGGATCTGAGCCTGGCTTCTCCACCGAGACGTTCCCGGGGTGAGGCCGGGGGCGAGGTGGTTGGCTTCGTTTTCTGTGTGCCAATCGTGGACCCACTGCCAAGCCGAGGAGCAGGAAACGGAGGGGGTTGTGAAACCTCTCTCCACGGGGCCAGGCACGGTAAGCCACAGATCCTCTTCTTCCTGGGAGACACTCTTCCAGAGCCTCCCATCCGTCCTCCCGCTCCAAGCCATCTTTATTGCCTTAATCGTGATTCAAATGAAGACTATAAAGTACCAGGCAACCTGTGACCTGCTCAAATCTGTTCTCTCCCCTTAATAACTGTTAACGAAGAAAACAAACAAACAAAAATCCCACATTGAAACTAGTAAAGAATTGTAGGGAATTTATTTGAGCCAAACTGTCAACATATGCCGGGAAGCAGAACCTCAATGAATAGAGATAATGCTCCGAAGAATGGCAGGTAACACCTGTATTTATTTATTGAAATCAAAGGAGGGACATGGGTGGGTTACATGAAATCCATTGGTGATGGATTAAGGAGGTGGGACTGGATAAAAAGTAAAATGATGGACACAAGCTTAGGTGGGTGCAGAAACAATTAACAGGATGATGAAGGAATTTGTGGTATCTGTCCTGGCACCCACCACATTTGGTTGTGCCCCGGGGGCTCCAGAAAAAGGGAAGTTACAAGTTAACCAGACATCTCACAGATATGTAATCTTAGAGGAAAAAAGGCAAATGGGCTCAGTAAAGATCGAAGTCGATCTTTGACAGGGAAACTATCAGCCTAGGAATGACTGCCCACTATAACCTGTTTGTAGTTAAATATTTGATTTTCAGACCATCTTTGGTGGTTATTTTAGGTCTCTGAGTCTGCAAGACTGCCACAGAGGCCTCCCCTGAGTTTGTCAGGTTAGCATGTGGCTCCTTTTGTCCACAAACAAAACGTGGGTTTGGGTTCGTTCTGTAGTTGCCCAGAGAGAGGGGGACGGGGTGTGTGTGCGCTGTGGCCACGTTCTGGCTGCTGGCTGCAAGCAGAACTGCGTGTGGGGTTCCCAGGAATTCTCAAAAGGAGGAGGCTCCCCCTGCCTTTCTTCTTCCTCGTCCTGTTGCCCAAACTTGGATATGGCCGTGGCTGTGGCTGTCTGTCGGTACAGTGAGGAGGTCCAGGCAGCAAGAGCGAGGACGCTGTGGGCCTGGGAGGGCTGGCTTCCTGGCACGTGACTGAGCTGCCACCCCAGCCCCGAACTGCTAACCCGGAGGCTTCCGCCAGGGAGAGAAACAACTTTATCTCTGCCTTCTGCCACTGCTGTCTCGTTATCTGTCCCATAGAAACTCAGCCTCCAGCCCTCCTTCCCCGTCCTTTCTCCCCAGCCAGACTGCCCATCTACACCCCTTCCTGTCAAATGCGGGAGGGAAGCCAAGATTTTGACAGCAAGCTAAACATGCTCGCAAGGGGAAAATGATTTAGCTTTGGATTGGGGGCCAAAGAGCTTTAAAAAGATCTATCCTAACAACAAGGAAGTGGACAGCCCTAGATGGCTGATAGTCCACAACCAAAGTCCTGAATCTCACCCTCCGGGCCCGCCCCCTCGGTTTTCTTCCTCTCCCTCCCTGACTGGTCTCCCACACTGTCCGCCTGGCCGACACTAGCCACCTGAAATGTAACTCCCGGAATTGAGACAATCATCACACTTCTAAGACTCAGCATGAAAAAAAAAAGAATCTGAGATATCTCATTAATAGCTTTTCATACTGGTTGCATGCTGAAATCATGTTTTCGGTAGACCGAGTTAAGTAAAATACATTATTAAAATGTCACCTGTTTCTTTTTCCTTTCTCTGACGTAGCGACTTGAAAGTGTTCAATGACCTCTGGTATATACTGGCACAGTATGTTTCTATTGGACAGCAATGTCCTCTCAGGCTAAAAAAATATGGTGGGCATCTTTGTTGGTGTTTTTTTAAAATATATTTTTATTGATTTCAGAGAGAAAAGGGAAGGAGAGATAGAAACATCAATGATGAGAGAATTATTGATTGGCTGCCTCCTGCACGCCGCCACTGGGGATTGAGCCTGAAACCTGGACATAAGCCTGACCTGTAAATGGAACCGCGACCTCCTGGTTCATACGTAGGTCCATGCTTGACCACTGAGCCATGCTGGCCGGGCTGCAACCATCTTTGATTCCTTTCTCTCCATCGGCAAATTGTGTAGGCTCTGCCTTCAAAACTGGTCCATAATTCATCTTCTCACCACCTCCATTGGTCTACCCACTTTTCACACATACCAGTACATACCGGTACGCCTGTCTCCTGTACGTGTATTTGAAATAGCTTCCTCGCTGGTCTCTTTGCCTCCTTCCACACCAGACCTGACAGTTTCGTTAGCTACTAGAGGCCCGATGCAGGAAATCAGTGCAAGAGTAGGCCTTTCTTCCCTCTGCTGCCAGCACAGGCTTCCCTCTGGCACCCAGGCCCGGGCTTCCCTCCTGTGGGGTGTATCTTCCTTAAAACAAAGGAGTTCCATGAGGGCCGTGACTTTGTTTCCCCGCTGTGTTCCCAGTATCTCTGTGCCTGTCAAAGCCGAGGTTCTCAATAATTAGTCCTGGAATGAATTAATGAGCTGTGGGTTCCCAAAGTCTGTTTTGGACCGTCGAGCCCCTGTCAGAGACAAACATTTCGGCACCCTTCGATGTTAGCCCATTACTGCCCTCCGGCCTACAGGAATTCCACAGAGACCAAAGCAAGAACCTTCTCACACGCCAAACCTTTTGTCCGTTTTCTCACGAGCCTAGGTTATCCTCAAAAGACTCTGGAAGATGTGTTCCTTTTCCCTCTCGGTTCCCTAAAATCTCCCTGAGCACCTGGGCCACGTCCTGAACCTCTGGCCTAAAATACAGGGTGTCCCCAGCCAATGTACACACCTTCACAGCTGATGGCTCAATGCGGAAAGTGACATGTACTTTAATAAACACTGCCTTTATAATCCCTCAAAGTGTGTGCGTACATTTTGGGATCACCCTATGGTGCAGCTACCAGCAACAGGGATCGTTGATCTCACAGGACCTTGGGGCTTCAGGGCAGACCTGTGAGCACAGGCCCTGTGCACATTGGTTGCCATGTGGTTAGTTATCTGGCTGGGTGGGTGGTTACCTGGCCGTGTGGGTGGTTATCCGGGTGAGTGGTTACCTGGCCCTGTGGGTGGTTACCTGGCCGTGTGGGTGGTTACCTGGCCAGGTGGGTGGTTATCCGGGTGGGTGGTTACCTGGCTGGGTGGTTGGTTATCTGGCCGGGTGGGTGGTTACCTGGCTGGGTGGGTCGTTACCTGGCCGGGTGGTTGGTTATCTGGCCGGGTGGGTGGTTACCTGGCTGGGTGGGTGGATATCCGGGTGGGTGGTTACCTGGCTGGGTAGGTAGTTACCTGGCCGGGTGGTTGGTTACCTGGCCGGGTGGGTGGTTACCTGGCCCTGTGGTTGGTTACCTGGCCGGGTGGGTGGTTACCTGGCTGGGTGGGTGGTTACCTGGCCGGGTGGGTGACTGTCTGGCCCGCCCGCACCCCCTTAGTCCTGGGGCTGCATCATTGGGGAGATGGTCCCGTGTTGGAACCACAGATGGGGGACAGGTGACAGGGGCCGTAGCCAGGGCCCTCCTTTGAGACGCGGGGAAATCAAGGTTCAGACAACGCGGCCAAGTACACTTAGGCCGCGAAATAAATAAAAGTAACAGCGAAGACCCAAAACTCATGGCGGAACCGGCCCAGGAAGCCAGGTGGCTGGCCCCCACCACCCCGCCGGTCCCCACAGCGACAGGGCGGCCGTCGCCTGCCTCCTCCCCCCCCCCACCCCGCCCCGCGAGAAAAGAGAGGGCGGGCCGCCCCCGCCGCAGCCACCTCCCGCCCGGCCGCCGCGCCATGCTCTCGCGAGACCAGCGGCGCGGCGCCCCGGAAGTGGGCGAGGAAAGCGGTCCGCCGCCCCCCGGGGCCGCCGCACTAGAGGTCCGGGGGCCGGGGGACCGGCGGGAGGCGGCTTCCGGGAGGAGCTCCAGCCCCGCCCACCAATCCCGGCCCCGCCCACGGCGCTCGGGCCCCGCCCACCCGCTGGCCGCCCCGCCCCGTGCCCTTCACCGCGCCCGGCCCTGCCCGCCCGCCGCCGCTCCCTCCGGGCAGCCCGCCGCGCCGTCCCCTCCCGATCGCCCGCAGCGGCGGCCGCGCGTCCCCGCGGCGCACGTTCCGCCCGCTCCGTGTAAGTGCGAGGAACGCCGCGGCCCCCGGGCCGAGCCTCTTTCTATCTATAGCTCCGGCCGCCGCCCGGCCGCCGCAGCTGTTCCGGCGACACCTGCCCCCGGGCCCCTCTCCCCATTGGTGGCCGCCCACCCCGACCCTGGAACAGGCGATCTCCCACCTGCCCCGCGGAAGGACCCACCCTCCGCAGCGGTGCCGTCGGGAGCCTGGCAGCCGCTGGGCCTGGGGCTGGGGCTGTACTTCACCCCACCCACCTGCCTGATTCCAAAGCCGCTGCTTTGGGGGTTTTGTTTGTTTGTTTGTTTGTTTGTTTGTTTGTGGGGAGGGTTTTTGTTTTTTAATTGCAAGACTAGGAAACAGTAGTTTTGCTTCGGTTACACTGTGTTTCGAGTGTCTGAGTAACTGTCCATTTGCCTTCTCCGGGCTTATTCTAAGACTGGCCCTTTCTCTGTGCCCTGCGGGGGTTAAAACTACTTAGAACATGTAAGTGTGCCTGACAGCCTGGGAGGAGGGCCGAGCACGGCTGTTCTCTTGGTTTTGACGTGTGTGTCTGTGTGTTTGTCTCAGGGGCCACGCGTTGGGTTCCGGAGTTCTGATTCTGCAGAAAGACCTCCAGGCCTCCAGCGGCCGAAATGGATCCCAGTAAGCAGGTTCGGATTTTGCTTCTGAACGAAATGGAGAAGCTGGAAAAGACCCTCTTCCGAGTGGAGCAAGGTCAGTGGCCGGCCGTCGGATTCGCCGTGCGTCTTTGAGTTTTTCAGGTCGCTGTCACAGTCCGTTTTTTAAAACTTTAAGGGGATGTGACTTCCAAGGGCCCTTGGAACCCTGCTGAGGGCAGGGCCCGGGCTGTGTTCTGAGGTGTCAGTGATGAAAGTCGATTGTCGTTGGAAAGATTTTGTACCGGCGAGTCGGGACCGGGATAAAATAGCCCGTCTCTCTTGGCATGCTGACTTCCCCCTCGCACAGACGTGGGTACCGGTAAATTAATTGCTAGGTGATTTTCTTTTCTCCGCCTATAGCTGTAGTTTTGCTCACTTATAGGCTTTCGGGTCCCACCCTTTTCCTTTACTGGGATTTTTGAATTAGCAAAACAGATCCCTGCAAGAGGTGAACTGTTACTTATGTTTATCAAAAGCCTCTCCACAATGAAGAGGGGAAAAGTTGAAAATAACTCTTTGCCGAATAAGAAGTGGGTTCCGAGAGGTGAAATCCTTTGGAGCTTTTTAAAGGATCAAATTGTGTTCCTGTTAGACTAATGCAGCAGATGCTTTATTTTCATAGACTTTTCAATTGTCTGGCATCGAAAAGCATTTCGCATTCATTTCTGTTCACGTAATCTGTGAAGTGGAAGTTTCACGTGTGGGAAAGTAAAACGCAGCCCCTGTGTTCACATGCCCGCTGGACTCTGTTCCCGGTAAACATGTTGAAGGAATTTCCCCCTCAATATCTCCAGTTAAACGTCTGAAAAAAATCTCAGCCCTCCAATGCATTATGTCCGTGCCAAACCTTCTTCTTCTGCCTCTGGCATCACCGAGCACTCCTCCATTTCAGGCTTCCCTGACTCTGCACTTTTCTGGTTTTGTTTTTTTTTCCCTTCCCTCTAGAGCAAGCATGTCAAACTCATGGCCTGCAGGCCGCATGCAGCCCACAACGAACATTTCTGCAGCCCCGCCACCATAGTTGTATACAAGAAACATTCTGATAAAAACTTCCTATTAAAAATGTTCTCATTGCCGAAACCGGTTTGGCTCAGTGGATAGAGCGTCGGCTTGGGGACTGACGGGTCCCGGGTTCGATTCCCTCAAGGGCATGTACCTTGGTTGCGGGCACATCCCCAGTAGGGGGTGTGCAGGAGGCAGCTGATCGATGTTTCTTTCTCATCGATGTTTCTAACTCTCTATCTCTCTCCCTTCCTCTCTGTACAAAATCAATAAAATATATATATATATATTTTTTAAAAGGAAATACATAAAAAAGAAAAATTATTTTTAAAAAATGTTCTCATAAAAATTTAATATTGACAACATCCTGTTCTACGTAATTATTAGTAACGAGCTACAACTTTTGCTGATGGCTGATGGCTACAGCAGTGTCGTGTTCATGTCCCTTACGCGCCTCACGCGCAGGCACACCGGTTCTCCCCGCGAATCCCCACAGCGAATATGTCGGCATCCCGTCGCCATATCATTAGTCTCGGACTGACGTGGTTGGTGCACGCAACAGGAAGTATTTCGCTTTCGGAGAACGAGAGAAGTAGGTTTAATTGCGGGACACTTATTAATCTGTGCCGTTATTCCGTGTCTGGCAGGTGAATGTTCAAAAAAAAAAAAGCATTGATTTCTATTAAAAAGTTCTGTTATTCCGTGTGAACGATGACTCGTTTATTCCAGCCCTATGTATTCAGCACGTCTCTATCGGAGCAAACCGACGCGTCTACGGAAATGGCAGCGTTTGTTTTTGCGGCCCCGTCCCCGTAGACCTTGTCCATGGGGCCCGTGTGAGCCTCTGCGTGTGGCACGCTTGCTCTGGAGCGTTTGTCAGCTGGACGGTGCCTCCTGCGGTGCCCTGTTCTGTCCCCGTTTCGATGAGCCGTCTGTGTCTGCAGGGGTCCCGCTGGAGTTTCCCCTTCTGCCTCCGAGGGGCCACCCCTCAGGGCGCCTCCGGGAGCTGGCGGGTCTCAGGGAGAGGAGGGAGCCAGGCCGGCCTGGTTCTGCTCGCCGCTGCAGGACCGCGGGGAGCCACAGTCATTCTGAGCATCCATCTTCCCAGCTGTGCGGGGGAGGGACCCACCGCCCCCCCACGGGCTGCGTGTGAGGCTCCTGGCCAGTTGTGGATGGTTCCAGCTCCCGAGGCGATGGAAGGCGTTGGCAGCACCAAGCCTGTCTCTTCCGGCCGTGGTCCTCGGCCTCAGCCGGTGCTGGCGGCAGAAGGACCCTCGGGTGACTGCGCTGGGAGAGGTGGGGATCCCGGTCCACAGCCTCTGTTCTCCTCACCCCTCCTCTCACCTTCCCACGCTCCTGGCTGGCCGGTAGGGATGTCTCATTTTCCTAGACTCCCCGCTACTCTCTGAGGGTTTCCTCTCTTCAACTGCGATCTCCCTTTGAACCGGAGTTCCTTCGCTATTTCCCTGCTCGCCCGCCTGTGTCGCCTCCACATCCTGGACGTGCGTGCTGGAATCGTCTTCTAATCCGCTCTTCCCTCCTTACGCCGGCCTCTGGGACGTCCCCTTGCAGCGCCTCCGCCTGGCCCCCAGTCGGTCTGTCATGGTGTGCACCGGCCGGGGCCAGGCCCTCCCCAGGGCTTCCCTCATGCCCGCCCTGACACGGCCCCTCCTCGGGTTCCCCCACATCCAGTAAATGAACCCCTTTCCGACCCTCCCCCAGGGTACCCCCCTCCCCCCTGCCCGCTGGAGCCCGCCCCTCCGGGCAGTCACGGCTGTGGTTTCCGATGACACGGCGGGCGCTGAGCGATGGCGAGCTGAGCCCTGAAGCCGCATCTGAAAGCTTGTTGGTCTTAGAGTGTCCGGCGGAGAGAAGGTCTGAGGCTAGGGACAGGGTGACAAGCCCCCTGGACGGCGGTCAGCACGCCCCGGCTGCTTGATGGCTCACCCCCAGGCCAAGCAGCCAGCGCTGGAATCCTGGCCAGGCTTCTGACGGGCCTGGGAAGGGTATGAGAACCAGGACCGATTTCTCTAACGCTAGTGAAAACAGGTGACTTCACCCAGATGATCTAAAGGGGGGTGTATCTGCTCTGGCCGGGTGGCTCCGTGGATAGAGCACTGGCCTCTGGACTGTGAAGGGTCCCAGGTTCAATTCCCGTCAGGACACAGGCCCGAGTTTCGGGCTCCATCCCCAGGAGGGGGCGTGCAGGAAGCAGCCGAGCTCTCATCGTTGATGTTTCTATCTTTCCCTATCGTTTCCTCTCTGAAATAAAATAAATAAAACTAAATGGGGATCCAGCCAATGTCTTTATGCAGTCACGATGGGATCCTGTTATTTTAGAAGGTAGTTGTGATGTGGAAAATGGGGAGCAGGGGCAGGGGACAGAGGAAATCATCCAGCAAGCTGTTTTGGGTTTTTTTTGGTTTTGTTTTTTTTAAATATATTTAATTGATTTTCTACAGAGAGGAAGGGAGAGAGATAGAGAGTTAGAAACATCGATGAAAGAGAGTCATCGGTCAGCTGCCCCCTACCCACCCCCTACTAGGGGTATGCCTGCAACCAAGGTACATGCCCTTGACCGGAACCGAACCCGGGACCTTTCAGTCCCCAAGCTGATGCTCTATCCATTGAGTCAAACCGGTCCCGGCCAGCAAGCTGTTTTAAAAGCACGCCCAGTTAAAGAGGAGGACCTTCCTGCATCCGAGTGGAAAGAAGGGCCGGAGCAGGAGACACGTTAAGAGGCTTAGGCCTTGGCAACCAGTCCGCTGTGGAGAAGAAAAACGCGGCACTTTCTGGTCCTTTCCTATGTAATGGGTCCCCACACCTTCCTCCTTTTCCTCTCCCTTTCACGTTTCCCTAACAAAGGAGGCCAAGGCCAAGGCCAAATAATTACCCTCTCTAGCCAGGTCCCGGCCTTCCCCGTCTTTCCTATCTCACCGAGCGGCGGCACAGAACAGTGAGCAAAACCAGGGCTCCCGCCTGCAGTCCCCGTCCCTCTGAGGCCGGCCAGGGCTCGGCGCTGGCTGTGTGCACCGAGTGTGACCGAGGAGGGCGGCCAGAGTGCGGCCTGAGACAGTCTCATGTGCGGCTGTGACCCGGCTGATTTTAGCCAGCGAGCCGGCGGTTCTGGAGTCTGATCGCCCCGGCCTCTGGCGCTTCATGTGCTGTCTGTGAGGAGTCAGTCCCGGGCGCCACGGCCTGTGCACCTTGTGGGGATGCGCCGATCTGTCCGTAGGGATATAGAAAGAAACTATACATTCACCTTTCTTTTTCTTTTTTGTTTTTTCCCCTCTCTCTCTCTCTCCTCATACCTACCTAGCTAAGTGGTTTTTTAATATATTTTTTTATTGGTTTCAGAGAGGAAGAAAGAGGGGGAAAGAGAGAAACATCAGTGATGAGAGAGAATCACTGACCAGGTGCCTCCTGCACGCCCCCCACTGGGGATCGAGCTCCCCAACCCGGGCCTTGCCCTGACCCGGAATCAAACCAGCAGCCTCCGGTAGCTGGGACAAGCCCACACCGGCCAGGGCGCAGGCCACACACTTTCTTTTTTTTTTTTTTTTTTTTTTTTTTTAAATATATATTTTATTGATTTTGTACAGAGAGGAAGGGAGAGAGATAGAGAGTTAGAAACATCGATGAGAGAGAGTCATCGATCAGCTGCCTCTTGCACACCCCCTACTGGGGATATGCCCGCAACCAAGGTACATGCCCTTGACCGGAATCGAACCCGGGACCTTTCAGTCCTTAAGCCGACGCTCTATCCATTGAGCCAAACCGGTTTTGGCTGGCCACACACTTTCTGTTGCAGCTACTCCGCTCTGCCCCTGAGCCTGGAACGCAGCCACAGCCACGTCCACGGGTGGACGGCGTGGCTGGGGTCCGGTCAGACTCACAGACACAGGTGGCGGGTAGGCTGACATGTGCCGGCCCATGCCGTGTGGTGAGAGCATTTGAATGTGTAAGTTAGTAACACATCTATCAAAAGGTTTGGTCCATAGAAAGGAGCGTCTTCCCACTTTAAAAAGTTGGTAAAATGTTCTAGTCTGCTTACAACTTCAGTTGCTTTTCACACCATCTGTTTAAGATATAACTGCAGCCTGCCTTCTGATGAGTTTGTAGAGGCAATGGGTGCGTCTCAGGGAAATACACAGATTTACCAGCTCCTTCCAACAAAAGCCTGCCCCGCGGGTGGACAGGACCGAAGGGACTGTCCGGGAGAGGACGCAGAGCTGCCAGGGGCGTCTGCCTGTGGACGTGGGCACCTTTGGGGCATTTTTCCGAATCTGAGGCCAATCAACCAAGTATCCAAATGGACAGAACTGGGAATCTGTAAAGTGCTTTGTCAAAAGAAGTTTAAAATGAATGAAATTTACTTAACCACCTTTCTTCCATATTAACTTTAGGATCCATATTAACTTTCAGTGGCAGCTCAGACTTTCCCATCCGCTCATAAATAAAATGAGGGTTGTTTGTTTGTTTGTTTAGATTCATAAGCTGGGTGCTGGGTGGAGGCTGTCACTCTGATGCAGGGACAGTCAACATCCATAAAATGAGTTCTTTAAAATATCGTTCATTTGCATCTCACCCTTATCTTGCTGTCTCATCATTTACATAATCTATGAACTCATCAAACATAGATTTTCATGTATGTTACATGGAAAACTAAATATTTCGTGTTTAGAGCGTGCTTTTCTGGAGTCAGACCGTGGATCCAGACACTGCGTTAGCGTGTCCGGGTGCCTTAACCTTTGTGCCCGAGTCCCTGTGTCATCATCGGAGCGCTGTTTGCACAGGCTGCAGGGACAGGCTGTGTAAACCGGCCCAGACCGCCCGTGTCCGCACCGGGCACACGCTCCGAGACCGCCGTTTCCTCCGGAGGAATGGGTCCCTCCCGCAGGCCGTAGCTATGTCAGAGTCACAGCCACCGACTATTGAAACTTCAGATTTCAGTTCTTTTTTAAAAATATATTTTATTAATTTTTCACAGGGAGGAAGGGAAAAAAATAGAGAGTTAAAAACATCGATGAGAGAGAAATATCGATCAGCTGTCTTTTGCACACCACCTACTGGGGATGTGCCCGCAAGCATGGTACATGCCCTTGACCGGAATCGAACCTGGGACCCTTGAGTCCGCAGTCCGACGCTCTATCCACTGAGCCAAACCGGGTAGGGCCAGGTTTAGTTCTTCAGACAGTTACTTCCTCATAAGCGTCGAGTAGGAAGGCGTAGGGAAGCACCCGGAGGAGCGGGATGCAGCAGGGATTAGCTGGAACCGTTCTCGTGGCTCAGAGAGCTGATGGCGCTTTGTCCCCGGTCAGGGATGGCGGGCTGGTGGCTTGAGAGGGCCGTGTTGGACGGGTGACACCAGGAGGTCAGCACACACTGCAAACCAGAGCCCCTCGTCACCCCACTGCCGCCCCCTGCCCCCACCCCAGCCGCTTCCTCACTTCCAACCCTCTGTCCCCGCTCCCCCCTGGCTTGGAGTGACATCAACAGGTATCGGGGGCTCAGATGCCTCTACACCCCTGTTTGAGCCCCACTTCTGCCTCTCCAGAGGGGCTCCTCTCCGGAAGGCCGGCTTTCTCCGGATGGTGAGACAGCTGTGCCACACCCCCCCTCCCCCCCCCATTTACATGTGCCGTAACCTCTGACCCCCAGACACGCACTTCTCCACTGCCGTGTGAGGAAGACCAGCCAGGGTCTCAGGTTGCCTCCCTGTTGGGCAGTCAGGTCCAGGCTGGGGCGGTCTAGCCAGCGGGTTGGAAGGGGCTGGGGGATGGTGTGAGGTGGGGTCACATAAGAACTCGCATCCCCCAGTGTAGCCATGCACACAGGATCCGTGTCCAGGCGGGGCAGGGCGGTGCGGACAGTTCTCCCCGCGCTGCTGCTGACCGGGAAATGCCCTGCGTCGGAGGCGGTGTTCCGTGGAGCAGAGCAGAGGGCGCGGCCTTGTGACACTTGCACTGAAAGCTCCCTCGCGTCGATGCGGCCCTTCAGGTCCTGCCACGATGTGCTTTTCGTTCAGGGTTCGAGCTGCAGTTCCGGTTGGGCCCCACGCTGCAGGGAAAGGCCGTGAACGTGCACACCAACTACCCGCTCCCCGGACAAGCCTTCCGCCGGGACCAGTTCCGCCCCCTGGAGTGGCAGCATCCGTCGGGCAGAGAGGACGACTCGGACAAGCACTGTGCCCTTCACCTCCAGCAGGCGGGCTCCTTCCACTACTACTTCCTGGAAGGGTGAGCCGGGGCCGGGGAGAAAGGGAACCCACACACTCTCCCTTTAAATGTGTGAGGAGCCGCCTTCGTAACCGCAGCTTCCACAGAGATGTCCTGAGACGCAAATGGAAAATGGCTCTTCTGTTATAGAAAGGGATTGGAAGGCTCCTTGCAGAGTCAAAGTGTTATTATTTTGTTTTAAACTGTGTGTTGTTGTTTTTTTGGTTTTTTTTTTTTTTTTTACTGATTGGAGAGAGAGAGAACGGAGAGGGAGAGAGAGAAACATCAATGTGAGAGAAACGTGGATCGCCTGCCTCCTGCACGCCCCCTACTGGGGATGGAGCCCACAACCCGGGCCTGAGCCCTGATTGGGAATCGAACCACCAACATCTCAGTGCATGGGATGATGCTCAACCAACTGAGCCACCCCAGCCATGCATTATTATTATTTTTTTAAAATAACAGCTTAAATACTCTAGGCCCGTGGTCTGCAAACTGTGGCTTGCAAGCCACATGCAGCTTACAAAATACCCCGGCTGAGCGAGTCTATGTTGAAGAAGTGGCGTTAGAAGGAGTTGTTTAAAAAATTGGCTCTCTATAGAAATTTCCGTCGTCGTACTGTTGACATTTGGCTCTGCTGGCTAATGAGTTTGCCGACCACTGGGCTAGACTTTCCGTACAACCTGATGATGGGATGCTACTTGCCCCAGGGCCCTTGTTGTTACGGAAAGGTTTAAGACACTTTTTTTTTTTTTTTCTTTAAGCAACATTATTGGACACATATTATGTAAAGATTGGGAAAGGATAGAACTGGCTTTTTGTTGAGTTTTATCACAACTTTTCCAGTGGTTCTATGTGCTCAGAGATAGCCTGCTACCTGGGACAAGGCACCTCCCGCTGGAGGGTCAGACTGGGAAATGAAGATCCCCTCTCTGGCTGAGCGTCCTCACGTGTCTCCTTCCCGCAGGAATGAGAAGAGCGGTGGGGGGTACATCGTTGTGGACCCCATTTTACGGGTCGGTGCCGATGACCGGCTGCTACCCCTGGACTGCGTCACCCTGCAGACCTTCCTCGCCAAGTGTCTGGGGCCCCTGGACGAGTGGGAGAGCCGGCTGCGGGTGGCGAAGGAAGCAGGTACGGTCCACGTTCTTCCTTTCCTGCTGTTTAACGATAAGCGTAGTCATTGTCTGTGACACAGACCTCTCGGACTCAGGTTCCCCTCTTCATGGTGTTTCTTAGAATGTTTAGTAAGACAAAGAGGTGGGACTAAGGCGATTGTTGATGCGTGACCGTTTTTTAATGCATAAAACTGACAAATCGTATGGTTCAACCTAAATGGAGGGAGTCCGTGATGAAGTATTGTTCCTAAGACTTTCCTTAGACATATAAAGATGAGAGGTACAGTATTAAGATGTGTTGGGAAGTGCATTATCATTACCTATAACTTTAATTCGACAGATACCGTATTAACTGCCTTCCGTGTGGAAGACCTGTATGGAAGGAAGGCTGTCATATATACATGCAAGAGTAAAATGAAATTTAAGTTGTGTCTTACCCTTCAATAAGAGGCCATATTAATGTTCTGCTTCCAAGCTGAATGTGGTGTGAAGAAATAAATGAGAAGTTCACTGTCATAACTAACACAAAATACAAGTATCGTGGAGCATTAAAAGTAGGAGAAAGATAGGCTGATAAACTTGCCTGGGATGTATTTTCTACAGGTAAATCTATCCATTCAACAAATAAAAATCAAGCCCTTAATAGTAACTAGTCTTTAATAGAAACTAAATTTTTTTCACATACATCATCTCCTTATCTCCGTCTTGGGTATGAAGCCACTGGAAGACTTAAGTGGACTTGCTTGAATTGACCTGTGGTGGAGCTTGGATTTGAACCCAAGCATTTGTCTCCTTCCTGGTACCACGGTCGCCTTCCGGTTTGGAATTCCTCCGGGACGTTGTATTTGGCTCAGTTTTCAGTGTTGTTTTCCTTTTCGGTGATCTCTGTTTATTTTCTTGTGCTGCAGGTTACAACATGATTCATCTCACGCCGTTGCAGGCCCTCGGAGAGTCGCGCTCATGCTACTCCCTTGCTCACCAGCTGCAACTAAACCCTGACTTCTCAAGACCCAATAAAAAGTACACCTGGGATGACGTCGGGCAGCTGGTGCAAAAGCTGAAAAGGGAGTGGGGCATGCTTTGCATTACCGACGTTGTCTACAATCACACCGGTATGAGCTCCGTTAATTGCTGTGTGTTTTGACGAAAATATGTTCTAATTACTGGTATCTAATTCCTGGCCGTTTTGTATAACATTGGAAGCACAGTGATGCTTGGGTATCCTTCCCTTTAAAAACCCCCTTATATAATATCATTTTTTCTTTAAAAGAAAACTGAAGTATTGGTTGAATGTACACTGAGTGGCCAGATTATGATGACCTCTGAACGCATAATAATCTGGCCACTCAGTGTGTGTGTGTGTGTGTGTGTGTGTGTGTGTGTGTGTGTGTGTAATATATTAGAGGCCTGATGCATGAATTCGTGCATGGGTGGAGTCCCCAGGGGGAGGGGACATGGGTGGTTGTCCAGCCTGCCTGCTAGTCAAACTCCTGGTTGAGGGGACAATTTGCATGTTAGCCTTTTATTCTATAGGATATACACAGAGCGGCCAGATGATTCTGCGTTCAGAGATCATCATCATCTGGCCACTCCGTGTATAATCAGGATGTAAGTATTTGGGTGTAAACCAAGGAAGGGTATTGTGTAAATCAAGCAGGGACTGATCGGGAAAGGCAGGCGCAGGGGCTGGAAGGGATGAAGATGAGAGGGCAACAGGAAGGTTCGGAGGGTGGTGTACCCTGGGCTGGGGGCCTGGAGCAGCAGGATGCAGAGTGTGGGGAAAAGGGGGAGGCAGCAGATGCGGAATGGACTTTCAGGACATTTGTTTTTGATACGAAGAAACTGCGCAGACGTTCAAGAAAGAGCTGCTTAGACAGGATGTGTGCTTGTCTGTAGTCTCAGCTTTTGGGGGATACGAGCGTATTTAAAGATGCAGAGGAAGGAACCTCACCCTCCCCTCCCATTCCCCCCAAAAACACCCAGGGAGACATGAGTCTGTAGGAGACTCCTAAAGTTAAGGTAAGAGAGAGAGCCCGGAGCTTAGATGGGATGGAGAAGGGCCCTGTCACTCAGGAGCCGAGGAGGAGGAGGGGGGAAATACATGGGAAAGGGCTCTTCTCCCACCTTGGACCTCACAGCCAGACCCGGGGCAGCCCGTGGCGTCCTATCTGCTCTCCTTAAAAATCCTACAACAGCCCTAACCAGTTTGGCTCAGTGGATAGAGCGTCGGCCTGCAGACTGAAGGGTCCCAGGTTCGATTCTGGTCAAGGGCACGTACCTTGGTTGCAGGCATATTCCCAGGGGCGGGTATGCAGGAGGCAGTTGATGGATGTTTCTCTCTCATCGATGTTTCTAACTCTCTATCCCTTTCCCTTCCTCTCTATAAAAAAATCAATAGAATATATATATATATTTTTTTTAAATCCTACCACAGAAAAGCACCGTGGACGGTGAAGGAGGGGGGTGGGGTATATATCGCAGACACGCGTGTGTTCCCAGCTCAGCGACAGCATCAAGCACCGATGCCTCCGGTCAGGCAGCGAGTGGTCGAGGGCGACGCCGTATTTCACTTTTCACTCGGCGCGGCTGCGAACCCCGGGCCGCGACAAGCTCTCCCCTTGCGTTTCCCCCTCCCGAAGCCGCCAACAGCCAGTGGCTCCAGCAGCACCCGGAGAGCGCCTACAACCTGGCCAACTCGCCGCACCTGAAGCCCGCCTGGGTGCTGGACCGCGCCCTGTGGCACCTGTCCTGCGACGTGGCCGCCGGCAGACACCAGGACCGCGGCGTGCCCGCGCTCATCGAAAACGACCACCACATGCATGTCAGTATGGACGGGGGGGGGGCCCACATACCACACGCGTGGCTGGACGTGTCATGGAGAGGCGTCACACGCGTGCACCTGTGTCCCCCCGTGTCCGCTCTCCAGTGCCTCCGGACGGTCATCTGGGAGGACGTCTTCCCCAGGACGCGGCTCTGGGAGTTCTTCCAGGTGGACGTGGGCAGCGCCGTCCGGCAGTTCCGGGGACGCCTGGCCCACGGTACGGAGCGCCCACTTCCTTCCCGCGCTAACCCTGTCCTAGACGTGTGGTAGGTGGCATCTGTGCTGTTTTGATCGACTGTGAGGCTCTGCTTTCGGAAGCTCTGACCGAAGGGCGGGTCGCAGCCTAAGTCACCTCGCGCTTGCCTCGGGGGACTGTGTCTGCCCCTTGGCTCCTTAGCCGCCTGAGGGTGGCTCTTCCACAAAACGCCTCGGCCCAGGCGAGTCTGTGTTGAAGAAGTGGCGTTAGAAGAAGTTTACGTTTAAGAAACGTGGCTCTCAAAAAAAAAAATGCCAATCGTTGTCCTATTGATGTTTGGCTCCGTGGACTAATGAGTTCGCCGACCGCTGCCTTCATATGATGCTCGGAGCATAGTAACTATGTTCTAGATTTTGAGAAACTATATTTTATCGTATTTTGTTTGCACTTTTGTAAACCATTTTTCTTTTCTTTTTTTAATATGTTTTTATTGATTTCAGAGGAGAAGGAGAGGGAGAGAGAGAGATGGAAACAATCAATGATGAGAGAGAATCGTGGATCAGCTGCCTCCTGCATGCCCCACACGGGGGATTGAGCCCGCAAACCCGGGCCTGTGCCCCGACCAGAAATCAAACCCTGACCTCCTGGTTCCTAAGTCGATGCTCAGCCCCTGAGCCACGCCGGCCTGGCTAAACGCCATTTCTGCGTCCCTTTAGAATAAGCCAGGTATTAGTTAGTTAATGTAAAATCAAGCCCCGGGGAGCAATCTCACGCCAACACCTGATGGATCAAGAACACGTCCTGGAAAAGGAATGAAAAGCCGCCCCCAGAACACCTGTTTACTTTATACGTTTTTCTCGTTCTATAAGGGATGTGCTTGTTCGGAGAAAAGTATAAAAATAGGCGAAGGAAGTCAGGTGGCCAGTGAGACGGCCTGTAGCACAGAGCAGTCTTGGGGGGGGAGGGGGGAGAGGGCCTGGGGTCGGTGTGTTTGCTCTGGAAAAAATGTACAGAATGAGTGGGTGCTGACGGAGGCGGGAGGGGGGTCGGGGTTTGGGCTGACAGGAATCCCTGTGTTTCTTCTTCCATGATGTTCTTTTCTCCCGACCTCTCTTTCTCTCTCTGTCTCCTTCCCTCTGCGTGTGCATGTGTGTGCATGTGTGTGGGGTGGTGTGCAGGAGGTTGGAAGGAGGACAAGAAGGACGATTGTGAAACAAACGTTGGTTTTATTGTCTGTAAAAATCAACACAAACTAAAAGTTTTAGTCAGCAAGAGTTCGTCTCCGCGTGGGTGTTTGCATCAGGATGACGTCGCCCGCCCTTTCTCCCTCAGGAAAGAGGGAGGCGGCGAGCCCCCCGGATGCCCAGCGGCACCTGGAGATCCTCCAGGACCCCGAGTACCGGCGGCTGAGCTGTGCTGTGGACATGGACCTCGCCCTGGCCACCTTCATCCCCCGCAAGTATGTCGTGTGTTCTGTGCAACAGAGAATAAGCCCCAGCCCTGGCCGGCGTGGCCGAAGGGTCCCGGGTTCAACGCCGGTCAAGGGCATGGACCTGGGTTGCAGGCTCCTCCACAGCCTGGGCCCTGGTCAGGGTGCGTGAAGGAGGTAAACAATGGATGTGTTTCTCTCACATCAATATTTCTCTGTCTTTCCCTGTCTCTTCCATTCTCTCTAAGAATGAATGGAAAAATATCCTTGGGTGAATATTAAAAAATAATAAGAATATGCTCTGGTTTCTCTTCAGACCGCATAAATCTTTTTCGCCTTTTAAAAAATAATAAGAATAATAAGATCACTTCCAAACCTTTAGTGCTAGTATTGTTTCCATACTATTTGTTCTGAGTTTGAAGAGAAATGAAATAAAGAAATTCAGGACATTCCCCCTTTTCCACGTGCCGGTCTCTGCTCCCGTGGGGGGTGCGAACACTGGTACAACTGGAAAACTCCTTCGGCCGTAGTGAAGACCCTGATGAATGTGTTTAAAGAATCTACGACCGCCCTAACCGGTGTGGCTCAGTGGATAGAGCGTCAGCCTGCGGACTGAAAGGTCCCAGGTTCGATTCCACTCAAGGACATGCACCTTAGTTGAGGAGGCAGCTGATCAATGTTTCTAACTCTCTATCCTTCTCCCTTCCTCTCTGTAAAAAATCAATAAGATATATTTTTTTAAAAAAGAAAGAAAGAAAGAATCTATGACCCTTGGTAGAAATTGCCTTTTCATTTCATTAAAATAATTATTTTTTACTTTAAATAATACTGTATTTTCCAATTACAGTTCACATACAGCCTTACATTAACCTCAGGTGTGCAACCCCACAATTCGATATACGGTATTTATTTTTATAAGTATTCACCAACTCTTTTTATATATATATATATATATATATATATATATATATATATATATATATCTTATTAATTTTTTACAGAGAGGAAGAGAGAGGGATAGAGAGCTAGAAACATCGATGAGAGAGAAACATCCATCAGCTGCCTCCTGCACATTCCCCACTGGGGATGTGCCCGCAACCAAGGTACATGCCCTTGACCGGAATCGAACCGCGGACCTTTCAGTCCTCAGGCCGACGCTCTAGCCACTGAGCCACACCGGCCAGGGCCCCCACGATTCGATATTGATACAGCTCACTGCGCGGTCCCCCTGATAGCTCCAGCCGCCGCGGGGCCCACACACGGTCCTGCAGGGCTACTGACGGCATCCCCCATGCCGCGCTCCCCATCCCCGGGACGACCGGCAACGCCAGCCTGCACCTCTCCATCCCCTCGCCGGTCACCACCCCCGAACATCGCTCAGCGCGGGCCGCGTGACCGTGAACGAACAGCCTGTGCCGCTCTCTCCCTCCAGCGACGGGCCGGCCGCCCTGGACGAGTGCTGCGGCTGGTTCCGGAAGAGACTGGAGGAGTTAAACGCGGAGAAGCGCCAGCTCATCCACTCCCACCAGGAGCAGGTCTGGCCCGGGCGCCGCCCGCCGTCTCCTCCGACCCGCAGATCCGGCTGCTGCGGTCGTGGCTGCGGCGCTGACGCCGTGTCCTGTCTGTCTTCCAGGCCGTGAACTGCATCCTGGGCAACGTGCTCTACGAACGCCTGGCCGGCCACGGCCCCAAGCTCGGACCCATCACCAGGAAAGACCCCTTGGTCACCAGGTGGGGAGGGCTCCGTGCTCCGGGCCAGCCCCCGCCTCTCCTGGGGCGGCTCCCGTGGGCTCACCGCCGTCTGTCCGTCCGTCCGTCCTGTCGCCCAGGTACTTCACGTTCCCTTTTGAGGAGTCCAGCGTGTCCGCGGAGGAGGCCCTGGCGCACCTGCCCCAGAAGGCGTGCTTCCTGATGGCACACAACGGCTGGGTCATGGGCGACGACCCGCTCCGGAACTTCGCCGAGCCGGGTGCGTGGGCCCTTCCCACCGCGCTCAGGCGGGCGCAAGGCAGGGACCGTTCCTCCCGGGGCTGTGGTTTATAAACGGTTCCATCAGAGGGGCCCGAGGGCAGAGGGTTGGAGGGGAAAGGACGATAAGAAGGATGGATTCGGCTACCCCCTCCTGCCCCGCCCCTGCTGGCCCCTGGGATTGTGCATAAGGCTGTATTTTTGCAAAACATGTGCGCCATAGCATTCTAAAGAGGCATTTGGGACCACAGCGGTCACAGCGTGTCGCCCTAGGACCGTGGTCGGCAAACCGAGGCCCGAGAGCCACCCGCGGCTCTTCGGCCCCCTGAGGGTGGCTCTTCCACAGAACACCCCGGCCCGGGCCAGTCTGTGTTGAAGAAATGGCGTTAGAAGAAGTTTACGTTTAAAAAAATGTGGCTCTCCAAAGACATGTCAATCGTTGACATTTGGCTCTGGTGTCTAAGGAATTTGTCGACCACGGTCCTATGGAGCCGTGGTTCCCTTCGGACGCCTCGGTCACTGACGGCACGCTTCCCGCCCCCTCCCCCAGGGTCCAACGTGTACCTGCGGAGGGAGCTGATCTGCTGGGGGGACAGCGTGAAGCTGCGCTACGGGCAGACGCCGGAGGACTGCCCGTACCTCTGGGCCCACATGAGGAAGTACACGGAGATCACCGCCACCCACTTCCAGGGCGTGCGGCTGGACAACTGCCACTCCACGCCCATCCACGTGGCCGAGGTACCAGGCGGCCGTCCCCACCGGCGAGAGGCCCGCGTCCTCTCCCGTCGGCCCGGCTCCCCGGACAGCGTGCCGTGCGCTCCGGTGCCGCCGGGATCTGCTGGTTGTAGTTAAAACCTCTGCACAACTTGCATAATCCTTTATTCTTTTTCTTTTGGTTCATCCTCGCCCAAGGGTATTTTTTTCATTGATTTTTCGGGCGAGTGGAAGAGAGAGGGGGAGACAGAGAGAAACATCAATGTGTGAGGGAGACACCTCAGGTGGTTGCCTCCTGCACATGCCTTGGCCGGGACCTGGGCTGGGGTGGAGCCTGCATCCAACTGGGTCCTTGACTGGATTCGAACCAGGGTCCCTCTGCTCAGCAGGCCAACGCTCTATCCACTGAGCCAAACCGGTCAGGGCTCTTTCTCTTTATATAGTCTCTGCTTATTGGGTTTACCGGTCTGTTTTTTTTGTTGTTGTTGTTGTTGTTTTCTTTTATTTTGTTTTAAATATATTTTGTTGATTTTTCTTACAGAGAGGAAGGGAGAGAGATAGAGAGCTAGAAACGTCGATGAGAGAGAAACATCGGCCAGCTGCCTCTTGCACACCCCGTACCGGGGATGCGCCCGCAACCAATGTACATGCCCTTGACCGGAATCGAACCCGGGACCTTTCAGTCCGCAGGCCGACGCTCTGCCGCTGAGCCACACCGGTTTCGGCCACCGGTCTGATTTACTTTATTTTTTCACACACGCACACACACACGTTAAGTGTATTTGGAAATGCCTCCTGGAGCCCCAGGTTGTCTTGCAACATGGTCTGTTCCTGTCCGGTCCGAGCGCAGGCTCGCCCCTCCGCCCTCCGCCTCCGCGTCTTCTCTCCGGTGACGTTTCTCTCCGCCCTCTGCAGTACATGCTGGACGCCGCCCGGAGGCTGCAGCCCAACCTGTACGTGGTGGCGGAGCTGTTCACCGGCAGCGAGGAGCTGGACAACATCTTCGTCACCAGGCTGGGCATCAGCTCCCTGATCCGAGGTGGGCGCGGGCCTGGGCGCCCGCTCTCAGTACAGCTCAGTGCTCTCCGCCAGCGCGCGCCCGTCCGCTTAAATGTCTACGCAAAATCCCCCACGCAGCTCAGTCCGGGTTTGTTTTGTTTTCAGTAAAAATTTCCACTGTGCAGAAAAAATACTTTATCTTTTACTATGTATTAGTTGATTTTATCTACCAACTGCCTTCTGCACACCTCCTCCTGAGGTTCCAAGCCCACAACCCTGGCACTTGGCCTGATTGGGAACCGAACCATGACCTCCTGGTTCTTGGGTTGATAGTCAACCATTGAGCCACACTGGCCGGGCAGTAAAATATTTTAAATGGAGAGAGCACGGCAATGCATCGATGACTCCTGAGCAAAAGCATTTTGTTGTTGTTGAAAATATACAAATCTGTTTTTTCCTCTTTTTAAAAAAAATATATATTTTATTGATTTTCCACAGACAGGAAGGGAGAGGGATAGAGAGCTAGAAACGTCGATGAGAGAAAAACATCAACCAGCCGCCTCCTGCACATCCCCGGTGTACATGCAACCAATGTGCATGCCCCTGACCGGAATCGAGTCCGGGACCTCTCAGTCTGCAGACCGATGCTCTATCCACTGAGCCAAACCAGTTTCAGCTGTTTTTTCCTCTTGACTGCCGAGATACATGATAGAATCCTTAGACTTTTCTCTAACCAGCATCCTGCTAAACAGTACTCGCTCCCTTTTATCTCCATGAGCCGTTTTCCCAGTGAAGTGATCGAGAAGACACATTTTTGGTCACTTAAGCTAGTGGACATTTGTTTAAATGTGTAAAGCCGTTTTTAAAAATATATATACTTTTACTGATTCCAGGGAGAGGAAAGGAGAAGGGGAGAGAGAGAGAGAGAAACATCCGTGATGAGAGAGAATTATGGATCGGCCGCCTCCTGCATGCCCCACACGGGATCAAGCCTGCCCCCCCGGGCACGTGCCCTGACCGAGAATCGAACCTGGGCCCCTTCAGTCCGCAGGCCACCCCAGCGAGGGCTAACGCAGCTCTGCTGTTGGTGATGCGTACGCGGCTTCCTCGGAAGGCCAGGCACGTGGGCACCTCGCCCCGGACGCCCGCAGCGAAGGTTAAAGGGCCCCTCTCGCTTTGCAGAGGCCATGAGCGCGCACAACAGCCACGAGGAGGGCCGGCTGGTCTACCGCTACGGCGGCAAGCCCGTGGGCTCCTTCGTGCAGCCCTGCCTGCGGCCCCTGATGCCGGCCATCGCCCACGCCCTGTTCATGGACATCACCCACGACAACGAGTGCCCCATTGTGGTGAGCGCCCGCCGGCCCGCCCGCCCGCCCGCAGCTCTGACATTTAGAGGCGGGAACGTCCACGGGCTCCAGAGGCGAGCTCGCTTCCTCCGTGACGGCCGGACGGCGGGCTGAGAAGGGCTGCGGTTTGTCCTAAAGCAGAGGGGTGCATCCCGTAGATCGTGTGTTCCTGCAGCGATCCTTCTCCTTCCCGACGCCGCCCGATGGCTCCTTGCACTGGAAGGAACGTGAACTCCGGGGTGTTTTTGTCTGTCTGTGTGTCTTCCAGCACAGATCCGCCTACGACGCCCTCCCGAGCGCCACGATCGTCTCCATGGCGTGCTGTGCGAGCGGGAGCACCCGCGGCTACGACGAGCTGGTGCCGCACCAGGTTTGTCTGTGTGCTGTCTTCAGACCCACGTGGCCCGGCCGGTGTGGCGCCGTGGTGGAGTGTGGATCCATGTACCGGGAGGTCACCGGTTTGATTCCCAGTCAGGGTACATGCCCTGGGTGGTGGGCTCGATCCCCAGTAGGGGGCGTGCAGGAGGCAGCATATCAATGACTCTCATTATTGATGTTGCTCTCCCTCTCCTCTCCCTCTCCTTCCCTCTCTCTGACATCAATAAAGACATATCATATATATAAAAGCCTAAGCGATCAACCAACCAACCGAATGACCAGTCGCTATGATGCGCACAGACCACCAGGGGGCAGATGCTCAAAGAAAGGAGCTGCCTCCTGGTGGTCCCTGTGCTCCCACAGCCAACCTCCACGGCCGGCCCCGACAGTGCACGAATAACATAAGGTCCATGTGGCCAGCAGCTTTGAGCACTTGCCCGCAGAGTTCTCGTTGTGGCAGAAGGGCACACGCGTCTGCCTCTCTCTGCCCAGATCTCAGTGGTAGCCGAAGAGCGGCTCTACACCAAGTGGAACCCCGAGGCCTCGCCGTCGAACCCGGGCGAAGTGAACTTCCAGAGCGGGATCCTCGCGGCCAGGCGCGCCATCAACGCCCTCCACCAGGAGCTCGGAGCTGGCGGCTTCCTCCAGGCAAGACGGGGGGGGGGGGGGGGGGGGGGTGTCCGCGTCTCCCTCCCGAGGCTCCGTGTCCGCGTGTCTCCCCCGCCGGCCCGCTGACCGCGCGCCCTCTGGCCCCACAGGTGTACGTGGACCAGGTGGACGAGGACATCGTGGCGGTGACCAGGCACTCCCCCAGCAGCCACCAGTCCGTGGTGGCCGTGTGCAGGACCGCGTTCCGGAACCCCAAGACCTCCTTCTACAGCAAGGAGGTGCCCCAGATGTGCATCCCCGGTAATGCCCGGAGCACCCCGCTACATCGCTGTGATACACCACGCGGTGTGGCCTTCACTGCCGTTGTATGGCACACGCGTTACAACCCAGGGGAGAAAAAGGATTCGAAATCTTGGTGATCATTTTGTTTTGTTTTTTCATCCTCACCCAAGGATATACTTTTCATTGGTTCGAGAGAGAGAAGAAAGGAGAGGGAGAGAGAGAAACATCGATTGGTTGCCTCTCATACACCCCGACTGAGGTCACACCCACAATCTGGGCACGTGCTCTGACCGGGAATCAAACCTGCAACCCTTGGTGCGCAGGACGACACTCGACCCAACTGAGCCAAATCAGCCAGGGAGGGTTTTATTTTGTGGGTTTTTTTTTTTTTTTTATAATATATTTTGATTTTTTTACAGAGCGGAAAGGAAAGGGATAGAGAGTTAGAAACATCGATGTGAGAGAAACATCCATCAGCTGCCTCCTGCACACCCCCTACCGGGGATGTGCCCGAAACCAAGACACATGCCCTTGACCGGAATCGAACCTGGGACCCTTCAGTCCTCAGAATGACACTCTATCCACTGAGCCAAACCGGTTTCAGCTGTGTGTTATTGTTTTTTGGTGTGTTTTTTTTTTTTAATTAACTGAGTTTTCATCTTTAACTTTCAATTAAGTGGTTTTTAAAGGCCCTTTTGCAATTCCTCATTCCAGAAGGCTTCTAGTGAAACTCTGATACCCTGCTTACGTGCTCCCAGGTAAAATCGAAGAGGTCGTGCTTGAAGCTAGAACCATCGAGAGGAACGCAAACCCGTACAAGAAGGATGAGAAGTGCATCAACGGGATGCCCACCGTCACCGTGGAGATCAGGGAACACATCCAGGTACCGGCGCGCCCGCCCCGCTCCCGGGCTCGGCGTCGGGGCGGGGAGTGACTCGGCCTGTCCCCCTCTGCCCCAGCTCCACCAGAGCAAGATCGTGAAGCACGCCGGCGTCACCACCAAGGGGCCCCGCGAGTACATCCAGGAGATCGAGTTCGAGAACCTGTCTCCGGGAAGCGTCGTCGTGTTCCGGTAGGCAGCGCGCACCCCCGGGCCGCGCTCTGGTGACCGTCGTGTGCACCCTCCTCGAGACTGACGCCCTTCCCCCGTGCTTTCAGCGTGAGCCTGGACCCCCACGCCCAGGTGGCCGTCGGGATCCTCCGGAGTCACCTGACGCAGTTCAGCCCTCACTTCAAGGCCGGCAGCCTCGTGGTGGACAACTCGGACCCCATTCTGAAAGTCCCCTTCACGTCGTAAGTGCGCCCCCACACGGAGGCCTGGCCCGTTAACTCCCGGGGAGCGACCAGGCCGGAGGTGGGTGGGTTTCGGGGTTCCTGCATCCTGGCCACTCAGAGGGGGTCCCCCGAGGACCAGCAGCCCCGCATCACCCACTGTTAGCATTATCCCGAGTGCCTGCTCATTTGTGTGTGTTGGCATGTACGCCCTCTATAGATACAAACACACACACACACACACACACACACACACACACACACACGATTCTGTCTACACTCACACACACAAACATATATGATTCTGTCTACACACACACACAATTTTTTTTTTTTTTCGGAAAGACTTGAGACAAAACTGCATACATCCTACTTCTTACCACATCCTTTTTTTTTTAAAAACTGCCAGTGTGGTGTGCTTGTAACCAAGGTACATGTCCTTAACCAGAATTGAACCTGGGACCTTTCAGTCTGCAGGCTGATGCTCTATCCACTGAGCCAAACCGGTTTCGGCCCCTAACTATATTTTTATTGATCTCAGAGAGGAAGGGAGAGGTAGAGAGAGAGAGAGAGAAACATCAGTGATGAGAGAGAATCATCATCAATCAGCTGCCTCCTGCACGCCCTGCACTGGGGATCGAGCCTGCAGCCCGGGCACCTGCCCTGACTGGAAATCAACCATGACCTCCTGGTTCATAGGTCGATGCTCAACCATTGAGCCATACGGGCTGGGCAGGAATATTAACTCTTAATTCAAACTCTTCTTAGCAAAATAGTTGCACTCTTTAAAAAACAAACAAACAAACAAAAAACACGTGGTTCAGCAGCCTCGTGTCCCGGGGGACTGCTTGCAGGACAGTGTTCCTCCTCCGCCCGCTCAGCTCACCCGGGGCCCCGGGAACCTGCAGGGAATGGCTCTGCCCAGCTCTCCCGAAGGCGCTCCCGGCCACCCGGTGGGAACAGGCCAGAGGGAGTCGGTGCGGACACAGCGGCGGGTCTGGCCTGCAGCCTGCACGGGAGCTGTCCCGGCTGCTGGAGACCGCAGGAAAGGAGGAAGAAGGAAGTCCAGCCAACAGGGCGTGTGCTCCCATAAAATCCAAGAGGATGTGTGCCAGTTACGGACCAGGAAGTCACCTGAGCAGCTAGAAGCGCGGGGAGGGGGGTGGTATTGAGCTGTGGTCAGGTATCGGGCCTCCCTGCTGACCGAGCGAGGGAGCGAGGGAGCGAGGGAAATCGGCTGCGAGAGGCCCTTCCTGCTGACCACACCAGCAAGCATCTGCCTAAGAGAAGCCCTGGTCTCTGAGTGACCGCGCCGGAAGGCAGGGCCGAAGGCAGAGGATTCCAAAGGCAGAGCCCGGGCCTTTGCTGATCCCTTTTCCGGTCCTTTGGCGAGTACCTTGAGTTTAAGGTGATTGGGGTAAAAGCTCTGGGTGTCCCGCACAGGAAAATATAAAGGAGGGGGAAACTTCACCCAACCCAGAAAGACTGAGAAAACAAATTTGTGCCCTAGCCGGTGTGGCTCAGTGGATAGAGCGGTGGCCTGCAGACTGAAAGATCCCGGGTTCGATTTCGGCCAAGGGCACAGGCCCAGGTTGTGGGCTTGACCCCCAGTAGGGGGCGTGCAGGAGGCGGCCGATCCATGATTCTCTCTTAGCATGGGTGTTCCATCTCTCTCTCTCCTCCTTCCTCTCTGAAATCGATAAACATATTTTTTAAAAAATTAAAACACATTTGTGAGTCAAAGAGCATCACGGTCAGAGGTTTCCCCAGGGTGCTCCTGATGGTCACACGTGGCCCACGCTCCTGACGGACACGCGTGGCCCGCGCTCCTGACGGACACGCGTGGCCCGCGCTCCTGACGGACACGCGTGGCCCGCGCTCCTGACGGACACGCGTGGCCCGCGCTCCTGACGGACACGCGTGGCCCGCGCTCCTGACGGACACGCGTGGCCCGCGCTCCTGACGGACACGCGTGGCCCCCGCTCCTGACGGACACGCGTGGCCCGCGCTCCTGACGGACACGCGTGGCCCGCGCTCCTGACGGACACGCGTGGCCCGCGCTCCTGACGGACACGCGTGGCCCGCGCTCCTGACAGACACACGTGGCCCGCGCTCCTGACGGACACGCATGGCCCGCGCTCCTTTCCCTGGCGTGGAGGCAGATCCTCCCGCCGGCGAGCTGTCGGCGTGCAGGCTGTTGATGCGGCCGTCCCGTGTCACGCTGAGTCCCCCTCGCACGCGTCACGGAGACGTTGCCTGGCCATGACGCAGGTTTCCTCCTGCACGGCGATCGGCGGCAGGTGGCTGTCCGCCCGCCCGCCCGTCCGACCAGCCCCTGTGTCCTCAGCATCGCCTCCAGGCTGACGCTGGCCGAGCTGAACCAGGTGCTGTACCGCTGCGAGGCCGAGGAGCGCGAGGACGGCGGCGGCTGCTACGACGTGCCCCGCTGGGCGCCGCTCAAGTACGCGGGCCTGCAAGGTGAGCGGCGAGGGCGCTGCCGCCGGGGAGGGAGGGGGTGCTTCCCAGAGTCAGGGCGTCTTTTTTATAAAAATCAGCGTGTGGGCTCAGAGCGGGCCGCCCGGGCTCAGGCTGTGGTTCTGCTGCCGCTGCCCTTCGCCTCTGCCAGCACGCTGCTCTCCACCGCCCTCCGCCCTCCCTCCACCCACCGCCCTCCGCCCTCCGCCCTCCGCCCTCCGCCCACCGCCCCCCGCCCCCCACCCCCCGCCCTCCGCCCTCCACCCACCGCCCCTCCGCCCTCCACCCACCGCCTGAAAGAGTTCATGGTACTGCTCGGCACGAAGGCTGTTTTGAGGATGAAATAAGGCAGTTCATTGAAGTCACAGAACGTGCTCTGGAGTGCCCTTCCGGGTTGTGCAGTGTTTGAGTATCAACCCATGATCCGAGAGGTCCCTGGTTTGATTCCTGGCGTGGGAGGTGCAGGAGGCAGCGATCGATGTCCCTCTCTCGTCGATGCTTCTTTCTGTGTGTGTGTGTGTGTGTTTTAATTCTTTATCTCATCGGTGTTTCTATCTCTCTTTTCCTCTCTCTAAAATCAATTAGAAAACATTTTTTTTTTTTTTAAAGAAAAGTCTCCTCTCTATGACAAAAACGCGCTATGTGTGCATAAGACCTCCATTGCTCTTTGGGAGTTCCTTACAGACGTGCCTGTATACCTCACTCTGACACTTGGTTTACTCCCAAGTCCCTCCTGTTCTGTGAACATTGCTTCCAAAGTAGCCGTTGGTCCTATGACTCATCCCCGGGGATGCTCTTGCTGTCTGAAGCCAGTTCTGTGGTTTCCTTCAGTCTCCCCTGAACGGGAGCGGATCTGCCACCTGTCAGCACAGAGCACACAGACATCCCTTTCCTTCCCGAGATGCCGCAGGGCGGAGAAAGCTCGCCAGCGGGGACACCGCCCGCCTCCGCAGACGGTCAGCCCCGGCCCCTGCCAGCGACACAGCCTGACCTGTCTGTGGCCTCGCAGGGCTGATGTCCGTGTTGGCAGAGATCAGGCCCAAGAACGACCTGGGGCACCCCTTCTGTGACAACCTGAGAGCCGGCGACTGGATGATCGACTACGTCAGCGGCCGGCTCCTCTCCCGACCGGGAGCTGTGGCCGAGGTGAGCACCGCCGGGCTGCCGCCCAGACAGACCAGGCACAGTGAGACCCGCGTTACCCGTTATCTATACCCATGAAAGGGGAATATGCTCATTAGACCGGGCGGATCGGACATTTTCCAGACAAAGCCATGGTGGCGGGGGCCGAGACAGAGGTGGTTAGGGGTGATCATGCAGGCAGGCAGGCAGGCAGGCAGGCGAGCGGTTAGGAGCCAGTGGTCCCGGATTGTGAGAGGGACGTCCGACTGCCAGGTTAGGCTTGATCCCCTAAGGGGTCCCAGATCGGAGAGGGTGCAGGCCCTCCTATGCACGAGTTCTGTGCACGGGGCCTCTGGTATGTATAATATTTATATAATGAACAAGGTCACAGTAAAAACTGTGTTATCCTGTTACGTGTATAACATTTACATAACGAACAAGGGCACAGTGCGATCTGCATCACCTGGTAGGTGTATAATATTTACGTGGTTTGCCACCCTGGACCATTTTCCCGTCCTCTCTCCGCTCTGATGAAGGGGCGCCGGGGGGGGGGGGGGGGGGAGATAACTGGTTAGCAGCGCTGCCGTTTGGGTGTGCCGCTCAGCAGGCTCTCTGCGCCCTGTCCTCCAGGTGGGCCAGTGGCTGCAGGCCATGTTCTTCTACCTGAAGCAGATCCCGCGCTACCTGATCCCCTGCTACTTCGACGCCGTGCTGATCGGCGCCTACACCACGCTCCTGGACGCGGCGTGGAAGCAGATGTCCAGGTACCGCAGAGCCTGGGCAGGAGGCTCGCCTGCGCGGAAGCCGTGTGCCGCCTGTGTGCGCGTGCTCTGAGACGCCCGGGTAGAGAGCGCAGTTTCTGTGGGTGCGCAGTGACTGCCTCAGCCTCCTGTCACGGGGAGCATGCCGAAGCCGAGGTATTAAACTCTGTTCGGCCCCGCTGGGGGGCTCAGTGGTTGAATCAACCCAGGAACCAAGAGGTCACTGGTTCCATTCCTGGTCAGGGCACATGCCCAGGTGGCAGGCTCCATTCCATGTAGGGGGCGTGCAGGAGGCAGCCGATCCATGATTCTCTCTCATCATGGAAGCTTCTCTCTCTCTCCCTCTCCCTTCCTTTCTGAAATCAATAATATATATATATATATTAGCCCTAACTGGTTTGGCTCAGTAGATAGAGCATCAGCCTGCAGACTCAAAGGTCCCAGGTTCGATTCTGGTCAATGGCATGTACCTTGGCTGTGGGCACATCTCCAGTAGGGAGTGTGCAGGAGGCAGCTGATCAATGTTTCTCTCTCATCAATGTTTCTCTCTCTCTCTCCCTCTCTGTAAAAAATCAATAAAAAATATTTTTAAAAAATAAGTAAATAATAAAATGTTTGTGTTTATATAAATATTTATTTTAACCCTGCCCCCTCCTGGCAGCTTCGTCCAGAACGGCTCCACCTTCGTGAAGCACCTGGCGCTGGGCTCGGTGCAGATGTGCGGGGTGGGGCGGTTCCCCTGCCTGCCCCGGCTCTCGCCCGCCCTGCCCGACGTGCCCTACCGGCTGAACGAGGCCACTCGGGAGCCGGAGCAGTGCTGCGTGTCCCTGGCAGCAGGTGAGGCGGGCGGGCGGGCGTGTGTGTGTGTGTGTGTGTGTGTGTGTGTGTGTGAGCAGTGCTGCGTGTCCCTGGCAGCAGGTGAGGCGGGCGGGCGGGCGGGCGGGCGTGTGTGTGTGTGTGTGTGTGTGTGTGAGAGCAGTGCTGCGTGTCCCTGGCAGCAGGTGAGGCGGGCGTGTGTGTGTGTGTGTGTGTGTGTGTGTGTGTGTGAGAGAGAGCAGTGCTGCGTGTCCCTGGCAGCAGGTGAGGCGGGCGGGCGTGTGTGTGTGTGTGTGTGTGTGTGTGAGAGAGCAGTGCTGCGTGTCCCTGGCAGCAGGTGAGGCGTGTGTGCGTGTGTGTGTGTGTGTGTGTGTGTGTGTGAGCAGTGCTGCGTGTCCCTGGCAGCAGGTGAGGCGTGTGTGTGTGTGTGTGTGTGTGTGTGAGCAGTGCTGCGTGTCCCTGGCAGCAGGTGAGGCGGGCGGGCGTGTGTGTGTGTGTGTGTGTGTGTGTGTGAGCAGTGCTGCGTGTCCCTGGCAGCAGGTGAGGCGTGTGTGCGTGTGTGTGTGTGTGTGTGTGTGTGTGTGTGAGCAGTGCTGCGTGTCCCTGGCAGCAGGTGAGGCGTGTGTGTGTGTGTGTGTGTGTGTGTGAGCAGTGCTGCGTGTCCCTGGCAGCAGGTGAGGCGGGCGTGTGTGTGTGTGTGTGTGTGTGTGTGTGTGAGCAGTGCTGCGTGTCCCTGGCAGCAGGTGAGGCGGGCGTGTGTGTGTGTGTGTGTGTGTGTGAGCAGTGCTGCGTGTCCCTGGCAGCAGGTGAGGCGGGCGGGCGTGTGTGTGTGTGTGTGTGTGTGTGTGTGAGAGAGAGAGAGAGGCGGGAGTGTGTGTATCAGGATCCTTCAGAGAGGAAAAGCTATGGGGGTGATTGTTTATTGTATTTTTAAAAATTCTCTTTATGGCTGAAAGTGTTTTTTTTAAAAAAAACAACACTTGTGACGTGATCCAGGATCTTGTGTGACTGCTTAGCAGGACCTCACCAAGGGCCGCTGTGAGCATCATAACCGCGCCGCCCACGTGCTGTGCCCGCGCCGAGCGTGTTTTTTATTGAGGCTGGTTAATCCTTTTCTCCGACACGTTTCTGTAATCTTCAGCCCTTGCCATTTTGTATTTTTTTTTTATGAGATAGGTTTTACCTCCTTTATTCCATTGTATTATATTTCTTCCCCAATTTTTCAAAAGTAGCCCAACCTTGTAATGACCAGGAAATCAGGAGAGGGTTCTCTACAAGCTGCACAGCACAGAACGCACGTTAAGTAAGCTTGTGTTAGGTGTCTGACTGCCACAGAGTGCTTTAACCGTGGTATTGTCGGCGTTCTCTCCTGCACGTGGCACTGAGACCTGAGCCAGTGACAGTGGCCTACACTCCCATGGACTTTGGTAAACGAGACAGTGGGTTCTGCTAGCATGGGTCTTTTTTCTATTAGAGGCCAGGCAGGGGCTCTAAGCCTGGCCAGCAATCAGGGCTGATTGGGGCCTTCCAGCTGCCGGCCGGGGCCTTCCTTCATGTCACGCCGCCCCCTGGTGGTCAGTGCATGTCATAGCGAGTGAGCGAACTCCCAGTCTCTGGGTCAAACTCCCAAAGGGACAATTTGCATATTAGGCTTTTATAGATAGATAGATTGAGGAGAGACTTTCTGGCTTCAACAAGCCGGAAGACAGACTGACAGACAATAACGTGGATTAACATATGACTTTGCTGTGCTTTCGGTTAGGCTTGCCTCACTTTTCTTCTGGAATCTTCCGCTGCTGGGGCCGGGACACTTTCATCGCGCTGCGCGGCCTCCTGCTGCTCACGGGGCGCTACGTGGAGGCCAGGTAGGCCGCCCCGAAAAGGCGTGGGTATCGGCCCTGCTCTCCGGAACCGCCTTCTGCCCCGTCTGCCCCAGCATTCGGGCGACTTAGTTTCACTTCTCACAGGTCCGGGCTCACACGTTCACAGGGTTTTCACAGCCTGTTCGCCTTTGCCGTCAGCCAGTTCTGGTCCCTGCCTCGCAGGCCAGGCTGTTTGCAGGTCTGCTCCTTCATCTCCGTCCCTGCACTCAGCACCCTCAGTCCATTTACGTTCTTTCACCTCTGAGCGCCGTCATGTGGCCACGGCAGCTGGGGGGGGGGGGGGGGGGGCGGGGTTTGTGAAGGAGGGCGGACGCCTGGACACATGCCCATGGACAGAGGTCTGTGTGTTCAACTCTCAAGTGCAGGCATTGCTCTGCATGGGGAAGATCGCTAGCACGCTAAACTCTTTTTTAAAAGATACATTTTTATTGATTTTGAGAGAGAGAGAGAGGAAGGGAGAAGAAGGGAGAGGGAGAGAAACATCCATGATGAGAGAGAAACATCATCGGTCAGCTGCCTCCTGCACGCCCCCGACTAGGGATCAAGCCCCCAACCCGGACCTGTGCCCTGACTGGGATTGAACCGTGGCCCTCCTGGTGCAGGGGTCGACGCTCACCACGGAGCTGCACAGACCGGGCTAAGCTCTTATTCATCGGAAGCATCACTGTCCACACTGGCACCTTTTCCCTGTGCAAAATGCAGTTTCCTGCTGCGCTGATATATAAGAGATGGGCGTTACACTGAGATACGGAATTTTAAACGTCTAAGTGGGTTAGCCGAATCGCCCGGCAGCCTCGACATGGCAAGTGGCTCTCCAAGGCCTGCCGGCGGCCACACTGGAATTGAAACCCGCCCTCTTGTTCCCCAGTTTCCTGCTCGTTTTAGAATGCCACCCGCCTGCCTGCCACCTCCAAGATAACGTGTCTAGGCCCAGGTTTTGAAAACTCATCGTGTTCTCCAAGGCCAGCTTCTACCCACTTATTTCCTCTCACGCCTGCTTTGCTCTTCCTGTCCTGTCAGCCCTTTAAAAGAACAGAGCCCTGGGCCGGCGTGGCTCCGTGGCTGAGCGTCGACGTAGGAGCCAGGAGGTCAGGGTTCCGTTCTCCCGGTCAGGGCACGGGCCCAGGTTGCGGGCTCCATCCCCGGTAGGGGGCGGGGCGTGCAGGAAGGAGGCAGCCGGTCCATGATTCTCTCTCCTTACTGTTTCTGTGTCTCTCTCCCTTCCTCTCTGACATCCACACAGACATACAGCCGTACCAGTAAAAGCATCCCGTGCTAATTAGACGGGCGTCCTTCCGGACGACCTTCCAGACGAAGCCGGGGCTGCGAGGGCAGCCGGTGCCGGCAGCGGGGGAAGGAAGGCCTCCTCTTGCCTGTAGTTTTTAAATAACAGAGTGCATGTCACGTGTGAACTCCCGGGGATTTCTAAAGGAGACTCTGTAGCTCGAAAACCTCGCAGCCGCATCCTGAGTCGACAGGTGAAACCCTGTCCCAGGGAGGGCCAGCCACCCCGGCGGCCAGCGCCGCACGCCAGGCTCCTGACTGCCGGCTCGGTGCCCCCGGTCTGCCGGGACCACTTCCCCCGGGAAATGCCCAGGAACAAGGGCAGAGAGAAGGCGCGCCCCGGACAGCCGCCCCGAGGGCGTCTGGTCTCCGGCTTCCCCCCGGCTGTTGGTTCCGTGCGGCGACACGTGCCTCTGCCGTTCCAGGAACATCATCCTGGCCTTCGCCGGGACCCTGCGGCACGGGCTCATCCCCAACCTGCTGGGCGAGGGCACGGCCGCCCGCTACAACTGCCGGGACGCCGTGTGGTGGTGGCTGCAGTGCATCCAGGACTACTGCGGCCTGGCGCCCGACGGGCTGGGCCTGCTCCGCTGCCCCGTGGCCCGGCTCTACCCCACCGACGACTCCACGCCGCTGCCCGCCGGCACCGTGGTGAGGCCCGCCCCCGCCCCCGCCCCCGCCCCCGCCGGCTCTTCTCCCGAAAAGGACTCGGCTTCTCCTACAGGATCAGACGCAGCCGGGATCCTTCAGTCACGCTGGCCACCTGGCGCCCGCGGGCAGCCCTGAGGCCTGCTCCTCCACGGAGCTGGGTGTGGGGGAGGTGGGAGGGAGCACAGGGGAGAGGCGGTGAGGGTGCACAGGGGGGAGGTGAGGAAGGAGCACAGGGGAGAGGTGAGGAGTGCGCACAGGGGAGAGGGGAGAGGTGGTGAGGGTGCACAGGGGAGAGGTGAGGAGGGAGCACAGGGGAGAGGCGGTGAGGGAGCACAGGGGAGAGGTGAGGAGTGTGCACAGGGGAGAGGTGGTGAGGGTGCACAGGGGAGAGGTGAGGAGGGTGCACAGGGGAGAGGTGAGGAGTGTGCACAGGGGAGAGGTGAGGAGGGTGCACAGGGGAGAGGTGAGGAGTGTGCACAGGGGAGAGGTGGTGAGGGTGCACAGGGGAGAGGTGAGGAGGGTGCACAGGGGAGAGGTGAGGAGGTGCACAGGGGAGAGGTGAGGAGGGTGCACAGGGGAGAGGTGAGGAGGTGCACAGGGGAGAGGTGGTGAGGGTGCACAGGGGAGAGGTGAGGAGGGTGCACAGGGGAGAGGTGGTGAGGGTGCACAGGGGAGAGGTGAACACTTATTCTCTGAACAGTTGGCTCTAGTAGAGACCGTACAAGCTCCCAGGATTCCTTTCCATGTGTCAACCAAAGTATCATGGCTTCATGGTCCAGGCTTGAGCAGTCAAGTGACTCTGTCTATGTATCATCTATCTAAAACCATCTGACTGGTAGCTATGACACACAATGACCACCAGGGGGCAGACGCTCATCACAGGAGCTGCCCCGCTGCCTGGTTCTCAGGTGATGCGCCCGGAACCGGAGAGGAGGGAGCCCGCTTCCAGGGTGTGGCCCCGAGAGCCGCCCTCCCGCCATCCGGGACCCCTGGGGGAATTCGGACTACCAGTTTTGGCCCGATCCCCACGGGAGGTTGGCTCCGGGGCACATCCAGCCCGTCTGGCCCAGTCCCACCCCTCGGGCCACGATTTCCTTCCCGTGTGCGCGAATCCGTGCACCGGGTCCGAGGGCGCCTGTACTGTCCGTGTCTCCCCCAGCCCCCCTCCTCCCGTTTCTTCCCCAGAGGAGCGGAGATGCGTTTGTGGGCCTGGAGCTGCGGGCTCGGGGGAGATGGTCAGAGGACACGTCTAACCCGGGCGTGGCTGTGCCCGCAGGAGCAGCCGCTGTTCGAGGTGATCCAGGAGGCTCTGCAGAGGCACCTGCAGGGCATCCAGTTCCGGGAGCGGAACGCCGGGCCCCAGATCGACCGCAACATGAAGGACGAAGGTTTGTGCCCCCCGCTCCCTGCTCCCGGGCTCTGTCCCCGGCCCCGCGGGCAGCTTCTCCAGAGCGTGTTCGGAGCCAGCGCGCCGCGGGGAAGGCGCCCGTGTCCCCGCCGAGGGTCTCCCCGTGGCCAGTCCCCGTCCTGCCCGTCCATCCCTCTCCCGGCGTCACTGTCCCCTCCGCTCCCCAGGGTTCAGCATCACCGCCGGCGTGGACGCCGAGACGGGGTTTGTGTTCGGAGGAAACCGCTTCAACTGCGGCACCTGGATGGACAAGATGGGGGAGAGCGACCGGGCCCGCAACCGCGGCGTCCCCGCCACGCCCAGGCACGGCTCTCCGGGCGCCCGCGGAGTCACACCCCTTCTTTCCCTTTCTTTTCCTTTCAAATATGTTCTTATTGGTTTCCGAGGACGGGGGGAGAGAGAGAGGGAGAGAGGAACATCAGTGAAGAGCATCATGGCTCGGCTGCCTCCTGCACGCCCCCTGCTGGGGATGGAGCCCCAGGCCTGTGCCCCGATGGGAATCAAGCCTGGGACCCTTCAGTCCGCAGGCCAAGGCCCTGCCCACTGAGCACACCGGCCAGGGCCCTTGATTCTCTTACAAACCTGGTAGTTTGGGTCGGCTGTGAGCTCCTGGGCTCCCCTTTCCTTCCCTTCAGGGCGGGCTCTCAGATGGTGAGTGCAGCTCCCGGCTCCCTCCTCCGGCCCCGGGCCGCTGCCTGCTGTCCCTTCCCCGGGACTCAGTGACCCTGCGTCCTCCCGCCCCCCCTGCCCCGCGCCTCTCCTTCCATCGTCATCTCCCTTCTGCTCCCAAGCGTTTTAAACACACGCCACGAAGTAGGCGACGGCCAGCCGTCGGGAGCGAGTCCCGGCGCGCGGCCCCTGGCGGGCGCGTCTGCAGAGCACAGTCTTCGTGCCGCGGTGGCCAGACAGCCCGTCGCCGGCCGCCCGCCCCGTGGGCAGTGCCCGCACGGCTCCGGCCAGAGAACGACGGTGTCTCCGCCTGCAGGGACGGCTCCGCCGTGGAGATCGTGGGCCTGAGCAAGTCGGCCGTGCGGTGGCTGCGGGACCTTTCCCGGAAGAACATCTTCCCGTACCGCGAGGTCACGGTGCACAGACACGGTGAGCGCCCCCGTGCCGAGGGAGACACTCCCAGGGCCTGTCCCCCCCCTGCCCCCGGCCGTCCTCCGGCCCGGTGAGCCGGTCACCGCAGCCTCAGGTCAGGGGCGGGGAAGCCGCTCGTGTCCTGGCAGGCCGGTGCCCACGCCTCCAGCAGCTCTGGGCTGCCTGCGGGGTGAGGCATCCTTCCTGCCCCTGCTGCTTCTCCTCTTCCCCCGCGGGACTGTGAGCGAGCTGTGGCTTTCCCGACCATCGGGAGCCCCTGCACCTCTGCTCCCAGGCCCGTTCTGTCCGGCGGACCCCACGGGAGCCACACACACGGCTCCAGGCGGCCCGCTAAGCGCGTGGGCTTGTCTGAGCGCTCCCAGCAGCCACGCATGCCCACCGTCTCAGGCAAGGCCGAGAAGGTCTCCTACGAGGCGTGGGACCAGCGGATCCAGGAGCACTTCGAGAAGCTGTTCTACGTGTCCGAGGACCCGGCCGACCCGCACGAGCAGCACCCGGAGCTGGTGCACAAGCGGGGCATCTACAAGGACAGCCACGGCGCGTCCAGCCCCTGGTGCGACTACCAGCTGCGGCCCAACTTCGCCGTGGCCATGGTGGTGGTGAGTGCGCGGGGGCAGCTCCTGGCCCGCTGTGCCCGCCGGCTGGGAGGAAGCACATGCTTCCCAGCTGGTGCTGATACTCTGTTCTCGTCAGTGAAGCCGTCACCCCAGCCAGCCACACTCGTGTGGACACAGAACGGCGGTGATGGCAGTGAGGCCACCTCGTGGCTCATGAGGAGGAGGCCAGGCGTTGGGCCCGGTGGGCAGCTGGTCAGGTGGCGGGGCCGGATCCAAATTGGCACTGGGCCCGCCCAGCTGCCTGGACAGCTGAGGACACCCGCACCTCCCTCACCCGCACCTCCCTCACCCGCACCTCCCTCACCCGCACCTCCCTCACCCACATCACCCGCACCTTCCGCACCTGCACCTCCCTCACCTGCACCTCCCTCACCCATATCTCCCTCACCCGCACCTCCCTCACCCGCACCTCCCTCACCCGCACCTCCCTCACCCATATCTCCCTCACCTGCACCTCCCTCACCCACATCACCCGCACCTTCCGCACCTGCACCTCCCTCACCGGGTCAGGGCGCAGGCCCAGGTTGGGGGCTCAATCCTGAGTAGGGGCGTGAAGGAGGCCACCTTCCTCTCTGAAATAAACAAAGATTTTTTTTTAAATTAACGCAGACTCTTAGTCACCGCTGCTCTTTCTCCTTCTGCGTGTCATGTGCTGTCGGAGGCAGGGCCTCCGGGTTCATTCAGCCCCAGAGCGGCATGGGGACGGGTGTACCTCGGGGGCCAGGAGCCCCCGGAGGGCGGAGGGACGGCTCCCCTGGGGCCGGTGCGCGGTGGGACCCCGGGAGGACCCCCGCAGCGGCCCCGTCTCCAGGGCGAGACCGGCTTCCATCCGCCCGCGGGGCGGCTCCGTGGGCATCGGCACTGAGCTCGGCCCACGCTGGGCCTAACGTGGCTTTCCCCGCGGGCAGCCGGCTCCGGTCCCGGGAGGAAACCCACTCTCCGTGACCTCACGGGCATGTGTGTCTGACCTGCCGCAGGCCCCCGAGCTGTTCACGGCGGAGAAGGCGTGGAAAGCCCTGGCCGTGGCGGAGGAGAAGCTGCTCGGGCCCCTGGGCATGCGGACCCTGGACCCAGAGTAAGTGCGGGTGAGCGTGGCGGCGGGGCTCGGCGTGGCGTGGGCGCGGGGTGCCCGCCATCTCGCAGGAACTCCTGGAGCCGGAGCCAGGCGGCGGGCACGTAATCCGAGTGCCATCATAGAAACCGTCTGGCCTTCACCGTGACTGTGCTGTGAGCAGGAATCTCTGACATTGCACTCACACTTAGGTTTTTTTTTTTGTTTTTTAAATATATTTTTATTGATTTTTTACTGAGAGGAGGAGAGAAGGGTAGAGAGCTAGAAATGTCGATGAGAGAGAAACATCGACCAGCTGCCTCCTGCACACCCCCTACTGGGGATGTGCCTGCAACCAAGGTACATGCCCTTGACCGGAATCGAACCTGGGACCTTTTAGTCCCCAGACCGATGCTCTACCACTGAGCCAAACCGGTTTCAGCCTCACAGTTTTTATTTTTTTTTTAATATATCTTTATTGGTTTCAGGGAGGAAAGGAGAGGGAGAGAGAGAGAGAGAGAGAGAGAGACATCAATGATGAAAGAGATGTTTCTATCTCTCTTCCATTCCTCTCGGAAATCAATAAAGAAATATACATATATATAAAAACACATAACCTTGCCAATACGTCATCGTTGTTAAGACTGTATCTTTAGTGACCACCGAGTCGGGTTAGTCTGCGAGTATCTCCGTTGTCATAGGCATAGGGAGGCCTAGGAAATGGTTACTGTCGCCAATGTTGGTGTCGGGTGACTCCTGGGAGGCAGCGAGCTGGGCGGTTTCCAGGTGTTTGCCTCGGCCCGTGTGGCCAGCACTCCCGAGGGCAGTGGCGGCTCTGCACTCCGGTGGCTGCCAGCAGGCTGCTGGGCGGCAGGGGGCGGGGTAAGGTGTGGTCTTAGCTCTGCCCGGAGCCTGCCCCCGGCGCCCCCGGCCCGTGTCCGGTCCCCTCACCCCATGTCCCTCTGTCCCAGCGACATGGTGTACTGCGGGGTGTATGACAACGCCTTGGACAACGACAACTACAACCTGGCGAAAGGCTTCAACTACCACCAGGGCCCGGTGAGAACCCCGTCCCCCCTGCGGGGTCTCAGGTTTTCTCCTGTGACGCCAGCCGCTCTCCGTGCCTCACCCGCCGAATCTTCTCTCCCAGGAGTGGCTGTGGCCCGTGGGCTATTTTCTTCGTGCAAAACTGTATTTTTCCAAACTGATGGGGCCGGAGACCCACGCCAAGACGATATTCCTGGTTAAAAACGTCCTCTCTCGGCACTATGTTCACCTCGAGAGGTGAGTGAGAGGAGGTCCATGCCCATCATTACCCCATCAGGTCGGAAAGCGGCATTTCCTTCGAACCCAGGCTGCGCCCTCCAGGCGCCCCAATGGTACGGGATCTGTGAGGGAGTCTCACCTCCCCCTTTTTAAAAAAATATATTTTGTTGATTTTTTACAGAGAGGAAGGGAGAGGGAGAGAGAGAAATGAGAGAGGAACATCTATCAGCTGCCTCCTGCACGCCCCCTACTGGGGATGTGCCCGCAATTAAGGTACATGCCCTTGACGGGAATCGAACCTGGGACCCTTCAGGCTACAGGCCGACGCTCTATCCACTGAGCCGAACCGGCCAGGGCCCACCTTCCTTTCACTATGCTAGGTTATTTATTTTACCTCTAAAACTTCACTGCATGCTTCTGTATTTTCTGATAGGGTTAGCACAGAATAAATACAAAAGCAGGGCCTTTTGAGTGAACAGATTTAAAGAGAGACCAATAAATAACTTACCGAAATGCTCTCCTTGCCCTTAAGACATCAGAGCTGGTCTTTTGGCTCTTGTTTCGAACCCCTTCGTCACACCCTTTGTCCTGTTAGCAGAGAAATAACTTTCAGAGTTATGGGTCCTTGTACAGCGAGACGGTTCAGTCAAAAGCTCTTACATCCCAAATTCTAGATCAAACCTGAATATGTATGCACAGCTGATCGCTCAGAATAATTGTGCACAAGCAGCCTGATTGTGTCTCCTTTTTTGTCATGAGAGCCTGAGGGACCTCCGTGTCACCAGGAAAGGGTGTGTCTGCTTCAGTGCAGTCACGGGAACCCCCTGCACGCTTCTCTCTCATCCGAGTGCGAGTGTGTGTGAGCGGAGCACCCCACACCCCAGCTGGCACCGCCCCCAGCCCTGCTCATGACCTGCCCGAGTTCCGCTCCCTTCCCTCTGCCCAGGGGAAGTCAGCGCGTCTCACACAGCCCTGTCATTTTTCTCCGTCCACCTGGGGTCCCCCCTCCCCCGTCCACCTGTGGTCCCCCCTCCCACCTGTCCCATGACTTTGCTCCAAGGATTACCCTCCACTTGATGTTCACACCTGCCCGCTGGCGTTTGCCAGTTTGCTGGGGCTGCAGTGGCAAAGCACCACAGGTTCCACCTACAGAAATGGATTGCCCGGGGCACATCGCTAACTAGGGTGCTGTTCTCAGGGTGTCCACAAGACGGCGCTATTGCAACGCCTCCCGGCAGGGGCCAGCGTGCTGTAGGCCTACCCGGTTGGTTTTCTTTGCAGAAAAGCAGAACTCATTGCTCAGGTGCTGTGCTCAGGAGCCTGACATGCAGGCGCGGGTAGCCCGTGCCCCTCCCTTCAGCCCTCCCTCCAGCTCCCAGAACACCACTCGGCCTTCTTCCTCTGCTCCGCCCATGTCCCCGTTTTATCAGGACACCAGTCCGATTGGCTCAGGGCCGCCCCTTTACTGATGTCCCCTGCAGCAGCCCTGCAGGCACGCTGTCCATCCACTTCTGAGGTCCTGGGGCGAGGCCTCCCGCACCCTCACAGACACCCGGGCCCCACTGCTCCTGGCTTCCCTCTACTTAACAGTTGGAAACAAACATTGACTGCAGCTCCCATTTCCCTGTCGCAGCTTTTCAAGACGTGGCACTCGCTGGCGTTGTTATCACTCAGGATCTCCACATCCGCCTCCTGGAGTTATGTCTCCAGTCTCATTGTGAGCTATTGGGTAGCTACAGAAACGCATACATAGCCACGCGCTACAGAGAATAGTAACGAAACAAACATGCTCCCAGGAAACCCAGCGGAAGACAGGGAGCGCCACCGAATTCTGTGTTTTTATTTTTATTTTTATTTTTTTTAATATATTTTATTGATTTTGTACAGAGAGGAAGGGAGAGAGATAGAGAGTTAGAAACATCGATGAGAGTCATCGATCAGCTGCCTCCTGCACACCCCCTACTGGGGATGTGCCCGCAACCAAGGCACATGCTCTTGACCGGAATTGAACCCTGGTCCTTCAGTCCCCTCTATCCATTGAGCCAAACCGGTTTCGGCGAATTCTGTGTTTTTAAATTTACGTTCTGTGTCTGAGAGCTTCCGCTGAGATGAGGAATACAGTCCACGGGCTAGCAGCAGTATTCTGAGAGCCAGCTCTGCGAGTCAACCTCCATGCGCCTCGGTAAACAGGATCACTATACGGCACCTTCCTCAGAGGGCTGCAGAAGCACTGAAATGAGATCCCATATATAAAGCTCTTCGTAGAAAAACACAATAAATACCAGCTGTATTACTCAGCAGAACGAGGAATTAGTATGGAAATGCTAATTGGTTTTTTTAAATATTTTTTTTATTGCCGAAACAGGTTTGGCTCAATGGATAGAGCGTCAGCTTGGGGACTGAAAGGTCCCGGGTTGGATTCCTGTCAAGGGCATGTACCTTGGTTGCGGGCACATCCCCAGTAGGGGGTGTGCAAGAGGCAGCTGATCCATGACTCTCTCTCATCGATGTTTCTAATTCTATCTCTCTCCCTTCCTCTCTGTACAAAATCAATAAAATATATTTAAAAATATATATATATTTAAAATATTTTTTATTAATTTCCAAGAGAGAGAGAGAGAGAGAGAGAGAGAGAAACATCAATGATGAGAATCATTGATTGGCTGCCTCCAACTCAGGCATGTGCCCCCGACTGGAATCGAACCCAGGACACCTCAGTCTGCAGACCGACGCTCTATCCACTGAGCTGACGTTGTTTTTAATCACCACCTTCCACCTATCGTAGTAGTATGTTTCTTCATTGTTCACGTTAGTTTTACAGTTTCCTCAGGATCAGACTTAACCCATCTCATCTGAGCCTCAGGCGCTGGCTCCGAAAGGCATGAAATCAGGCCCCAAGGGCATGGTCTCCCTTCCCGCGTGTTGCTGGGAATGGCCATTTCCCCGAGTGTCCGTACCTAGCGGGACTCCCTTGTCTGAGTCCTCAGTCCCAAAGCTGGAATCCCAAAGCTGGAGCAGCGGAGAATCATGTCCCTCCGGACGCTTCGTACACACCCTTAGGTCCTGCTCCGGAGCCAGAGGCCCGCGTGCGTGTTTTCTGTGCCAGGGTCCCCAGGCTCGCTGCGGTTCACCCTCGGGGTCCGTGTCAGATCGCGTCTCACAACCGGCTTTTCTCTCCCAGGTCCCCGTGGAAAGGGCTCCCGGAGCTGACCAACGAGCACGGCCAGCACTGCCCCTTCAGCTGCGAGACGCAAGCCTGGTCCATCGCCACGGTCCTCGAGACGCTCTATGACTTGTAGCGGCCGCGGGGGGGGGGGGGGGGGGGGCGGGGCGGGGCCTGTGCGGGGAGCAGGGGTGCAGTGAAGGCTCTCCATGCCTGGGAGTCGCACTCATGCGCCCCGGGCGCACGGTGAGGTCAAGCCTGTGAACGCCATGTTCGTTTGTTTGAATGTATAATACATAGGTAGCTTTGATTTGAGCCAGACAATCGTCATTACCAAGGGAGAGTTTTCCTTTCGAATTCAGCCAGTTCCCTTCGGATGCTCACAGAGAACGCGGGTGCGACCTGGAGTCTGAGAAAGGAGAAGTCTGCGCCCCCTGTTTGTTCACGAGGGAAATGCACTGGGCGGCCGGGGCCCACTGTCTCCGTCACAGCGCGGACCCCACGGGGGACCGCATGGGCTGGGGTCTGACGGACGGCCTTGCCGTTGGCCGCAGTATTTCTGGCGCCTTCCCACTGCACCCAGTAGCTGCTCGGTGACTGGTGAGTTCCGGAAGGTCCCGCCTATAACGTGTGCTCAGAAACGGGCACCGAGGGTCCTACGTGCTTCTGTTTCTTCCACGGATGTGTTAGGCTGTGCTTTATCATTAATACCCACAGTATATTTAATATCACTGATGCTCATGAGGCCTAGGATAGAGGGAAAGCCACTAAGCATGAGGAATGCATTTCCTAAAGAACAGTTTTACAGAAGTCTTCGGTTTCCTGCGACGAGATGGTTTACATCTTTAAAGCAAAAACGGCGGGCCTGCGGGTGAGAGCCTTCGGGGGAAACGCCGTGCTAACTTCCTAAGGCGGAGCAGCTGTTCTCCGCGTGTCTGAGCGCGGGCAGCGCAGCGGCCGCTGGTCCTGTGAACCCGGGCCCCCGGGAGAGTGCAGCCCGGAGAAGGCTCCATTTAACAAAAACGGAGGAATCCTGTGGTTCTTTAACCCAGGACCACCACTTCTGACGTGTCTGCAGCTGTCCTTTCTGGGGGGCAGGTGCCCCTCTGTGTCTGTGTGCCACGCAAATAAAAACCTTTCCTTCGGGTCTCCCTGTGCCTTCCTTCCTGCCTTCACCCGGGAGCCGGCCTGAGGGCACCGCCTGCCCCGCCGTTCGGGCCTGGTCTCTGCAGGGGGTGTCGGGCACAGACAGGAGGGGGATTCTGGCTGTTTGGGAATTTGTTTAATGTTGACGTGAGGAGCCAAATGAACGCTGGACGTGTCAATAGACCCGCTGGCGACTCCGCGCTCCCCTGGGATTTCGCAAAACTCGCTTCAGGCCAGATATGCTGGTCTCAGTCAGGAGCCAGGCCAGCACCTTGGGGCAAAGAATATTCTGCCACGTTCCAGGTCAAGCCAGCTCACTGCCTCCTCCTTCCTGTGAGCAGCGATGTGCAATAGCCTATTCGCTTACTTTAATCGGTGGTTTCTCCACATATCATTCCTCTTTTTTAATATACTGGTATATATATTTTATTCAGAAAGGAAGAGAGAGGAAACATCCATGATGAGAGAGAATCGGCTGCCTCCTGCACGCCCCACACTGGAGATCGAACCCACAACCCGGGCCTGTGCCTTTGACCAAATCAAACGGGCTACCTCTTGGTTCCTGGGTGGACCCTCAACCACTGAGCCACACCGGCCAGCCGGGCTTTCCTTTTTTCAAGCAACTTCATCAAAGCACTAACTCTACGGCCTGCAGGAAGTGTCTATCTGCCGGAAGCCAGCTCCAGCACGTCATCATTGCAAGAGTTTCATGGAAAGGTGGATGGAACGTGGGGACTCAACAAGGGCTGAGTCACATATGTTATGGCTGTTGGAATGGCTGAGGGCATTTCCCCAAACCTGAAAAGGATGATTACTGCCAGGCAGCTCAGGGCATCTTAATCTACGGTATTGCCTCCTGCTGGCCCAACACCGGAACAGCCGTAGGCTATTCCCCCTGCTGAATGGACTCTGTAGACAAAACCCTGCCCTTCGAAGGCATATCTCCACCTTGTTTTAGGACAATTTGTTTTAATAAAAAGCAAGGGGTCCTGAGACCAGGAGAGCTTGGTTTCTTCAGCCAGGGTCCTCTGACCCCCCATGCCTTTCAAAATTACCTTTCGTCTCTGGACTCCTAAGTTACACACAGCCCTTCTCCAGACTGCTGATCCCCTCCTAAGGCTGGAACAAGAACTCCGGCTTCTGGCAAGTGAAACGCAGGCTCACCCAGCCTGCTGGCGCCCCCCTGCCCCCTCAGAAATCAGGGGGTGCGGCCCGCAGAGGGCCTGCGTGGCTGTGTCTCCCATTGAGCTCATTATTTAGCTTCCAAGTCACCCAGGTGGCAGCTTTATCCAAACCCCAGCGCATAACAGAGATCACCATCATCCAGCTGCCGGTACTCCAGGCCAGTGCCACCATGCCACACCCCTCTCTGCCCGTCAGTCCCAAGCCTTGCGTCTTGTTTAGGCTGCGTGCCCATTGCTGGGGCCTCGCTCTCACCTCCGCCCTCCAGGGTACAGGCCAAGAGAGCAGGCAGGGTGGTGAGCTCGCCAGGCTCCCACAGAGCCGCAGAAGGTCACAGGTGGACAATGTGATGCCCTGTCCCTGAATGGCACATACCCCTCTTACCGCTGACTGGCCAGAACTAGTCATGTGGCCCCACTCAACCCAGAGAGCCAGGAAACGCACCCGACTACAGGCCCTGAAGGCAGCTGGCAGGAAGTACTGGGTGTGCAGCATAACCCACTGCCCGTGGGGTGTCTGATCAAATGCACTTTAGGCCCGGCCGGGGTGGCTCAGTGGTTGTGTCAGCCTATGAACCAGGAGGTCACAGTGCCATCCTCAGGAGGGACGTGCAGGAGGCATCCAATCAATGACTCCCTGTCATCATTGATGTCTCCCTCTCCCGCTCCCTCTCTGAAATCAGTAACAATGCCTTTTTTTAAAATGTTCTCTCGATGGGTGAATGGAGACTCATGTTCCCCGGAACCGCAGCCCATTCCCAGCTCCCGTGCTCCGGGTCGCCCGGAGGCTCTGTGGTGCCTCTGCCAGGCAGTAGACCAGGGAGAGGGGAACCCCAACACTTCCATCTGCAGTTCACCTGGACTCCGAGATGAAGCCAGTTCCTTGCCCCAGGCCACCAGGCTGGTCCCCACCAAGCTGGCCCCCCAAACAGGGACGCAGAGCGTCAGGTCATCGCGGTAGCTTTGGGCAGAATCTGCAAGCCCCACCCTCCAGCGGGCAAGCCTGCAGGGCGACGCCAGGCCCTGAAGGTGTAGCCAGAGCAGACGCCTCACTCCCGGGAAACACCAGGCTCCCGGAGAGCCACAGTCTGTGGTCAGGAAAAACCCCCAGAAGCCCTCCTGGCTTGTGGGCGAAATGAACAGCAAGGTCACTTCCCGCTGGTCAGGCCGGCTCGGGAGGGCCTCGCCAAGCCCTCCCGGAGCCATGTGATGGACAGGGCGGTGGTTGGTCCGGGTCCGGGTCCGCCCGGAATAGCTGGCACCGCGCCAGGGGAACCGGTTTGGCAGCTGGAAGGAACCGACTGGTTTTTCTCCTTTGGGAGCTGGGGTTTCACGTCAACAGTCTGAGCACATAACTGGCAGAAGGGCCCCGAGGGTAATTCTCTAAACACTGATTCTTTTGTGTGTTTTCGCTGTTTTGAACAAACATCTTAAATATCACCATAGTCCCCACTCTCTCGTTTGTCGTCTTTCCCTTTTGTTGTTGTTAATCCTCACCGAGGATATTTTCCCATTGATTCTTACGAGGGGGGAGTGGGAGGGAGAGAGAGAGAGAGACACATCTATCGGTGCCTCCTGCAGGCGCCCCAACCAGGGCCGCAGGCCGGGGGGGGGGGGGGGGGGGGGGGGGAGCCTGCAGCCACCGACCACTGCGTGTGCATTTGACCAGAATCGAACCTGGGACTGCTGGGTCTGCAGGCCAGCGCTCTAACCACTGAGTCCGACAGGCTGGGGCTTATTTGTTGTCTTTTCTTCTTCTTTTGTTTCTAACTGTTAACCCATTCAGGTCCCTGAGCTACCAGCCACGGAGCGGGGGCGGGGACTGAGCCTGCTCACAGTGTCTGCTGCGCCAGTACCTTTCCATCTGGCCTCACTTCTCTGGCGCCGCTGGACACCCGGCATCTCAATGTTTGAATGCGGCCACGCTCCCACCAGCGTTGCCAGATTTTCCAGATAAAAATACAAACCGAAACCGGTGTGGCTCAGTGGATAGAGTGTCGGCCTGCGGACTGAAAGGTCCCGGGTTCAGTTCCGGTCAAGGGCATGTACCTTGGTTGTGGGCACATCCCCGGTAGGGGGTGTGCAGGAGGCAGCTGATCGATGTTTTTAACTCTCTATCTATCCCTCTTCCTTCCTCTCTGTAAAGAAAATCAATAAAATATATATTTTAAAAAATACAGGCTACCCAGTTCAATCTGAATTTCTGATTAACAGTGGATTTTTATTATTATTATTATTTTTTTTTTTTTAGTATAGTTACACAGACTGAGCACTGATCTCTCGTGCATGTGACATTTCAGTGCAGCGAGGTATCCTACGTGTTACCTGGCAACGCTAACCCTTTGGCTCTGGCTGTCCTGGCGCCGACAGGTGGTTCTCCTTTGTCTGACCTTCCGCTGCCAAGGTTGTGCCTCTGCGGTCTGTTCCCACGGGAGGCCGAAGCCGGGCCTTTGCTCTGAGTCCCCAGGCTGCCAGTTTTCTCTCTCCTTTCGTGGCCATCTCTGTTGTTACTGATACTTATTTTACGAATGTGCTAGAGACCCAGTTGCATGAAGATTCATGCACTCGGCTCCTTTCCTGGCTGCTGGCACCCAGGCCTTCGCTATGGCCAAGCCCAGTCTTTGCTCCGTACCTGCTTATGCAAATCAACCCACCATCTTTGGTGGGTTAATTTGCATACTCCTGATTGGCTGATGGATGTCGTGCAGGTACAGCAATTTGCATATTTCTCTTTTATTAGTGTTGATTACATTGATTTCAGAGAGGAAGGGAGAGGGAGAGAAGGATAGAAATGTCAATGATGAGAGAGAATCATGGATGGGCTGCCTCCTGCATGCCCCCCACTGGGGATGGAGCCCACAACCAGGGCCTGTGCCCTGACCTGGAATCGAACCCGAGACCTTCAGGTTCATAGGTCCATGCTCAACCGCTGAGCCACAGGGGCTGGCCTTAGTGGTGCTTCCTATGCCTGTGGCTCGCTTGCTGCTGCCGCCTGTTTTCCGCCTCATTTTTCTTCCTTTTCGCAGTTTAAAGGCAGACCCGTTAGGGGCTGAACCCCAGCTCGTGTCTCCGTAGGTGGGGGTTTAAACAGAGTCTAAGGTCTGAGGCCTCAGGCCCTTCCCTCAAGTGCGGACTGAGCCTGCCTGGCGGTGAGGGCAGCCTGCGCCGATGGGCAAACTCCTTCCTGCTCCTGCCATTCTCGGAGCCCCGGCCTCCCCCGCCCAGCGGCCTGGGACCGGACCGGGTGCGGAGCTGCCCGCAGGCCCCGGGCCGGCTGCTCGGGCGGCTCCGGACGCGCGCGGCCTCCACCCGCGGGCGGGCGGGCGGCAGGTGCGGACCCGCCCGGACCAGGGCCGGACCGCGGGCGGGGATGGGCGTGGACCGGATCCAGCCCGGAGCCGCGAGCGCAGCCCCCGCAGGTGCCCGGGACGGGGGAGGGTTCTGGGTCCGGGAGGGGGGGAGAGGGGAGGGTCCCGGGACCGGGGGAGGGAGGGGGGGGGAGGGACGGGGCGCCGGGTCCCGGAGGGGGAGGCAGGAGGGGGAGGGTCCCGGGTGGGGGGGGGGAGAGAGAGAAGGAGAGGGAGGGAGAGGGAGAGGGTCGGGGAGAGGGAGGGGGAGAGGGGGAGGGAGATGGAGGAAGGTGAGAGGGTCCCGGGTCCGGGGGGGGGGAGGGAGAGGGGGAGGGAGAGGGTCCGGGCGCCGGGTCCCGGAGGGGGAGGGAGGGGGGGAGAGGGAGGGAGAGGGTCGAGGAGGGGGAGGGGGAGAGGGGGAGGGGGATGGAGGAAGGTGAGAGGGTCCCGGGTCCGCGGGGGAGGGAGAGGGGGAGGGAGAGGGACGGGGCGCCGGGTCGGGGCCGCAGCAGCCCGGCGTGGCGGTGCCCGCAGGCGGGGGCCGGGCCGCCTCCGCCGGACTTTGCCCGCAGGCCGGGCCCTCCCCCGGGCGGGCGGGCGGTGGCGGTGGAGCGGACGGACGGGCGGGCGGACGGGGACGGGGACCGGGGCCGGGGCCGCGCGGAGGCGGGAACGGCGGGGCGCGGGCGCGGCGGCGGCCGGAGCGGCGGCGGAGGGACCGGCACCGGAAGCGCTGGCGGCGGGCGCGCGGCGGGGGCGGGGGCGGCGGGCGCGGCAGCCCCGGGCGCCCGGCCCAGCTCAGCCGCCGGCCCCCGAGCGCGCGGCCGGCCGAGCGGGGCAGGTGAGCGGGGCCGGGGGGCCGGGCGGCGGGGCGGACCGGGCGGGGGAACCGGGGGCCGGGCGGGGGCCGGGCGGGGCGTCAGACACGCTGCGGCCCCGGGCGACGTGCGGGAGGTGCGGGCGGAGGAGGAAGGCCCGGGGAGGGGGCGGGGGGGAGCGGGCGGGGGGCGTGACCCCGTGACCCCGCCCGCTGGCCCCGCCCACCGTCCCGGGCGCCGCGCGGAGGAGCCGCAGGGGCCGCGGGACGGGGTGAGGCCGGTGCGGGGCCGGGGTCCGGGCCGGGGTCCGGCCGGGGAGGGGGGCGTCCCGGCCAGCGCCCCCGCCTGGTCCTCCTGGGCTTTTCCTGGCTGAGTCCTCCATAGGTCCCAGGAGAGCGAGTTTGAGGAAAATATTGCTCTCTGCCCTGAGTTCTCAGCCGAGGGCTGTGAGAACGGACAGATAACGGGGAGGCAGTTTTCAAACCGCCCAAGGTCGGTATGGGCGGCGCCTAACCTAGGTCTGCGCTGGGTCCTGGGGCCCAGAAAGCCGGCAGCACCGCTGGGCTGACACCGGACAGGCCGCCCGCCGCCAGTCTCATGCCCGCCCTCACCTGGCACCGCCCGGCCGGCTTGGTGTTTGAGCTGAGCCACGTGGGCACAACCGAATCCGAGGTGCCACGTGCCCTGTGACAGTGCCCTGCTGGCCTGGCCAGACCCTGGGCGTATTTGAGTGACGGGTCTTCCCCGTGGAGGATGCGCCCGGGAAGAAACAGATCCTGTTTGTCCGTTGGTGGCTGTGTGTCCGCAGGAAGTTCCCGTGCAACAGGGACGGCAGGTGTGAGGTCTCTCCTGCCGACCGCGGCCCCGGGCTCCTCCTTCCGAGCCGTGGCTGAGGCCGGGGGCTCTCGGGCCACCCGCCTGCTGTCCGGGACACGGACTGCCGCCGGGGGCTGCGGGGCAGGAAACCAGTGGGACGCGGTGGGCAGGAGAGACAGGAGGGTGAGGCGTCCCCGCGACAGGTGGTCTCCCCAGTCCATCCAGGAAAGAGCACAAGCCGAGCACTTTGTAATCCAGAAGTGAGAATGTAAATATGGTATGTTTGTATAGCCGAAGGAATATTGATTTTAACTGAATGTGTGATACAGATGCCACAGACTGCGAAAGAACAAGGTAAAAATTAACTCCCAGAACGTTGACATTATGGTATATCAACAGCCACCTGACACCGGAGGGAGAAAGGGAAGGAGAAACCAGGAAAAGTTGTCTAATTCTGAGCGATCCAGGGCCCGGAAACTGTAAAGATTAGAGTCGGGCGTGGCCCATGGGCAGGGTTAGCTTTTCTCTGAGCACTTAAGAGGGAACCAAGCTCCTGGAAGTTTTTATTTCCATCCTAGAGAGAAAGCAGAACATGCCAATCGGGAAAATTAGCTGACGCACTTTTATAAAAAGTGAGGTGTGGGTTTCCCCGGACGGTCATGGACTCCGGCGGCAAGGTAGGCTTGCCCCTGTTGGAGGGGCTGGACTCCGAGGCCTCTGGCCAGCTTGTCTTCTTTCCTTCGCCTTTCAGCGTCTCCGAGACTGCTTTAATGTTCGGTCCAGAGCAAAAAGAACGGGGCGGAACATACATACTCCATCTTGGAGGCCTGATGCTCTCACTGGCTTTTTTAATACATCAGTTTGTGTCTTTCCACTTTGTTTACTTGCCCTGTTTTGTTTTTCAGGCAGATGCGGATAAAACGATGTCTGCCAACCTCAAGTACCTCTCCCTGGGGATCCTGGTCTTCCAGACCACCAGCCTGGTCCTCACGATGCGCTACTCCAGGACGCTGAAGGAGGAGGGGCCCCGCTACCTGTCCTCCACGGCCGTGGTCCTGGCTGAGGTCCTGAAGATCATGGCCTGCGTCTTACTGGTCTACAGAGACAGCCGTAGGTATCCAGGTTTTGTGTGTAAGTCATTGAAATGTACTTAATTGTTTGGGATTATTGACATACGAGTGTCCCTCTGGGTGGCCTGCAGGGATCGGCCAAAACCCGCAGCCCAAAGCCTGCAACTTCCCGCAGCTCCTACCTGCTGCTCCCGCTCATCCCAGCCCCACGTGCCTCCCGCAGGCTCACGCCCCATCAGTCCCGATCAGGAGAGGCTGTGCTGCTGCAGCAGTGCTCGCCAGCCATGAGCCTTGCATCTGGCACCCTCCCCAGGGGAGTGGCCTGCGGGATGGGGCTGAAACCGGCTCTCCGACATCCCCCGAGGAGTCCCGGATTGCGAGAGGAAGCAGGCCAGGCTGAGGGACCCCACTGGCGCACGATCAAGCCGGGGAGGGACCACAGGAGGGCTCCAGGGCGTGTCCGGCCCATCTCGCTCAGTCCCAATCTGCTGGACCCCAGCAGCAAGCTAACCTACCGGTGAGAGCATCTGCCCCTTGGTGGTCAGTGCACATCAGAGTGACTGGTTGACCAGTTGACTGCTCCCTGGTGCTCAGTGCAAGTCGTAGCAAGCTGTTGAGCATCCTTGTCATCATTAACATATTACACTCTGGCTGTTTGGTCGTTCTGCCATTTGGTCTATTTGCATATTACCCTTTTATTATATAGGATGACATATATGTAAATATATGTTGTTAACTACACATTTGAACACTACTGCATTATCTAATACCCTAGTATTAAGAACATTTCAATATTTGTCATTTTATTAAGATGGTTTTTTGTTTTTTTTTAAACTGATTTTTAGAGAGAGGGGATGGGAGAGGGAGTGACAGAAAGAAACATTGATGTGAGAGCAAAACATATATTGGCTGCCTCCTGCACGCCCCCTACCAGGGATGGAACCCGAAACCCAGGCAGGTGCCCTGATCGTGAATGGAACAGGCGACCTTTCTGTGCACGGGACACCCCACTGAGCCACATTGGCCAGGGTCCAAAGAGCAGGAGGACAGAGGGATAGTGCTATTCTGAATGTGCTTCCTGAGGATATTTAACATTTGAAACTTAGCCTCATTAAAGGTATAGTTTAGAGTCCAGCGGTCGGCAAACTGAGGCTCTTTGGCCCCTTGAGTGTGGCTCTTCCATAAAATATCACGGCCTGGGCGAGTCTATTTTGAAGAAGTGGCGATAGGAGAAGTTTAAGTTTAAAAAATTTGTCTTTCCAAAGAAATTTCAATCGTTGATATTTGGCTCTGTTGACTAATGACTAATGACCAATTACTGGTTTAGACCTAAAGTGTCTTAACATGTAGCTCAGTATCCTTTCCTCATGAGAGCAAACAGGCCCAGAGAGAGGGCGCGGAGTGTTCAGTCCCTGCCGGCCTGACCTCCCCGCTCCGCGTCTCCCCTAGAGTGCAGCCTGAGGGCGCTGAACCGAGTCCTGCGTGACGAGATCCTGAACAAGCCCATGGAGACCATCAAGCTGGCTGTCCCCTCCGGGATCTACACGCTGCAGAACAACCTGCTCTACGTGGCGCTGTCCAACCTCGACGCGGCCACCTACCAGGTACCGAGGGCGCCTCCCTCATGGTCCTTCTGCCCAGCAGACCCTCGGCCGTCACTCATCCGCTGTTTCTCTCCAGGTCACGTATCAGCTGAAAATTCTCACCACGGCGCTGTTCTCTGTGTCCATGCTGAGCAAAAAGCTGGGTGTGTACCAGTGGCTCTCGCTGGTGATCCTGATGACCGGAGTGGCTTTTGTACAGGTAGCTGTTCCCGACACGCACCCTGTCATGTCCCACAGCCTGCTCTGCCGCGCCAGGACAGAGCGGCTCTGAGAGCTTCCTGTGCGCCATGCCCCAGGGCTTAGCTGGTGCTGAGAAACATGGAGAAACCAGCTGGTCTGACCACCAGTGAGGGAGCAGGACCGTGCGGGTGGGAGGAAGCTCCTGTCCAGCGGTCCCAGGAGCATCGGAGGTGACGGACACTCCCGAGACCGTGCCTTCCGCCCGTCACCCACCCGCCGTTCTCACCGTCCTCACCGCTCTCCTCCGGTCCCCTTGCTTGGCACTGCCATGGGGCCTGGTCCGGGAGGCTTGTTTCCGTGGTTACTTCCTTACGTGAGGAGCTGCCATCCTCTGGAGCTCCCATCAGCACGGTGTGCGGGGCTCCTGTGCTGCCGGCCGCTCTGGCCGTCACAGGCCGCGTCGGGTTTGTGTGTGGAACCCCTGCTGGGCATCTGGCTGGGCTCTTCAATCGCCTGCTAAGGGGACGTGACCTCCCTGCCCATCCCTGTCCGTCTCCGACATCACTCTCCCTCATCTTCTGCCCCACGTCCAGGCAGCCCTCCCGCTCCGCGCTCCCGGCCTGTCCTGCTGCTTAGCGCTGCCCACCCGGCCTCTCTCCCGTGCCCTGGGCTCCACAGGACTATTGCTGCGGGCTGACAGGGTGTTTTCCTTCAGGCCCCTGCCCCAGAGTCAGCTCTGCGCAGTCCCCGCTGTGGTCTGTCCAAAAGCAAACCCAGCCTGCCGCGTTCCTGCCACTCAGCACTCCCAGCGCTTTCCCGAGTGCAGTGTGTGTGCGCCTTGAATAAAGCTTTTCCACGTTTATTTTATTGGGCCAGACCCGGAGCGCTGAGGGCAGGGGCAGCCCCGGGGTGGATGGTGAGCAGGGCCGGGTGCAGGCAGGGACAAGGTACAGGGGAGGGCCGGGGGGCAGGGCAGGGACAGGGTGCGGGGCAGGGCGAGGTGCAAGGCGAGGTGCAGGGGAAGGCCGGGGTGTAGGGCAGGGCAGGGGTGCAGGGCAGGGCCAGGGTGCTGGGGAGGGGGCGGGGCAGAGTGGGGTGCAGGGGAAGGCCGGGGCAGTGCTTGGGAGGAGCTCCGAGCTGCCGCAGGGCCCCCTCTCTCCCCAGCTTTGCCATTAGAAGGCGGCGGGGGGCGCTGGGGTGAAGTGACGGCTGAAGGCTCTCAGAAGCTCTCCGCAGCCCAGGGCGGCCGGGTGGCACTGAGCTGGCCCTGGCGTGGGGTGGGGGAATGCTCTGGAAGGATGCTGTCTGAACTGCCTGTGTGCCTTCGCCCAGTGGCCCTCGGACGCCCAGGAGCCGGACGCGAAGGCGCTGTCGGCCGGCTCGCAGTTCGTGGGCCTCATGGCCGTGCTCACGGCCTGCTTCTCCAGCGGCTTCGCCGGCGTGTACTTCGAGAAGATCCTGAAGGAGACCAAGCAGTCGGTGTGGATCAGGAACATCCAGCTGGGTGAGTCCCGTGTTCACGGCCCTGCGGGCACTTTCGTTAACGCACACACATCCCGGTGAGAAGTAAGGCCCTCGGTGACTGATCCGTCCGCAGGTTTCTTCGGCAGCGTCTTCGGACTGATGGGCGTGTACGTGTACGACGGGGAGCTGGTGTCGCAGAACGGGTTCTTCCAGGGCTACAACCGGCTCACCTGGGCCGTGGTTGCTCTGCAGGTAAAGACGCAGTGCGCTGCTCTAAGGCCGAGGGCCGGAGGGTGCCGCTGAGCTGGGATGAGGGGAGGGTCCCCTGACCGCGCTCAGCGCCCTGGTTTCTCCTCTGCCCCGCGGAAGTGGCTGTGAAGAGGGGGTGGGAGAGAACCGGGGCAGATGCCCGCGGAGAGCAGGAGGCTGGGGCCGGCAGATGGAACTGCCCGTTGCTCTGCGGGTCACACAGGAGGCAGTGGTCACCCATCAGCTCAGGAAGCAGGCCCGAGGTGCAGCGGCAACAGCGCGTCCCCCTGTGGCCACGCGTCGCTCAGTTTGTGCCCTGAGAGGGTTCAGGCTGCTCCCCAACCGAGGAGGGCAGTGAGGGGGAAGATAGGAGATGCAGCTGCAGGTCCTGCTGGCAAAGCCAAAGCCACTCAGGAGGAGCAAGAGTCCCTGTGGGAGGTGGCCAGCGAGGCCAGGGAGCTGGGCCAGAGAGCCGAAAGGATGCTCTCTCTGTAACAGGAGGCAGGGCGAGTGCAAGTTCAGAGGAGCCGGGCAGAGGCAGGAAGTCAGCGTTCCGTGCAATGGCTTTGATGTGGGAGAGGAAGCCTCTGCCCTCAGGAAGCGGCTGTGAGACCGAAGGGTTGGGCCGCTGGTCTGAGGGACCCGAAGGAGCGAGCAGGAGAGCACTGGAGCGGAAGCAGGCATCCCTGCAGCGGTGGGGCCTCTGCTGGGAGGCGCAGGGGAAGCAGTCCCCAGCAGCGGGGCTGGCAGGAAGGAGGCTGTAAGCACAGCCACACCCTCCTTACCAGCCACAGTGGAATCTGAGGGGCTCGGGAGGAGGTTCTCTGCTTTAAAGAGAGCACAGATAACGGCTTTGGGGAAAGGAACTGAGAGCAGTGAAAGGTGGTTGGATGGGGAGAAACGGGAGGAAGGGAGTGAAGTTAGGAAGCCATGAGAGGCTGGCGGCTAACTTGGTGCGAGCAGATACTTTATTCGTGAGCTGATAAACTCGTTGCAGCTCTGCAGGGTCCATGGCGGTCACTCTATCAGACAGCCTTGGGAATGAGGGCTTTGGAACAAAACCCAGGAGGCTATTGGTTAGAAGAGGGGCTTAGTGAAAATCACTGACTAAATGGGGAGAAATTTGTAGGACAAAAGCTTAAAGTCTCATTGAGTAATGACATTGTTTTGAAAGCAGTTTTCTATACGTTTGTTTTTTAAAGAATCTCTTAACCCTTATGCAGGCACTCGGAGGCCTTGTCATAGCGGCTGTTATAAAGTATGCAGACAATATTCTAAAAGGATTTGCAACTTCCCTCTCCATAATATTGTCCACATTGATATCCTACTTTTGGCTACAGGATTTTGTACCAACCAGGTAACATCTTTTCTTTAAATCTCCAAAGGGTATAGAAAAATAAGGATTTTTCTTCAGATCTAGTCTGAAAAATGTTGTTCTGTTACAACTTTTTAAGAATCTTAGAAATGTAATGAGGGTTCCTTTTAGCTATCTTTTTTTAAAAGGTTTCAAATTATGTGCACGAAAATATCTTCCACTGGAAACATTTTTATATAAATCTGGCTGACAGGAGTTTCCCGATAGATCTGAATGAGTTTTTCTCCCAAAGGAAAAGTCATATAAAAGTCATATTTAAAAGTTCATTGGCCTGCCGAGACTGGTTTGGCTCAATGGATAGAGCATCGGCTTGGGGACTGAAGAGTCCCAGGTTCGATTCCGGTCAAGGGCATGTACCTTGGTTGCGGGCACATCCCCAGTGGGGGGTGTGCAAGAGGCAGCTGATCGGTGACTCTCTCTCATCGATGTTTCTAACTCTCTATCTCTCTCCCTTCCTCTCTGTACAAAATCAATAAAATATATTTTTTTAAAAGTTCTTTGGCCTTATAAAGTCATAAAATAAGCCAAAAAAATGACATTTAAAAATTTTGAAGCTTGCATTTTCTTGAATATACATGTCAAAAGTTAGGGTTGGTATTCTAGTTTACATCCAGTTTAAGGCCCAATACCAGTTTTAAGTTCATTTCCAATTCATAGTAAGGGATCATATTTATGGATAAAATAAAGAAAGCAAGTCCCTGCATTTAGTCTTATTTTAAAGAGCATCCTAAAAAAATTGGTCCTGAATTTTGCTGATTATACCTTGGATTTTATTTTATTTTTTAAATATATTTTATTGTTTTTTTACCGAGAGGAAGGGAGAGGGATAGAGAGTTAGAAACATCAATGGTAGAGAAGCATCGATCAGTTGCCTTCTGCACATCTCCTACCGGGGATGTGCCCGCAACCAAGGTACATGCCCTTGACCGGAATTGAACCTGGGGCCCTTGAGTCCCCAGGCCGATGCTCTATCCACTGAGCCAAACCAGTCAGGGCTATACCTTGGATTTTAAACTGAAATTTACTTTGGTTTGAAAGGAGTGTAGATTTCCCTTTATAGTTTCACATCTTAAAAAAAATGAGGTCTTATTCATTACAAGGCATATGAAGATAAATGACATTTATTTTTTATTTTATTTATTTATTTATTTAATATATTTTATTAATTTTTTATAGAGAGTAGGAGAGAGTGATAGAGAGCTAGAAACGTCGATGAGAGAGAAACATTGACCAACTGCCTCTTGCACACCCCCTTCCAGGGATGTGCCAGCAACCAAGGTACATGCCCTTGACCGGAATCGAACCTGGGACCTTTCAGTCCGCAGATCGACACTCTACCACTGAGCCAAACCAGTTTCGGCTATTCTATTTTTTAAATATATTTTATTGATTTTGTACAGAGAGGAAGGGAGAGAGATAGAGAGTTAGAAACATCGATGAGAGAGAGTCATCGACCAACTGCCTCTTGCACACCCCCTACTGGGGACGTGCCCCCAACCAAGGTACATGCCCTTGACCGGAATCGAACCCGGGACCTTTCAGTCCCCAAGCCGACGCTCTATCCACTGAGCCACACTGTTCCCGGCGATAAAAGACATTTAGATGTCTTTGTTTTGGGGGACAGTACAGTAAGGAGGAGGGGGGAGGGGGAGGAGGGGGAGGGGGGAGGCGGAGGAGGCGGAGGAGGAGGAGGAGTGGTGGGGCTGGGAGCAGGTTACCTTCAGTTTGTCCTGTTAGAAAGGGAGAGCGATGCCACCACTTCCTTGTGGCTGTGGGCACTAAGAGAGAGGCGTGTGGGCACCAGCTGAGTTGCTGGGAGGAGTGAGCACAGGCTTGGCTGGCCTTGTTATCGGAACATCCCCCAACCAGCTTGTTAGAGTAAAGAAAGAGAAGCACTTGTTGGCTTTTAATCTGATTTTGTCTTTTTCCTTTTCTCTTTATTCAGTGTCTTCTTCCTGGGAGCCATCCTCGTAATCGCAGCCACTTTCCTGTACGGCTATGACCCCAAGCCTGCGGGCAATGCCACCCGAGCATAGGGCTCACAGCGTGCCGGGCGGCGGGACCCCCAGGACTGCTCAGACCCCAGATCTCCAAGATCACACTGCCCCATGGCTGGGAAACACGAACGTGTGTGTATGTAACAGAGTGCCTACCGCATCGAGAGCCAAGCTTGAGAATTGCCAGGGCTGGAGTCGCTGCAGGGAGCGGAGATCTGAGGTTAGCGGCGCCTGCCGTGTGGAGCGCTGCAGGGTGATCTGAGCTCTGCAGCGCGCGCCAGCGGTCACTTCTGCAGACGAGCTCCTTCATTCCACCCGGGGTCTGTCTGCCCCTCTGGACAGGCCAGCACATCGGTGGACAGTCAGAGTCCGACAGTGATAACTGTTGCCAGCAAAGCTGTGAGGAAGTAGAAGGACGGCCTGAGAAACACTTTCATGTACCCAAGATTTCTATATTTGTGCAAAAAGATTGGCAAACAAAAGATCGCTAAATGTTGTTCACCTACGTAAAAGCTGGTGAGTGCCCTCTGGGTCTGGCTGGTCAGAGTGAGATGCAGAGCCCACATCCACATTCCACGGAGAGAAACACATTTCTCCTCCCGCCTGTCAAGTCTTCCAGCGCCTCGGAAGCGTCCCCGCTGCATGTGGGTGGCCCTGGGCCCTTGGGTGCTAGCGGCTGGCCCTCACCCACTGCTGCTTCTCTGTAAATCACATCAGTCGTTAGGAGTACTTTAACGGAATTCCCGTGTGTTCCCTTAAAGTTTCAATATGTGATTTAAAGGGATTAAATACTCACTTATTAATTTACAATAAAATAATTCTTGTCTAGTATCTCCATTTGGAGACTTTTGAACTATCAATGCATGAACTGTACACATTAGGGTGTTTTTAAGAAGTATTTTACTCATGGATCTGTAAACTCTACAACTGTTGACAAAAACAACCACCAAAGTAGGACTGACATCAAGGAACTGAGACCAAAACAGCTTTCCTTGGAGACATTCCAGGTTGCCATGGTATCACCTCCTATAAATGGCGCTCTGACTTACACCCAAGGCCGCTCAGTGCTTCCCAGGCGCTCACACCCGTCCCAGGGGCTCTGAGTCCCCAGGGCCCTGAGCACTGGGAGGCGGGAGGCAGGAAGCCAGGTGCTGGCTCCCGTGCTGCTGACGGGTTTCTCTTCCGTTTGCTCAGCTCCACGGTGGAGCAGCAAAGTGCAGGAGTTACTTACCCCGCGGCACAGGGAGAGACCAGGCGGAGGAGATGAGGGGAGTGCTGGGCAAATCCTCCTGAAGTTGGATGTGGGTTTATTTATTGACGCCAAGATTACCAGAGAGTAGAATTATTTTACTTTGTTTTTCATCAGACTTAATATATTTTTAAAGTTTCCTGTTCTAATTGTATAAAAACTAAAAAGTCACTCTAATGGACTTTGCTAAATGTTATTTACTCCTTTCTCTCCGCTACATTCATTATAAAAATACGCTAATTCATGGGAGGAACGTGCCAGTTGGTAGTTCTATTAAAAATTAAGAGCATGGTGTTTGGGAGTGAAAGTTGAAATGCCGCATGAAGATGTGTCGTCGCCGTGATGGGATACAAGCACAGAATCTGGCTCCAAAATAGAGTTTCCCAAACGTGGGCGCTTGCTGCCGACAGGATTGGCTCTGACTTGGTTGATGCAAGCCTGGTCTTAGTATCTCTAGTATCAGGACGCAGCCTGCCCGGTGCACTGGAGTTTGAATGTGTGCGAAGTCACAGCACACTTCAGTGCCTGCTGGGGATGCAGATGGCCCCGAGGAGACTTCTGGAAGCCCGGCTTAGGGTGTTCGGTGACCAAGGAAGATCGCAGTCAGGCTGAGTGTGTGCAGTAACCACCACGTCGAGGGTGCTTTCAGACGAACGGCATTCACACTGACATCTGTGACCCGCGAAGCGAACCCAGTCTCAGGTGCTGAGAACTCAAGAGTGAAAACTGTAAGAAGACGTGCGTTCAGCCCACAGGAATAGTGGTCAGGTAATTACAGCCATTCCTGTGTGCTCACAGTTAATTGTTAATTCAGGTACAGTCTGCTCCTGTTTTAACACTTCCAAAAATAACCCAGGAGCACGATTGGATATCAGATATGCCATCTACAGTGTCCAAAATAACACAGTTTTCAAGATTCCTAACAAAGTTTATAAAGTTATAATCAAGAGTTTTAAGAAAGGAGAAAATAGTCTAAAGTATATTTTCCAAGCAGTTTTTATTTTGCTTTTCTAGTCAGTTTGAAAATGTTACCAGAGATTGGGTTGTTAGTTTATGCTTTTTAATCCCTAAAGATACAGTCACATTTGAGAAGAGGAGCCCTTATTCCGGATCATGTCATATGTAGGGTGTCCCCCCAAAATGCATACACACCGCTGAATAATTATAAAGGCAGTGTTTATTAAAATACATTTCATACCGGCCAGCGTGGCTCAGTGGTTGAGTGTTGACCTATGAACCAGGAGGTCACGGTTCAATTCCCGGTCAGGGCACAGGCCTAGGCTTCGGGCTCGATCCCCAGTAGGGGGTGTGCAGGAGGCAGTCGATCAATGATTTTCTCTCATCATTGATGTCTCTCCCTCCCTCTGCCTTCCTCTCTGAAGTAAATATATATTGAAAAAATAAATTCATTTTCACAAGTGAGCTATCAGCTGTTAAAGTGGGTAAGCATTTCTTGGGACACTGTATGTACAGACATGCCATTTTCTTGGGTGTGGTATGGGTTTTGCTGACTTCCAAAAGCCTTATTGTATTAAATCTTTTGTGACAACTCGATTATTTAAATTCTTATACTTTTTAAAGTTTACTTCTCTCCACTAATTGGTTCATTATAAAAAATATGCTAATTCATGGGAGGAAAGTGCCAGTTGCTAGTTCTATTAAAAATTAAGAGCATGGTATTTGGGAACAAAAATCTGAAATGCTGTGTGAGGAGTCCCCTCGCCGAGATGGGCTCAGCCCTGTGAGAAGTGACGGGCGGTGGTGGAGCTGTCTCATGGAGGAAGGTGTGGTACGGATGCAGAATCTACGTTTACATCCATGTACATTGAGTGCCACCCTTCATAGGAGGGGTGGTTTGATCTATAAACTAGGTTGTAAGAAGAGACGTTGAAAGGAAACTGACTTTGTGCTCAGTAGACATAGTTAATGCTGACTGTTCTTAAGAATTGGCACGCTTTTCCTGCTTCCCAAATTATTAGACTTAAAAAATGCGTCCTATAAACTCCATTCAGCTGAGTTTCTTTTAATAACAGGGTTCTGCATTGCTCACTCTCATTGTTACCATATGTAATCACATGTGCATGTGTGCTGTATGTCCGGGAAGGTTACAGAGCCAGTTAGCTCTATGGAAGGTCACTTGAACAGTCGGTGGGATGTGTAGCACATTCAGAGTCTCTAAGGACCAAAGCCAGAGCGCCTTCATCACACCCTGGGCCTGTGCCTTGCTTTACAGAATCCCTGACTTCCTGCCCTGGAGGCTGTGCCTGTCATTCCCAGCTGTGGACATTGGGAAAAGGAGGGAGTTTTAAGGATACTAACCCGCCTTGCTGGCCATTTCAGCATTTGCTCAGGAACCCTTACCTGGCGGGATGGGAGGGTGGGTGCCCTGTACGAACACTGGTGGGCAGCCTGATGGACTGCCAGACTGTTCAGATGCGTGCCCTGCACTGGGGGCGGGGGGAGGGGGGGAGGGGAAGAGGGGTTAAGAGGCGCGAGGAACCAACTTAAATAATCACCCAGCCCTCCGGCATTGCGCTCCTCCGACCTGGACAGTCAGATGGAACCATCATGCTTTCGCTTTATTTTTTCTGAGCTATCATTTACTGTGATTTAAACAACGTTTTACAATCATTTGAGTTCTGAACTTGTCTATATGTCTGTATTTTATTTGTTTAGAAAGATTCTTTTGGGCTTGGGAATGTGATTTGTATGTTTAAATTTTGATGACTAATTCAAAGAAATATATAAACTGGTCTTTTGTTAAATGGCTTTTTTTAAATTGACAGATTTTGTCTTTTTTTTTTTTTTTTTGGTACTCAGTTTCCACTTAGTAAGCTGATGAAAGTAGATTATTTTCATAATTAGCGATGTAAGCGTCTCTCTGTGTTCCCTGGCCCCTCACTCCCGTGTCAGACAGGACCCATGAGTTGCCCCTGTTCTCTGGCAATAGCGACCCCACACCTTCCTGCCTTTGGTTCCCGGCCCCACGGGGACCTCTCCCAGTGCAAGCTCAGCCCGGAGCCCGAGTCTCACCACCCCGAGCCCGGCTGCTCTCCTCGGTGGTGCCAGCCTACTAGTGAGTGCTTTGTCTTAAACTAACTCTCTCTCTGCTAGCCTCAAGCTTAGGTAATTAGTTACTGGGATGTATCTTCTTCATAATTTGAATATAATTGTTTCTTTCATGACTCTCAGTTCAGTGCATAGAGGTCAAATGATAAGCCACAGGGTTTTATTTCCACCTTTCTCTGAAGTAACCTTGTACAGAATGCTTCATTTTAACAGATCGCTGAAGTAAGAATATCAGAACTTTTTAGCGTGTACTTTTCTTTGGTATCTTCTCATGAAAAGCATTTACTTAAATGGGGGGAGGGTAGTAGGGATATTTCTTTTGCTGAAAAACTAAAGTAAAAGAAATGTCCTCCTGGGAAAAACAAAGGAAGTGCTGTCTGCCTGTTCTTAGTTCTTAACCCCAGGGCCATGCAGACACACCGGGAGGCAGTCTGATGGAGGCCCCCGCTCAGTGTCGGAGGGTGCGCACCCACCCGAGAGAAAGCAGCCCACGGGGGAGAGGGGGGAGTGTGCTGTGAGCGGCTCAGGCTTTCCCGAGCTCCCGCCTCACCAGGTGAGACCATTCTCTGCAAACCAGGGCTCAGGGGAGCCGTGTAACCGCCGTCCGCTCATCACAGGGGAGCCACAGGCCAGCAGCCACAGGAGACAGCGCGTCCACGGGGCACCAGGCTCCGTACCCTCCAGGCGTGCGCTCCAGGGTCCCGGGCGGCACTGCCTGCTCCCGCCACAGTGCTGGGCACGGAGCGCTGCCAGCGGGAAGCCCCTCGCTGCGGGCCCAGGTGTTCCTGGCAGCTCAGACAGGGCCCACGTGGTGGGCTCACACTCCAGCCCTGCCCCTCTGGAGGTCTGGCTCCAGGGCGCCCCCTGCCAGACACCTTGTGGGCACACGTTACCAGCTGTCACCTGGGGGGCTGCCAGGAATAACAGGCACCCCCTCGCCTGGGCCCCTTACGAAGGGACTGTGCATCCCTGCCCTTCTCTTGGACTAAGGAGGAACCACAGCCATGGCTGCTGGGCAGACACCTTTCATGACACACTGCCGTTTTTTTTTAAAATGTGGAACGCTTCAGGAATTGGCACGTCATCCTTGGGCAGCAGCCACGCTAATCTCTGTATGGTTCCAATTTGTAGTATACGTGCTGCCGAAGCGAGCACTACACGGTCATTTTAAATATATATTTTTTTTATTAATTTCAGAGAAGGGAGAGGAAGGGGTAGAAACATCAGTGATGAGAATCATTGATTGCCTCCTGCACACCCCCCCTGGGGGTCGAGCCCACGACCCTGGCATGTCCCCCTGACCAGAATCAAACCCGGGACCCTTCAGTTCACAGGCCGACGCTCTATCCACTGAGCCACACCAGGTAGGGATACCCTGTCATTTTGAAGTTCCCAGGGCTGGGGCCAGGAGTGGGGGGGGGGAGGCACGCTCCGGGTCTGGGGCAGCAGGTGTGGCAGGGGCTGCAGGTGTGGCAGGGGCAGCAGGTGTGGCAGGGGCAGCAGGTGGCCGAGGACCTGGCCAGGCGGAGGATCTGCTCCCGGGATGCCTCGCGCCGGTTGGCAGGCGGCCTCGGTCTGGCCCCTGGGCCTCCAAAGGCTGCTTGAGTGTCGTCCTGGCGTGGCCGCCGGCCTCCCCCAGACCTGAGCCGAGGAACGGAGCCCGCGGGAGGGTTCTGTGCTGTTGTGACCTCCCTGCCCCGTCTGTGCTGTCACTTCTTCACTCGGTGAGGAAGGCGCCGCAGGCGGCCCACATTCCGGAGGGTCGCGCCCACCGGCTCCTCCTCCGGACAGTCGGACGGTGTCAGTGCCCCGAGGAAGGGGCTCCCGCTCTGGCCTCCGCCGGCCCGGCTGGCGCTTCATGCCCGCCCCGGCCCCCGCCCGCCCCCGCTGCCGCGCGCCGCACCTCCGACCTGCGGGAGGGCCGCAGCGCCCCGCCGCCCCGCGAGGCTCCCGCTATCCTGGAGGCGGACGTCCTCCCACCGACACTCAATCACCAGCATCCACGCTTTCCTTCATCCGCCACCGCCTGCGTAGCCACCCAACCGCTCCCTCCATCAACTGACTTTCCAACAAAATGGCGAAACTGGAGGCGGACCCCAAGGCGCCGCAGGTAACGCGTGCTGCCACGCCCCGCGCCCCGGACCACGAGGCCGCGTCTGGAAGATGGTCTGTCCGGGCCGCCGCCCTCGTTCCCTTCGCCGCGGCCCGGCCCCAGCGACCCACCGGCTTCCCTCCCGCGCCGCGCAGCCAGCAGCCGGGGGGCGGGGCTGCGGCGTCACGTGGGGGCGGGCTGTGTCACGTGGGTCCGGAGTAGGGCGTCACGTGGGGAGCGGGCAGTGTCGCGGGGCGGGGCGACGGCATCACGTGGGGAGCGGGCAGCGTCGCGGGAGGGGCGGGGCGACGGCGGCGCGGGGGACGCGGCGGCGGCGCGGGGCGGGGCGGCGCTCGTCGCCGATCGCACGATGTGACGCGCCGCCGGGGCAGGCCGGGCCGGGAAGATGGCGGCGGGCTCCGCGAGCGGCTCGGCCCGGCAGTAGCGGCGGCACGGACTCGCCGCGGGGCCGCCGCCCCGGGAGTGGCAGCAGCGGCGGCGGGACCTGAGGATGGTAAAATGACGCAGGGGAAGAAGAAGAAACGGGCCGCGAACCGCAGCATCATGCTGGCCAAGAAGATCATCATTAAGGACGGAGGCACGGTGAGCGGAGGGCCCGGCCCCGCCCGCCGCCCCGGGCTCCCCTTCCCGCCCCGCCCGGCCTGCGGCCTCCGGGCCCGGCCTCCGGGGGGGGCCGCCGGCCGTCCTCACCCGCCGCCCTCGCCCCCGCGACCCTCGGGGCCTGGCCGCGACCCACGTGCGCTCCGCCGGGGCCGCCGCCCGCCGCCCGCCCATATGCTCCCCCGGGCGCCTCGCAGGCCGGCCCGCGCCCTCCCGGCGGCGGGGTGGGCGCCGGCCTGGCCGTCCGCCCGGGAGCCGCGGAGGTGGCTGCCCCGCGCCGAGCCGCCGGCCTGGGGAGCGGCCGTCCCGGCGGCGCTGAAGCCCCGGTGTCCGCGCGGCCGCCCGCCCGGCCCCGAGCCCGGCCGCCTGCTGCGGGCCCGGCGGCGCCGAGGGAGGGCGGCGGGCGGGCGGAGGGTCGGAGGGGCGGAGGGACGGAGGGACGGAGGTCAGACGGAGGGAAAGTCGGCTTCTTGGAGACCGTTGTCATCACGATACACTTTTCGCCGAGGGAGGCGGCCGGCCGGCCCGGGGAAGGGGAGGAGGGTTAACTGGGAACAACTCGCCCCGCCACCTTAGGCTGGATCTCCGGGGCTGGATCTCCGGGGGCTGGATCTCCCGGGGCTGGATCTCCCGGGGCTGGATCTCCGGGGGCTGGATCTCCGGGGGCTGGATCTCCGGGGGCTGGATCTCCCGGGGCTGGATCTCCGGGGGCTGGATCTCCGGGGGCTGGATCTCCCGGGGCTGGATCTCCCGGGGCTGGATCTCCCGGGCTGCACCCCGGGCCGGGCCGCTCGGAGCCGGCCCCGGGAAGGAGGGGCTGCCGGTCCATCTTTAGTAAATGCCGTGGTTTGGGCCTTGGGCATCGCGGTGGGGCCGGCGGGCTGGGACCGCGGCGCAGTCAGTGCACTGGCGGGCCGCTGTCAGGTCCTTAGCGGCACAGACTTGGCATTTGGTGGGGGCACTGCCATCCAGTCCCGAGGCTTCTGTTGTGGGTGAGCCTCGCCTGGGCCGGGTGAGGCGGTGGCTGTGAGCGCCGGAGCCCCGCCAGGCAGACAAGTGCGGGAGAGAATGCTGGCTGCCCTGTGCCCGGCGCTGCCTTCGATGCCTCTGCACCTGCAGGCGGGCAGGCGGGCAGGGGGGTGAGAAGTGTGAGTGGAGCCGATGAAGAAACAGTTTCCTTTTCTTGTAAGCTCCGTGTTTCCTTTCCGCTCGGCTTTGGCTCACAGATGCCTTTATGGCTCATCCTGAGAGCTGAGATGATTCTTCATCTCGTTACTTATCGGTGTGGTAGGGATCCATAGTTTGCTTTTGGACACAAGCCAGTCTCCCCCCAGCACGGGTTTCAGGGTGCAGAGGATGCATGGAGCCTGGGGGAGGGCGAGTGTCGTCTGGATGCACCTCCCGGGCGGACACCCCGTAGAACAGGGCTTTGTCTGCCCTGATTGCTGAGGGCCTAGCATGTGAGTCCGCAGTGGCAAAAGCACTCAGGGTGACAGAATGTGTGTGCCAACACATCTCTAGGTGGTTTTTATTGTAATTTGTGTATTCCTGTGTATAATCAGGAGATATATTTCTGTACCTGTCAGGGTAATTTTTTGCAGGGTTTATATTTTAATCCACTCTAGCTGTTAATGAAAACAAACATAACTTTGCGAGTAGAACTTTTGCCCTGGCCGCTGTGGCTCAGTTCCCCAGCTGATCCATCCCCGCTGGGGGCGCTGGAGGCAGCCCATGGTGTTCCCGCTCTTTGTGGTTACTTTCCCTTCCTCTTCCTCTAAACGTCGACTTAAAAAATAATAAATAACCCTGACGGGTTTGGCTCAGTGGGTAGAGCGTCGGCCTGCGGACTGAAAGGTCCCAGGTTCGATTCCGGTCAAGAGCATGTACCTTGGTTGCAGGCACATCCTTGGTGGGGGGTGTGCAGGAGGCAGCTAGTCAATATTACTCTCTCATCAGTGTTTCTAACTCTCTCTCCCTCTCCCTCTCTGTAAAAAATGTATAAAATCTATTTAAATAATAAGTAAAAGTAAACTTTTATAAAGACGTGATTTTAAAATGGCCTTTGGTTTCTGGCCTCTCTGTACTTGGTCAGGTCACCACCGTTACAGACGCTTCTTAAGAAAGGGCGGAAGACTGCCCGAGACATCGCTCAGTTCCCCGGGGGTTTGTCAGAGTCCAGCGCCCAGCGCCCGGCATGCAGCTCTGGGCAGCTCCCTCCTGGCGGGCCCGCCCCCGCCGTTGTCTGCACGGGGCTCGGCCACCTGAACCAGCCGTGGCTTTGCTTTGTCCTTGCTCAGGGCGTCTCCCTGAGCCCGGTCAGCCCCCAGCAGGCCAGGCAGCTGGGGTGGTTTGTCAGAAAGTGATGAGTCGTTTTTAACAGTTGGGGGAACAGCCCTTCCAGAATCCCGCTGCACCCTCAGCTCCGGGCTGTGCGGGAGGGGTGGGGAGGGGTACTCGGGAGCGGCTGACCCAGGCTGCCCTTGGAGTCAGACACAGGAAGGTAAATGACCTGAAGGTGTGTGAGTCTACACTGTGGGGCCAATTCAAAAACAAGAATAAAAGAATAAGCCATGTCACACACTCGAACCTGTAAGCCCACTTTGCCCACCTGTGTGTCCGGGGCCCTTCTGGGTCCGCTCACCTTGAGCTGTTGGCCCCGTTTGGTTGACTTAGGTTTTCGGGGAGAGTTTCTGAAGGGCCTGTACTTCCGGAAGTAAGCACAGTGTTCAGTGGAAAACAACACGGTTCACCAGAGAAGGCCCCCAGGTTAAACTCAGCAAATATGTAACCATCTGCTGTGTGCCATGTCACTGCTGAAGGCGCTGCAGCCTGACCACAGCACGGACTAGAGGCCCGGTGCCCGGCCCGCCGACCGACCGACCGGCAGGCGGGCATCTCCCTGGGGGTCCCGGGCTGCGAGAGGGCGCAGGCTGGGCTGAGCGACCCCCTAGTGCGAAATAACAAGTTTTTCATTAAAACCTTTATATATGTAATGTTTTGCTAATCTCTTAGTCAGTGTGGACCATTTGGGACAGATGAATTTAAAAGTGCGTTTCTCCGGTGTTTTTAAATTACAGTTGACATACCACATAGGGATTAGACATTCATACCCTTACCGAGCGCTCACCCCAATAAGTCTTGCCCACCTGACACCGCACACACTGAGTACACTGGCTGATCGTGTTCCCTGTGCTGTGCTTCACGGTCCCGTGACTGTTTAAATATGTTTTTATTTCAGAAGGAGGGAGAGAAGCATCAGTGATGAGAGGTCGGCTGCCTCCTCACACCACTCTGGGGATTGAGGCTGCAACCAGACATGCGCCCTGACCAGGAATCGAACCTGGCTCATAGGTCAACAATCAGCCGCTGAGCCACGCTGGCCAGGCCCCATGACTATTTTTAAAACTTGCCATTTGTACTTGATAGTCCCTTTCACTTTTCACCCACCCCCTGCACCCTTCCTGTCGCCTCCACCTGTTTGTTCTGTGTGTATGAGCTGATTTCTGTTTTTTTAGATTCCACAGATAAGCTAAATCGCAGTGTTTGACTTCCTTTGTCTCACTTATTTCACTTAGCAAAGTACTCTCAGGGTCCATCCATGACTCAAGTGGTAAGATTTCATTTTTTTTAAATATCTTTATTGATTTTGAGAGGGAAGGAGAGGGAGAGAATCACGATTGCCTGCCTCCTGCACATCCCCTTCTGGGGGTCGAGGCTGCAACACAGGCCAGGCATATGCTCTTGTCCCGAACTGAACCCGGGACCCTTCAGTCCACAGGCCAAGGCTCTATCCACTGAGCCAAACCAGCCAGGGTAGCTTTCATTCTTTTTTATGGCAGCATAATATTTCACTGTTTCACATCGCCTTATCCACTCGCCTGTCGATGGACACGTAGGTTGTTTCTGTCTCTTGGCTCTTATTCAGATGCTGCTATGGACAGGGGTACAGGATACGTAATATCTTTCTGGATTGGCGTTTTGGGTTTCTTCGGATAAATACCCAGAAGTGGGATTGCTGGGCCATAAGGCGGCTGCCCGCTCTGCGCTCCCGGGGACGGGCTGGAGAGCTCCCTGGCCTCCACCCCTCCCAGCACTAGTCTGCTGGCGGCTGGCGGTGCCCCTGACCCGTGTGAGGGCAGCTGCCTCGGTGTGGAGTGCCGCTTCTGGGCATTCAGGCCTCAGTCCTGTGGCTCTGGCACGGCGGCCACTCCCCGGGGCGCAGTGTCTGCGGTGGTGGCTGTGGTGCCCACGTCAGTCACTGCAGCCCGGGCCGGCGGTGTCCTCCGCTGACCGCCGGGCCAGGCCCGGGCTCACCTCCCCGTTCCCCCAGATGGCGCTGCCCTCCGGGCAGCCCGGAGCCACTCCTCACCCGGCTCCGCTGGCCGCGCTGGGGGACTGGCACTGAGGACGGCAGGTCCCCGCGGCCATCAGCCGAGCAGCCGGAGGAGAATGAGCGGATGGAGCAGCCGAGAGCGGCCCCAGCGCGCATCCCAGACGCGGAGGGACGCGGGCCCACTCACGCGCTGCCCCTGTTTTCCAGCCTCAAGGAATCGGCTCCCCCAGTGTGTACCACGCGGTCATCGTCATCTTCCTGGAGTTCTTTGCCTGGGGCCTGCTGACGGCGCCCACGCTGGTGGTAAGTCACCTTTCGCTGACCACTTCCTGTGAAGCCTCTTTCCCCAGTTCCGGGGCGAGCCTTCTCCTTTCCGCAGCCTCAGCACCCACTTCCTGGTCCCGCTTTGGTTGTCCACTTCCGTGCAGCCTTGGGCAGAGGTCTGACATGTCTCTGTGCCACCTGGGGTCCTCACTGGGGACTGGGTGTCTGAGGTGCCTGGCTAGGGCCTGGGGTGGCGAATGCCCCTCAGTGCCCGGTAGTAGATTGCCTCCCGTGCCAGCATCCTGCAGAGCGAGCTGAGGAAGTGAAATTAGGGCGTATTGTGAGGGGACGGTTGGAAATGGAATAGGACGTTTTACTGAGACAAAGGCAGCCTGAGGCTTTCTTCTGTTCTGGTGTTTTAGGTATTACATGAAACCTTCCCTAAACATACATTTCTGATGAACGGCCTGATTCAAGGAGTCAAGGTAGGATCAGCCGTGTATACAGTCATGCATGCGTGTGCTCACCCCCAGCACCTACTACCTTGCCATGCAATCTGCCGGGATGGGAGGTGGGTAACTGACCCCATAGGTGTCCCTTTTTACAACCAGAGTGAACCAGCTGGGCTTTCAATCTCATTTGGCTCAACTGTAGCCACCTGCGCGCCCTGCTAGAGCCCAGCTCGCACATGGTAACTCCCTTCCCAGCAGTTCCCAGGGGTAGGCGTTGGCGTTTATCGCAGAGACCTGAGTGCTTTTGTAAACTACAGTAAGAATATAAATTGAAAACTATTTTAGGGATGCAGAAATTTCTCCGTCTGGTCAGGTCTTGCATATTCTGCATGCTCTGTATTGGAGACTTCCTTTGACAGCAGGTTTTAAACATAAGTAGCCTGTGACTATAAAAGCATAACACGAGCGTCTTTCTCCACCTGCGCGGGTGGCGCTCCTGGGGCTGAGTGGTCCCCGGAGCGCTTCCTGTTTAATTTGCAGCGAGGCCTGCAGGTGATCTAGACCAGCGGTGCCAGCCTTCTGGACCTCATGGAGCACTGTGGTCAGACCACTGGCTGGCGCCCGCTGTGCTTCAGTCCTGGGAAACGCTGAAATCACACACAGACAAATAAGCTGTTCCTCTTCACTTCGGGGACACGTTGTCTGAAATAAACCGGCTTCAGGCTCTCCGTGGGTCCCCTTTGGCTCACTGTTTCCTCCCCCGCAGGGTCTGCTGTCCTTCCTCAGCGCCCCGCTCATTGGTGCTCTCTCCGACGTCTGGGGCCGGAAGTCCTTCCTGCTGCTGACGGTGTTCTTCACGTGTGCCCCGATCCCTCTGATGAAGATCAGCCCGTGGTAGGTGCCCTTCCTTCCGCTCAGCGCTGCCTCCCGCCCGCTCCCGCCGGACTCTGCCCGACGCGCTGCCGTCCACACGCTCACACGCCCTCAGCCCGATGCTGGAACGCGTGTGGAACCACAGCTCTTTTCCCCTCTCGTTCACTCTCCATAGCAACCGCTCCGCTCACTGCCGGGGCCGGACTGAAGGATGTCTAGTCTGTCCTCAGCCGCAGGAAATGCAGTGACTGAGTTACTGAGTTTTGTTTCTGTCAGTGCTGTGGCGACAGTAGTGGTTGGATCTCAATAGCTTTGTTGCTGTCTTAAGTCAAAACTACAGTCACTTTAAATGCCCTGTTTGGTGAGGGACCGGCTGGAGACGGTACTTCATGTCCGCACGCTGTGCGCCGAGTGCCTGCTGCCCCGGCCGCCGCTGTGCGGTCTGAGCCTGCGGAGCCGGGCGGCCCCAAGCCAGTCCTCATCCCGTCCCCTCTCCCTCCAGGTGGTACTTTGCTGTCATCTCCGTGTCTGGGGTGTTTGCAGTGACCTTCTCCGTGGTGTTCGCGTACGTGGCGGACATCACCCAAGAGCACGAGAGAAGCATGGCCTACGGACAGGTGCGGCGCCCTCCCGCAGCCCCGGGGCCCGCTTGTCTGGTGACCTCACAGGGCAGTGCATGCCTTACGGGACCCGTTCCTGATGGCCGCACGGCACACGCGCTCACATACAGAGCCTTGTACGTGTGGCTGCTTGCGTTCCGTATGTATTTAGTCACACACGTCAGATTTGAAATTACGGGATATTGCTACATTATTGAAGCTCCTTTGAACATTATACTGAAGCTAAGGAACTCTTTTCTGGGTCGTGAGACGGAAATGGCTGATCTAAAGTCAGGAGGCTCATGCCGGACTCCAAGCCCAAGGCCTTGCTGTGCTGCCATCCCTCACATTCTCTGGCCTTGGCACAGCTCGCAAAGGCAGAAGCCATGTTGGTCTAGGTCCGTGGTCGGCAAACTGGCTCGCGAGTCACTGCGGCTCTTTGGCCCCTTGAGTGTGGCTCTTCCACAAAATACCACGGCCTGGGCGAGGCTATTTTGAAGTGGCGTTAGAACACTCACGGGGCCAAAGAGCCGCATGTGGCTCGTGAGCCGCGGTTTGCTGACCAGTGGTCTGCGTTAGGCCCACAGCTGGTGCCTGTTTCCAGCTAAGACTGGTTGCTCCTCCTGCGAGGAAGAGTGTGAGCAGGTGGGGGAGGGCTCACGGGCGGCAGCCTGCCCGGAAGGAAGGGGTCAGGTCCTGCTCTCACCTCTGACCTTGCGTGGCTCCAGGTCTCCGCCACGTTCGCCGCGAGCTTGGTGATCAGCCCTGCCATCGGCGCGTACCTGGGCCGGGTGTACGGGGACAGCCTGGTGGTGGTCCTGGCGACGGCCATCGCGCTGCTGGACATCTGCTTCATCCTGGTGGCCGTGCCCGAGTCTCTGCCCGAGAAGATGCGGCCCGCGTCCTGGGGGGCGCCCATCTCCTGGGAGCAGGCCGACCCCTTCGCGGCAAGTTCACCCCCTTCCCTCTCGGGGCAGCAGTGACGGGTGGGGGTGGTGGGGAGGGGTGAAGCCTCTGGCAGTGTGGGAGGCGGACAGGAACTAGAAAGGGCCCGCACGGCCGCGGCAGCTGTGCTGACGGGTGCCCCCTCCGTGTTGCAGTCGCTGAAGAAGGTGGGCCAGGACTCCATCGTGCTGCTCATCTGCATCACCGTGTTCCTCTCCTACCTCCCGGAGGCGGGCCAGTACTCCAGCTTCTTCCTGTACCTCCGCCAGGTGAGCCCACCGGGAGGACGGCGGAAATCCCATCGGAGGGGCTGGGCTGGCAGAGACTGGGACAGGCTGCCGTCCTCGGGCAGACCGCCTGCGGCCAGGGTGGCTCAGGCCGCCCTGGCTGCCCACGCGAGAGGGGGAGCTGCGGCCGCTCGGAGACGAGCGCCCGTCGGCAGAGCAGCTGCCAGGAGCGTCATCTGCTGCTCTGGTCCGGGGCAGCGAGGCACCGAGAGGAGCACAGAGCCTGCTGCTGGTCACACGGCTCTGGCGCTGTAGCTGCCTCGGGTTTCTTCCTCCGGCTCAGTGGTCGGCAACTCGCCAGCCACAGCCAAATAGCAACAGGACGACGATAGAAATTTCTTTGGGGAGCCACATTTTTTTAAACTTCTAACGCCGCTTCTTCAACAGAGACTCGCCCAGGCCGTGGTATTTTGTGGAAGAGCCACACTCCAGGGCCAAAGAGCCGCAAGTGGCTGGTGGGCCGCGGTTTGCCAACCACTGATCTAGCAGGTTTTAGATTTTCTTAACTTGTCCTAAGTGGGTTTGTGTTTAGCGCGTTAGCACCATATCGGATTCTCCGGGAAAGCCGTTTCCCTCGGGAGAATTCTTTGGTGCCAAATGAGCAGTTTGATGTTTTCAGGCTCCGTGAATGTTGACAGGCTAGCCGTGGCATAGTGTGGTGGTTGCTGTGCTTTTGTGTTCATTAACGTTTCCTGGGAACCTTCCAGATAATGAAGTTTTCACCAGAAAGTGTGGCGGCCTTCATAGCGGTCCTGGGCATCCTCTCCATCATCGCACAGGTGAGTCGGCAGGCGCTGGGAGCGGCTGCGCCCACAGGGTGCCCTCCGGGGGCTCCCGTGTCAGGCTCCGTGACACTCCATCTTGTCAGGCAGCTAACGTGGCTGAGATGGGGGACTGGCTGGCACATAGCAGCATGTGAGCGTAAGTCAGAGGACAGGGTGTGGACTTACACCAGGAAACTGTGCCTGTACAAGGAGAGGCTGGGCCTGGCGAGTGGGGAGCACAGGCAGGATGGCGGGGAGGGGGGGGGGGGGGGAGATGACACAGGAAGTCGAGAAGTGGAGGGACCCATCCTGTGGGCCTGTGGGCGCCTGGCTCGGAAACAAGGGCCATTGGGGGCCTTGGCAGAGGAGTGGCTTGGTGTCTCAGGACCCGGATGTAACTGGCGGTTTGAGGAAGAATTGGATTTTCTTAGATCAGTTTCCTGGCCGGCAAGCTCTCCCTGTCCCACAGGAAGTTCCAGTCCAGTGAGCGGTGGAAGCCCCGCCCCACGGCCAGGGGCTGGGCTCCTTCTGGCCCTGCAGTCACCGCACACACTTCCACTTGGTCCGGCTGCGAGGTCCGCAGATCGCTGCGCCTGTGTGACCTTAGAAAGAACGAGGAGCAGGGAAGCCATCCGCTCAGAGTGGTGGTTACCAAGTGCTTAGTTCCTGGGCCAGGCCCAGCGCTGAGCACGGGTGTGAACGTGACAGAGTTTGGAGGAGGTGCTGTTCCGCCAAGTGGAAGGGGCATTTTGTAGGAGTCAGTCTCCGTGAAGGGACTTGGCCAGGGCCACACACAGCCAAAATGGAGGGTGGGGGGACTGTTTCCCAGGGGCTGTGCTCTGGGCCCTTGGCAGGGCTGCTCCCAAGGCCGTGATAAACGGGTCAGCGTTCAGAAAGGCCCAGGTACCTGCGGGATGAGCACGGGCAAAGGGGTGTGAGTAGCTGGGCTGTTTCCTTCAGTCAGGAATGAGCCTGCGGAGTAAAGCTGTCACATCAGGGCCCCGGGTCCTGGTCGGAACCTTCTGACCTGCCAGCTCGACTTCAGAACTGCTCAGCGAAGCTCCCTGTCCCGTCCCCCGGTCCTGGCCTCTGCACCCGGGGGAGCCCCCTTAGGGCAGCTGTGCGGTCGCCCGTCTAGAAAGTGGAGTCCGCCGAAACCGGCCTGCGGACTGAAGGGTCCCAGGTTTGATTCCGGTCAGGGGCATGTACCTTGGTTGCGGGCACATCCCCAGTGGAGAGTGTGCAAGAGGCAGCTGGTTGATGACCCTCATCGATGTTTCTAACTCTGTCTCTCTCCTCCTCTCTGTAAAAAGTCAATAAAATATGTATATTGAAAAAAATAGAAAAGTGGAGTCCTGCTCCTGGCCGTCACCCCGTATTTTAGAGTGACAAAGCTTTGGTCTTTTCTTCCAGACCATAGTCTTGAGCTTGCTCATGAGATCCATTGGAAACAAGAACACCATTTTGTTGGGTCTGGGGTTTCAGATCTTACAGCTGGCATGGTATGGCTTCGGTTCAGAGCCTTGGTAAGTCATTATTTTAATTTCCTTTAAACGCTTGGTGTCAGCCTTGTTTTGAGATACAATTCAGCTTTCGTAGTTAGTTGCTCCTCAGCTGAGGTTCAGCCCTGTCTTCCTGTGCTCCCCTCACACTGTATCCACCTCTCCCGTGTGAATTGCCTGGGGACACTGCAGCGGACTCCCAGGGTGGGTTTGTGAACGGGTCACGAAGCCTCATGGCCTCCAGCAGTTTGTCGTTAGGAAAAGCACACAGTCCCACAGCAGCTGGGCCTGAAACCAGTTCCCTCGTCGGAAAGGAAGTCAAGCAGCCCCAGTGGCTGTCCCGACAGCAGCGGGTCTGGGAGGAGAGCCCAGCGGTTCCGGCCCAGGCCCCGCTGGACACTCTGCCCTTCCTCCAGCTGGCTCCCCGCAGGGAGGGAGGGCTGCCGTCCTCAGGGGCAGGCCTGCGCTCCTGTTTGGACTGACGCTCCACTGGCCGAACAGTCGGACGTGGTGGTTATTTTTCTGGTCTAGCTTTTAGCTGCTCAGTGATAAAACATTTAAAGCAAGATCAGACCAGTGGTGCCCCCACTCAGTCAGGCGTCGGTGGAACCCGCAGGAAGAGTGTTTGGAAACAGCTCATGTTTATTTTACACCTTGTTTTCCATGTGGGGGGGGGGAGGGCCTGTCCAGGGTCTAGTGACGCAGCTCCCAGCAGCGCTCACACGGCGCCCACCAAGACGGGCGGCGGGAGCTGGGGCTTAGCTCTGCCCTCTGCCCGCAGGATGATGTGGGCTGCGGGGGCCGTGGCCGCCATGTCCAGCATCACCTTTCCTGCTGTCAGTGCGCTCGTGTCCCGAACTGCTGATGCCGACCAACAAGGTGAGTGCTGGGTCGGGGGCAGCTGTGTGAGCACAGCATCCAGCCCTGTCCCCTCCGGGGGCACAGAGCCTTGGCCTCACGCTGACCACCGATGTCTGCTCGGGTGCCCTACACAGACCCTGCGGGCGCGCTCACCACCCGGGCACGTCTCCGGGGTCAGTGCTCTGCAGGCCCCGGGCAGGCATCTGTAGCGCCCTAGCTTTGTGGTGGGAACACTTCGTTCCTGAACTGCCAGCGATGATTGGAAATGGCCACTAGTCATAAGGGGGCTGACAAGAGGCCGTTGGTCAGTGAGGAAGGATAGCACATCTGCGTTTTGAATGAGGCCCCCTCAGAGACACAGTGTCAGAGGCTGCCTTTGGCTGCCAGGACAGTCATGCTGAACTGGCCCGACTCGGCGCCTGGGAACCTGTGGGGGTAAAAGGCTTCGGCGCCCGTGTCACCCGAGCTCCCGTCTGGCCGGTCGCGCCGTGAGCCTTTGGCCTCGGTGGCTTCCCGGGCCGTCACAGCCAGCTGGCAGCGCCAGAGGCTCTGGCCTCCATGGTGGGTGTGGTCCCGGGGTCGGGACCGGGGTGCTCAGCCACGTTCTGTCCCCACTCAGGTGTTGTCCAGGGGATGATAACGGGAATCCGGGGGCTGTGCAACGGCCTGGGCCCCGCTCTCTACGGCTTCATCTTCTACATCTTCCACGTGGAGCTCAAGGAGCTGCCCATGACGGGCACGGACCTGGGGACCCACACCAGCCCGCAGCACCACTTTGAGCAGGTAGAGTGGCCCTCCCTCCAGCTGGGTGGCACTCGCTTTTAGGTTGACCAGCACTGAAAACAGGGCCCGATTGGCTGTGTGCGCCTTTGGCTGCCACCGCAGTCTCGGCGTGCTGTGGGCCGGAGGCATCGTTTGCCAGGCTCATTGTTACAGCTGTAATAGCAACGGCAAAGAGTGTGCAGACCACTCAGCAGTTTCCTTGCTCACTAGCCTTGTAATCAGCTCAGACTGGTTTTCATCAGTCAGGTGGCGGTTTGTGGGCCGTCTGTAGGCCTCAGTGCGAGTGCGGGCTGAGACCAGGTCTGGTGGTTTGTCCTGCTTTCTCCTGAACTGCATTGGGTGAAGGCTGCTGGGGGTGCAGATCCTGTGCTGCAGGGACCCTATTCGGCAGAGGCTGCTCCCTGGGCTCTGCTGTCCCCAGGCCCTCCGGAAAGGAATGCTTTTCCTAACTGGCTTTCCTGCTGAGGGGAACGTGGGCTTCTAGTGGGTGGCGGCCGGCTATTAGCGAAGGTAAGCAGTCTGTCTGCGGGAGAAAGGCTCATTGCTCTCTCCCCTAGAACTCCATCATCCCCGGCCCGCCCTTCCTCTTCGGAGCCTGCTCGGTGCTGCTGGCTCTGCTGGTGGCCTTGTTCATCCCGGAGCACACCAACCTGAGCCTGCGCTCCAGCAGCTGGCGGAAGCACTGCGGCGGCCACAGCCACCCGCACAGCGCGCAGGCGCCAGGAGAGGCCAAAGAACCCTTGCTCCAGGACACGAACGTGTAAGTGCGCCCGCGCCCGCGCCGCAGAGCTGATGTACATTCCACGTCGCCTCCACTCGCCGAAGGGTCTGGAGGACGGATCTGCATGGACTCCGGGGAACCAGAGAAAGAACTGGACCGTTTTCCAAAGATGTTACAATTTCTTTTGAAAAGAAACCTTTTGTTTATCCGCACCACTTCCTTGCCACCAAGCTGTTTATTATTCACGTCCTTTCATTAAAGCTCTATGTGACTTCTTAGGCACTAGCAGCGTCTCTGCACCGTCCCCAGGGGCTGGGCTTCGGGTTACCAGGTCACAGGGACGGAGCAGAGGCGTGGCTGCGGGCCTGCTCGCTCTCACCTTGTCCAGCCCGGGCCCAACGATTCAAAGCCTTAAACGCAGATGCACTGAAGAATGGTGAGTGAACTAAGAGGATTACACTAAACCTGAATCATGTGTCAAGCCTGTTTGTAATTCTAGTTTAAACATTCTTCACTGCTGTTTTTAAAATAAATGTCAGCCATGTTTCGTTTTGAGTGTGTGGAGCCTGTAACCTCCATGCTGGCTCACAGTTGTTCCCCAGCTCCTTACACCACTACCCTCTCCTGTTCGCAGAATCATAACCTCAACACTTGAACACGTAATTAAACCTGTAGTCAAGCTGGTAGCCTTGAAAACGTCACGTGATACCTAATGTAGATAAATATATATAGTGGCCTTTCAGGACTGTCACAGTAACACTTTACTTACAGAGCTAATGTTTGTCCTACATTTTCAGGACCCTGGAAGAGAGCTTTATACAATTCCTGATGTGAATTTCTCTAAAGTGTATATTTTTGTGTCCAGTTATATTATTTAAAAAAGTGTTACTTTGTAAAAATGTACATAAAGTATTGTATAGTTTACAGGGTTTTCATCTTGTGTGTGATTATTGCTTAATGCTTTTTAAACTTGGAACATTCACTTACAGTTAAATAAGGTCTTAAAAATGTAAATATTCTGTTAATAAAATTAAATATTTTAATGATTTTTTAAAGAAAGTCTTGATCTGTGATTTCCACTAGGGCCCGTGTGGCTTTGACACCATCATCATTTCTGCAGTAACAAATCACAGCGGTATGCCTTCCCTCTGAATCCATTTCTTCCCTTCACTGTAAAACACTCTTATAGGACACAGTGAAAATCTAGTCAATAAGTGAAAGCAAGTTGCTAAGCAGAGGTGTATATATGTCCTTTTCCTGTTTTCATACACTTTTTTTTTTTTAATCCTCACCCGAGGGTAATTTTCCATTGGTTTTTAGGGAGAGTGGGAAAGAGAGACACATCAATGTGAGAGAGACACATCAATTGGTTGCTTCCCGCATGTGCTCCCACCAGGGCCTGGCCAGGGAGGAGCCTGCAACCAAGGTATGTGCCCTTGACCAGAATCGAATCCGGGACCCTTCAGTCCGCAGTCTGAAGCTCTAGCCACTGAGCCAAACCAGCCAGGGTCACATACTTTTTACATTCCCTACTCCCGAAATATTACTAACCACACGCACACAGTTCACAGCAACATTAAATTCAGCATTCTGATTATTAGCATGTGTTCAAAACAACTTCAAATGAAAGTTTAAGAGGTAGAGCAAAGAATTAGCACACTCAAAAGTCAGTACATGTACATCTAATATAAAATTTTTGGCACATCGAAGTGATCTATCATTCGGAAATTCTAATTTATATTAAAAAATTTTAAAAAGCTTCCTGCATGTCATCCCATCCACATCCTGTCCCTAAACTTGTGCACATGTTTACACTGTTCACAGAGCAGACTAACATGGCCAGGAGCCTCCTTCCCACTCTGAGCACTCCGCGGTGCTTCAGCCAAGTGCTCTCACTCGTGCAGTGTATGTAAATACGGAGACAATCACGTGAAAAGCCACGGCCCAGGAAGGGCTACTGAACGTTCGAGGTGAGTCCCTAGTGCAGGGTGCCTTGTAGTTGCCCACAGTTGCAAAGTATCAGACTCAACATGGCTTCATTCAACAGTGAGCAAAGGTTCTTTGTCTTACCCTGGAACGTTGCTATGCCAGCATCTTGAAATGTCTCTTAACTGTATAATATGGTCCTTGAAAAGAGTTTTTGAAAGATTAAATGAACATCAGCAATATTTACAAATAAAAGTGGACTGAGACACTGCTGAAGAGGATACTGTTGACTGGATGGTTGTCACAAAAATGGGCTATGGTTCTGGGTGAGTTGTTTAAAATCGCCTCCCTTTTCCCAAGGAACTGCCATACTTGAAACTTAAGCCAAGAGAAAGTTGCCTACTTTATTGCGCACACAAACCCGCTTTGAAATGAAAAATCAAGTACAATGAATATTCATGATGCTCTCTTGTATAGTACTTACTTTCAAAACAGAAAGCCACTAATACAAATTTAACTGCATAAAACACCAATAAAACTCCAAACGAAAGAAAATTGGGATGGGTAGACTTTCAGGAAGCAATTAACCTCTGGGAACTGCAGCTCAAATGACTCCAGCACCTGATCTGGGCACGCAAAGACACATCCCAGTTACTCAATAACTACCTGGGAGATTTCAAGGAAAACACTCTCTGTAAAGAATTCATTTAACTTTATGACTTTTTCCTTTACTGTACCTTATCATCGATAATATAGACACTTTAGGAGACAACCATCTTCCCTCATAATTCTTAGGTGGCAGATGTAAAACATTTTACCAATGACAATGATGAAAAGAATTACTAGCATCCTCTAGCTCCCATTCCGTCGGACAAGTGACTACCAGGCAGGCAGTCCCTGGGATTAGAACCCTGACGAGGATCAACCCTCGTCTGGGGATGTGTCCGAGCTGCTCAGGGCGAGTTGAAGAACCCCACTGCTGTCCTGTAAAGCACCGTGTTCACACACCAGAGCCTGGCACCGACTCCGGGCCTCCGTCCCCAAGTCCCAAGTCCATGGGCTCCTCTGAGCCGCGTGTGGCAGGGACAGCAGCAGCAGCAGCAGCAGCAGGAGGTGCGCACAGCGGGCTGCCTGGCCTGGCAGCTCTGGCATGCTCCTGGTGCGGGATGTCTGTCCCCTTGGGCCACAGTGCCTCACCCGGCGGTGCCGGCTCCCGCGGCAGAGGGCCCGTTAGCTGTGCGGCAGCTGCCCGGGGAAGTAGGCGGAGGAGGGAGGCACCGAGGCGGGTTTGCAGGCTGGCGGCAGCGCTCCCAGCGGGCCCTCTTTCTGACGGTCTGCAATGAGGAAGAGACGGTGGCTTCGCCTCCCGTGGGCCGGTCCCCTTCCCTCCCACCGCGCGGACGGGACGGAAAGCCTCACCTGCGGCGCTGAAGAGGTTCTGGCTGAGCCCCCGCAGAGGAATGCTGGCTTCCCTTTTCTTCAGGTACTTGGGCTCCAGCCCCAAGTTCTCACCACTTCACAGGAAGACAGGCATTGTGTCTTAAACTTACTTTTCTTGTTAATTTTGAATGTTCATCTCATCTACATATTACACATGTGTTTATAGCTTTGTTCAAAACAAGCCCCTTTAGTCCCTGTTTTCTTCAGCAAATAACTCAGGTGCCCGCCAGCTGCAGTGCCCTCTTCCCAGCAGAGTGGATCTGGGAAGCACACTGGGCTGGCTGGGCTGCGGGAGGACCATACACGCGGAGGGGCTGCCCTGAGAGCATCATGCTATTGGGACTTTCCCACTCGTCCGTTTAAAATGAACACTGCCGCTTTCTTTCCCCCAAAGCTCTTTCAAGTCTGTGCTTCAGAGGGGTCATTATTAGATACCACTGCATACTGGCACCACGGGATTCTGGGTAGATGAATACAAATGTGATATTTCAAAACGAAAGCCATGTCCGCCCCTTTTCTCTTTCTGCATCCCTCTGTCCGACCTGCCCGGGAGCAGCCTCTCCGGGCACCCTTGCATCAGAAAAGTACACGTTCTTGCTAAACAATGACCTGATAAACTTAGAGGAAAGGTGAAAAGATGAGGTATCCTATTCATCTTTTCATTTTCAGAAAAGATGAATAGGTATTTTCCCCACTTTAATTTTCTTCTTTAATCTTTGATTCCCACTGACACTTTTTACGAGCTACAACAATCTAAAAACCTAACAAATTTCAACAGAGAAAATGCAAAAAATAGCTGACCAGTCCTACTTTTATGGACACAATTTTTTGATTCTTGTTCTGCAAACGCGATCGCCACACGTGGTGCAAGTGAGCTGCGTGTGACATGAGCGTGTAAACATCCGGTGGGAAACAGGATGCACCAGCACTGACTGGCTCACACTCGCCAGGTGGCGGCTCTGGAGCAGCCTGGGCCGAGGGGCCGGGGTGGGTAAGAAGCCTCTGCTCCGAGTTGGTCTCCCAGTGTGAACACCGGAGGCGGCTGCTCAGGACCAGTGCAGCAGGGGCCCTGAGCGCCTCACACTGGAACAAGGAAGCATGCCAACAACAAATCGACGCTATGAACATGAGGACCAACCGAGAGACCAGTCTGCACATCTGAGCCGTTTCATTCGGCCACAACTCGCTGATAAGGCGGACGGCAGGAGAACCAGTCTCAGATCGGAGGGACAGGAAGGAGCCGGGCAGGCCCAGGGGGCCACGCGAACAGGAAGCTCATGTATGCATACATGTTCGTGGGACAATCTCATCATCCTGTATTCTTACTCGCCGAAGGGTCCCAGCAGGTTAACAAGCTGCTTCCGCAGGTTACGATTAGGAATTAATAAGATTTCTAGCTACCTGCCCTCAAATATTTGAAAGGGGTCTTCAGTTACATAGGAAAATCTTTTAGAAAATAAAATGTTACTATATGTCTAACTGCATCCTACAGTTTAAAAAACGTAAGAAAAACGCCCTCTTTATAGCTAAGAGTGAGTCCCCGGACCTTCAGCTTAAACGCCGCAGACAAATGGCCTCCTGGCTCTCCAGGCCCCGGGACCCTGCAGTGACTTTCCAAGGGCGAGCTTTGTGCGCGGAGTCAGGTACTTACTTCTCCTTGTCAGCGGCACCGGGCACACCGAGGGCTGCTCCTGCCTCACCGTCCCCTAGTGACGGGTTTGGTTTGGTTAACTGCAAGTTAAACTGAACCTGTGAAGCGAGAGAACACCGCATGTTAACTGGTGAGGACGGAGCAAGCTACGCGGAGCGAGGTGCTTACCCGTTTTCCTGGTGACCCAGCGCACAGAGGCCAGGCGCACTAATTCATCACACACACACATTTTGTTGAGAAGGTTTAATACGAGGATTTCTCTCCTTGCCCCCAAGTCCCTATCACACAGCGAGATGAGCGGTGGACACAAAGCATGAACACACTCAGACAGGTGTATGCACAGAGTTCTTCAATAAACGCGGGCTGGGAATTTGAATTTTAAAATAGAAGTAATCCAACAATCCATGTAAAAGTCCAAAGCAAACACCAGCATGCCCTATGGAAGTCTACTTATAGACACAGGACTGTGACGGAGTGGGCCTCACGCCAGGATGTGTCAGTGTATCTATGTCAGGAAACCCACAAACACCAACCCCACCCAGGAGCACAGGCACAAGAAAATGTCTACTTTTGGTAAAAACGCCTAATGAAGCCGGCAGAGACAGACACAAGTGTAACAGGATAGCACCAGAAATCAGAAAGGTAAATGCTACTGTCCTTGGTTATCAAGGTTCAACAGTTGCAAGATATTGGTTTTTTCTACTGCGACGTACACATTTCACAGTAACATTAACAGAAACAGGAATTTTTAAAAGCCAGACAGGATGATTTTAAAACTCCTTACAAAAAATCAACGTGCCAGGAGAGGAAAACTGGAGTGTCAGATATTGATGCGTAAGAGTTTCTGACCAGCAGTCACAAACCATTAGAAAACCGGAGGAAAATAAACAGAGTGCGAGCGAGTCTGGACCGCACTTTGGAAAAGTCGGGCGGTTTCTTAAAAATTAAATCGATGCCCACCAGCCCTTCTATCCCTAGGCGTTCATTCTCCGCAGGGAAACACAAAGCTGCACACCCACGGTCACGGCGGCCGGATCAGAGTCAGCCCCCAACGGAAATGACACAAACGGCCATCGACGGCAGACGAGGGGCTAGCATGGCCGCCCCTCCGCTGTCCAGCCCGCGATGCTGAGGGAAAGACCGGGAAGGACATTCTGCACGGTCTCGCTCACACGAAGCGCAGAGCAGGTGTACAGCGACAGAAAGCACGTCAGGAGTCCTCGGCTCTTAGGGACGAGCGTGGTTCGCTGCGGAAGCTCGAGGAAACGCCAGAGGCAAACTCAGTGCTCTGACACGCACTGCTGCGATGGTCCCCGCTGTACAACCGGCTGAAACCGGTAAACTGTAAACCTAACCACGGGACTTATGGCATGTAAGTTATACCTTAGGAAAGCTTTACGTTAAAAAGGCACCAGAAAGAGACTAAAAAGACAAGTCCAAAACAGGGAAATAACCAGTGAAATTATAAAACCAACATGTCTGGAACATATGAAGAACATTCATGACATCATTTATAACGATTAAATCTCCCTACGATGAATAAAACTGATAAACAGAAATCTAACAGAAGAAACACAGCCCATAAATGCATAAAAAGATGTCCCCCACTTAATTACTGGGGAAATGCCCGAAAAGCCAAAATGCCTCGGCCCGGCTCCTTTCCGGATCTACCCTGCCCGAGCGGGCAGCGCCCACAGCTGAGCGCGAGCGGCCATCCTGGAACTCTGACGTACCCGCTGGCCGTCAGCGACGTGCTCCTCATACAACTGCCACAGCAGCTTGTAAAGACAGAGCACATAAAAGCCAATGACTGGCTCCCCAGCTCCTGCAGCGCTCGCTCTTACCTTGGGTCCGGAGGCCGGGTGGCTGGCGTTTTTGGCAGACACGGCATGCGGAAAGGTGTTCTGGAATCCAAAGGCAGAGGCGACAGGGTACCCGATGCCACAGGTAGGGTAAGGCAGTCTGCCATCAACCTACAAGTAAACACACACAGTGCAGGATGAGAAACTGCTTCTAAGTAAGTGTTTGCTGACCAGAGGCATTAGCATCCGCTGTAATAACGGCGTTACCAGCACCGCCTCAGGCTGGTTTGCTTCTCACGACACCACAAACCCCGCTGGCACACACCACGAGGCTGGGCTGGCTTTCCCAGGGGCTGGGCCCGTCTCACACTGTTTTTTAAATGCCCTTTTACTGACTTCAGAAAGAGGCGGGGATTAGCCCGCACCGGGCACATGCCCTGACGGGGAATCGAACCCAGCGGTGGCCTCCTGGCGCACAGGACTACGCTCTGCCAGCTGAGCCCCTGGCCGGGCTCCTGGAACTACACACACACAGACCCTGAGGCATCTCGGTTCACGCTCATGCCCACCCCCATCCCTAAAATGGGGTTCGGGGAAGAGATTCACAGATCAATGAAGCAACCAGGGACAAAACCCTTTTCTGCCAGAGTGAGCAGCAACAAGAGCACCAGTGTTCTAAACAGGCTAATGGAGACAAGGCTTTACCAGAATTTTCATTACAGTAACTGTTCCAATGACACGGAACAGTTTAGTGAAGCTAGCGAAAACTCAAACCCTCAGTATGTGCACAGCAGTGGCTGCGTGACAAACACACCCTTCCATGGCTCATCAGCAGTCTTTTCCCCTTGGTCATTCAGCCCCGGGCACTTCTTCCCACCTTTTGCACCTCAGCAGAAATCCCCCTCCTTTTTTTAAAAAAAATTTCACTTGAGGATATTTTTCCATTGAGTTTTTCAGAGTGGAGGGGAGAGACAGAGAGAAACTTGGATGTGAGAGAGACACATCGATGGGTTGCCTCCTGCACAGGGATGGAGCCTGCAACCGAGATACATGCCCTTGACAGGAATCAAACCCAGAACCCTTCAGTCTGAGAGTTGGTGTTCTAACCACTGAGCAAACCAGCCAGGTCTCCTTTTGTGTGTGTGTGGGGGGGTATATGGGTGTATGGTGTGTTGAGTGTGTGTGGTATGTATGTGGTGTGTGCGTATGGTATGTGGTATGTGTATGGTATGTATATGTGTTGTGTGGTGTGTGTGTGGTGTGTGGTATGTGTGTGGGGTGTGTGTGGTGTATATGTGGGGGGTGTGTGTATGTGGTGCGGTGTGTTGTGTGTGTGGAGTATGTGTGGGGGGGTGTATGTGGTCTGTATGTGGGTATGAGGTGTATGTATGTGTGTGGTGTGTGGTGTGGTGTGTGTGTAAGTTTTCGGCACCTTTGGCAGTACTTAGTTAATACTGAATGATTTCCAGTATCATTCTGCCCTTGAAGTACAGCCTCTCTGTTACGAGCGTCCACCTGTTGCACTCACAGGGAGCAGACTCTACTCGGTGCTAAACACCGAAGACTTGTCTATCAGCACCAGCCCGTGTCACGGAGACTTCCAGACATCCTGGGGCGATTTTGTGTGTCAGAGAATTTACTAAGACCTCGCCCACATGCATGTAACTCTTACCAGGTGAGAGCTAGGAGAGAGCCCACTTCTGATCGTGCTGCTGGAATGTACCGACGGAGTGGCAGAAGGGCCCAGCACGTCCTGCTTTCTCACTAGCTGATTGTCATTTAGTTCTTTATTTAACCATGTGATTACTTACAGAAAACAAGAAACAAGGGTAAGAACTTCATTAAGCTATTTTTACTTTCCTAATCATTTTAAATATTAAAAATTAGGCTGAGATTATTTTTTTAATTTAAAATTTTTAAAACTGCCTTATAGAACAGGAGAACAATATAGGTTAACTTAAATTTTTGTCATTTAAGATTCTTATAAAGAAAAGATTCTTATTTTAGCACATAGAACTTTTTATTCTATTACTATCCCAAGTATGTGTCTGCTAGTCAAGGGTCTTTCTGAAGGCTTTCAAGAATGATATCTTACAGTTTATTTAAAGTTCACACTCATACCTGACAACCAATACTAGTAACGCAGGAAAACGTTAAAGGCTTAATTTTGTATTTTACTTTCAAATAATTTATATTATTACTATTAGATAAATACAGCAATTGAAAAAGGGAAGAATTTTAAAAGTAAATTATGGTTAATATTTTAACACTTAATTCTGGGTCACTGATATAAGTGATATAGTTTCTTTTAATGATGGTAACTGTTTTACAGGGCAGGTGTATAATTTACTATAGTAAAGACAAAAGACAGTATACTTCAAACTGCAAATTAGAAACTATTTGCAGATAGCAATATCCTGATTTCCCTAGACTTTTCTATGAATTCAAGTATAATATTAAGGCTCTGAATAAAAACAATGAATTTCATTTACATAAAAAGATAACATACTTACACTTTTCATTATTTTTTAGAAGCTGTTTGCTTTCCTCAAGCTTTTGAACGGTAGCTTCTAACTGTTCTTGTAATTTGCATACCTGAAATAAGTCAATCCTCATAAATATAATAAAGACTCTATTAAAAACTGAAGAAATATACTGACTGATACTAATTTAAGAGTTCAGTACTCTTATTATTAAATAGTGAAGGCTCACCTATTTAGGAAATGAACACTATAGGTATGTGAGTCATAACTAACTTTTCAAACAAAAATAAGTTATTAATTTCTATTGAATCGAGTTGAAGCCAAAGCCATTCTCTAATATAACAAGTAGAAATCTGAACTAGACATCTGAGGAAAGGTGTATCTTTTACAAATAATCACACACAGAAGCATAAAAAATTCTCCACCTCCTGCTCTTTACTTCGGAGAGACTGCCCAACATCTTGTAATTCCTTTTGTTCCTTTTGTAACTTTTCTTCCTTTTCAGCCAAGAGTTTCTCTTGCTGAATGGTAACTGTATTCTTCAGTTTCAATTTCCCCATCAGAGCTTTCAGATCTCCTTGTAACTTCTTGATAATTTCATTGGCCTGTAAAAGAGCTTCATATGTATATCTCTATGTAATCCAATAAAATATTAGCATTCTGTTAAGTTTTCAAAGACAAACCTTAAGCAGTTCTGCTGATAATGATTTTATAGTTGCTTCCAGTTTTCCTATTTGTACCTGATTTTTCTCACGGTGTTCTTCCAAAGCCACCTGATGTTTTAAAACATGAATAATTAGGACCCTCTCTGAGGAAAGGCATTGCTATAAATGTGATCACCAATTGGTTCACAACCCTGTGGGGACCTTTTGCTCCTGGATTGCATCGAGCGCTTCCTTTGTCCGCAGGACCAGCTGGTCCTTGTCCTTGAGCTCCTGCTGGAGGACAGCCACTGTGGTGTGCAGCTGGCTCACGTGCTTCTCCTTCTCGTGGCACTCGGCGTCGATCTCGGAGTTCTCCCTCCGCAGACACAGCGCTTCCTGCTTCGCCCGCTGCAGCTCCTAGAGGCGGGAAGTGCCGAGGGGAAAAAGCGGAGTGCTCGTCTGCTTACCGATAATTAAGATGCTTAAAATAGAAAACGTCTTCAATAATTCTGAAGCTCTAGTGCTGATGTCTTTTTGAAGGATAAGAAGTCTACGGGTACACGTAACTCGTAGATTCGGAATACAGTTATGGGATAGGCTAACAACTAACCCAATCACAAGGAAAAACAAAACAATCCTAATTTGTGAATAAATTACAACTTGAAAAATCTAGCTAAGAAATGTCTGAAATCTAGTTTTAAAAATCACTTAGATAATAAATACTGATTATAATAGAATTTTAAAATACATAAAATAAAGACCTTGTCATTCACCATCTACACAGTGGCTCTCAAACTGATGTGCATATGGAAGCACCGGACAAGTCTTAAAACCACTGTCCTCGCTTTGCTGAGGGGCTCTGGCACCCAGCCCGAAATACATCCACGGCCTGGCTGTCCTGCTGCCCGGTGCCAGCCTGAGAGATTCCGATCGGTCAGTATGAGGTCGGCCCGGCCCGGCCAGGCCAGGCGAGACCCTCCCACTGACTTTAGAGAGAACCAGGGGGGAACCAGGAGTCGAGAGTGAACCATGCTCTGCCGCTCACACTCCTTTACACCGGGGGACGGACAGAGCCCCTCGCCGTTACCTCCTCGGCGCCAGCCAGCTTGGCTTTGAGCTCTCTGACGGTGGAGTCGCCTTTGTAGCGCCGCTCGGTGAGGTCCTTGTTGGCCGCCTCCAGCTCGGACAGCCGGCTCTGCAGCTGCTGGGTGCTGCGCTGGTGGAGGGCTTCCAGCTCTTTCTTCTGCTGCTCATGCTGCTGCTGGCACTGCATCTGCGCCTGTTACATAATTACATGATACAGCACAGACCAGATCCGAAGGAAAAAACACATACAGGAAGGTGTGAAGAAGAAAAAAAAAATCCTCGTTATTTTTCTCGGTAACTACAAGATTTCCTTGTTTTGAAGAGGAGCTGTTTTCAGTCAACAAAGGCAGATTTACACTCCAATCTCCTTCATAACTCTGCTCCCCCTAAACACACGGTTAGATTTAATGGTCTTCAAGTTCAGGGAAGAAGAATACAGGATGAAGTAAAAAAGCAAACTGCAAACCAGTGTATCGATTTATAGTGTGAACCAATAAGAGGGCACATAAAAAACTGTCAGTATTTGCTTTAAACACCATTATATTGTTTCCATTTTTTAAACGTGTTTGGTAATGAAAACAACAATAAAAAACCACACACCTAAACTTGTGAAATCAGCAAGGTATTGTGCATTAGTTCAGCCCTACATTTAATAGTTACATTTTAGCTAATCTAAAATCTGAACATGGTACTAACTGTGTAATACCATGTTGCCTATCTGACTCATACCACAAACATATCTTAGTAATTTCTGGTGAGTACTACTATCAAATCCTAAACACTTTTAAAAAATAAACTATTCTTTTCTAATTATGGCAGTTATTCATGCTATTAAAGTAAGGTGACCAGACGTCCCGATTTTTAACAATTTGTCCCGCGTCCCTTGGCATTTTAAAAAAGTCTCGATTTCTGGAAAGATTTTGTGTGTGTGTGTGTGTGTGTGTGTGTGTGTGTGTGTGATTTTTTAAATAAATATTTACAAATTACATATTATTTACAAGTATGGAGAAAGGTCTGAAAACCCCATTAAATATTTATATCTCTAGTTAGTAAGACTTTGAAGGAGACATTTTTACAAACTCTGTAAAGTCGAACACTGAAGTATGCACGCATTACTTTTATAATGAACACTATGACTAAGTAGTAACAAAACATTCCGTTTCCTCTGAGGTTCCTACCTGCAAGGCCTTCTCCCTCTCACTGGTCAGCTCCTGGGAATGCTTACTGGACAGTTCTGCTGTGTGGGATGCCCATTCATTCCGTAACTTATCTAATTCTTGAACTTTTTCTGATAATGTCTGCATCAGAGTTCAACACAAAATAGTAAGAGTCTCTTAGACAGGTCATTAAATTAGAACATGCCAATATTTACAAGGATATCAAGGAATATGGAAGCACAGATGTCTAAGAAATACCCAAAGATTTTTTTGAATTTGAGGAAATCAAGATTAGAATAAAAGCAGTTTGAGATCTGAAACGGCCCACTGGTCAAGCTTGTCTATCTTTAACATTCCGGTTAAATCTGCCCCCCGCCTCCCGTCCCTCCTCCCCCCGTCCCTCCTCTGGCAGGAAGACCACACACCCAGCGGAGCCAGCCGGTCAGAAGCATTCACTTAACACAGGAACCTGGGCACAGGCCCCAAGTGGCCGTGCTGTGCAGAACAGCCGACTATCAGTCTGCTCCTCAATCTCAAGTACTGGGGCAAAAGTAGTAGCTATGACTGAAAGGAATTAATTCTAAAGGTAACAAAAGGGGAGGCTCCCAGGCCACCTGAAAGGCCACTTAGACAAGAGGGGTGAGGTGAACAGAGCAGAAGGAACCTGTACATCCTCTGACTTAATGAAAACCTGGAAGAAACAGTCAGATGCGGGGATAACTGAAGTCTTGGGTGGAATCAAACAGCAGAGAGATAAAGCATCGGATTAAGATAACTAACTGGTAGGAAAGGGGTGGAAGAGGAGGAGGAATTCTGTGATAGCACACACTTTAAGAAAAATGCACAAAAGCCTGATGGGACTCCAAAACCGATGTTTGGATGACTTACAAAGAAAAAGGAAACCTGATTTACCTTTTGTGTGAAACTCAGTTGCCTAGTAACATCCTCTAGCGATTGTGTCAGTGATAATTTTTCTTCCTGTTTATAAAAATAAAATGATGTAGCTTACAATTTCATTATGCTCAAACGTTAGCAAAATACAGCGTCAACATCAGGCTGGAGTTGGTTAGAAACTCGAACCACAGGCCCCGCCCCAGACCTCTGAGTCAGTCTGTGCCAGCCGGCTCCCTCGCTCTGTGAGCAGTTACACTGAGATGCACTGGCTTCAGCATCTGACGAAGGAGACTCTGGAAACGCTGAAGGGGCCTCCAGGCTGCTACAGGGCATTTACTTTATTCCATTCGATTCCAGGCGGGCTACATGTGCCCACACGTATCGATAAGCTGACGAAACCATGACCCCCGAGTTTAAGTGACCTGCCCAAGGCGGCAGAAAAGTAGTAAAACCCTGGGACCTCACTTCTCAAGTGCTGGTCCAGTTCTATCTTTGAACCTTGAGTAAGTGAAAAACAAACTCATTATTTGTTACAAAAATTTTCTGGACCTCTTATTCAGAAAACCAAAACTAAAAGCAATAAAGCTCTTCAGTGCTTTATCCAAGTCCTTGGGTAGCTATTTTAAAAGAATACCTTGAATTCAAATCTTACCTTGCTACATTTCAAACAGCCTGCTAGAAACTTCTTTATCTCCACATCACTGCCCGGTAAAAGTTTTAGGGAAAGGTGTGTAAGATGCTTAAAAGGATTTGTCTCTATCACATTGAGGAGAACAGGAGAGCTGTCCAACACAGCTGCTGGCGACACCAGCTGCAGCAGAAACCTTTGGAAGCGAAGGGCCACGTTAGCGCACGGTTAACACAAGGAAACTCACTGAGCCACAACCCCACTGCACCCGTTCCATACCCAGCGGACCATCAGTGATTAGAAGGATCAGGAAATGGGCACACTGAAATCCTAGGGGCCAATGTAAAAGACTCCCAACGGTAAAATGTGCTAAACTGGTATCAATAGTAAAACATGTAACTTGGATAAGAAAAATGACTGACTGAAACATAATGAATATGTAAATGCCCATGATTTCATGATGAAAGAGGAGAAAAAGCGAAAAACTAAGATAAAAAACAAACTGAAACCACAAAAAGAACTAGAGTAACAACTTCACACTCTAAAAATTGACAATTTAAAAGAATTAAGCATTTATCCTTTATTGTATGACTTTTCAGTTATCAAATCACCCTAATTGATGAGGGTAAGTTCTTGATCATAAATAAATTATATCCAATAAATGTAGAGAGAATCGGATTAGAAAAGCATAATTTTGTAGTCTCTGCTGACATAACTGATTTGATCAACAACCATCAAGAAGCAGCACCAGATAAAGGCTGGAGAACTTCCCAGTGAAAGGATCAGGCACCAGCACCCCCACACACCACTCATTCTCTCCTTTTCCAAGCTCATTATAAATACATACACTTGATGCTATTTTAAATATTTCAGATAATGAAAATTAAAAGTAAATATTTCTGATTTTAATTGTGAGATCAAGTAAATTTAAGATTTCTTAGAGCCCTGGAACCCTATTTTTAAGACGGGCCGAAGCCGGTTTGACTCAGTGGACAGAGTATCGTCCTGCGAACTCAAGGGTCCCGGGTTTGATTCCGGTCAAGGGCATGTATCTTGGTTGCGGGCACACCCCCAGTGCAGGATGTGCAAGAGGCAGCTGATCAATGATTCTCTCTCATCAATGTTTCTAATTCTATCCCTCTCTCTTCCTCTCTGTAAAAAATCAATAAAATATATATTTAGAAAAAAGAAAAAAAAAAGACGGACAGGGACACCGGTCACACACAGAGAACACTGGGCCAGCCACTCGTCCTGTCCCAGAGCTGGTGCAGACTCACCTGGGGACCTCCTTGGCGTGCTCCTGCGTGCACTGCTGCAGCAGATCTATAAACTTCTGCGGGAAAGCTAAGAAGTCCACCAGAAGACCTTGCTGGAACTTTAAACTACACAGAAAACAGGAAAAGATATTTTTAGAAAATTCAACTACTATCTTTTATTATAATTAACACTCTGGAAGATCATTTTTTTTTTCTTTACTAACCATGCATAATCAAGACTTAATAAACTAGGAAACTTAGTTTTATAAAATTCATTCAATGAGAGGGAAAAGGTCAATAAATTTAGCTAAAGATCCAAATTTCTGAGTCATTGTAAGCAGAACTCTAATAATCTATTTGAAATACTTATTTTCCCAAAAACACTCTGAGTAATTAGAGTATAAATAGTCCAGTGTTTCCAAAATACCTAAATGTTCCCAATAGGTATGTATGTATGTGTTTCAAAGAGAATAGTACCAATGCATTCATAGAACTTAAAAGCTTCAATGCATTCATAGAACTTAAAAGCTTACTTATCCCTAGATTAAATAAAAGATCAGAAAAGTAAATGTGGTTACCTCTGAAAGTCCTCCTCAGATATAACAAGGTTATAGAGGAAAAATGGGTCAGTGTCATCGGTCAGACGGATAACTAAATCCTAAAAGAAAGTGATTTTAGTGGGTTTAGTAGCCGTGGCTGTGAGTAAAAAGTGAGATCACCCACATCAATGCCCCGCAGGGAGCTTCAGCTGGTTCTGCTCCCTAGAGCGCTGGCTCTCCTGGTCTTACAGTCCTCCGTCTTCACGCGCGGGGGGGGGGGGGGGGGGGGGGGGATTCTGAGAGCCATGGGGTGAGGGGGGGGAATAGAGGGAAAGGAAGTGAAGTAAACGCTAGGAGTTTTAAGTTTAGGGATGTCCTCCCAGCAGAGCCTTGGGAAAATTCAGCCCCAGCCCTTGCTGCACTACGACACAATGACAAAAATATTCTTTACCACTGCCTATACCATAATGAATTACACTTTCAGTTTCCTGCGAGTTAACTATCTGGTATTTCAAAAGTGGCACACACATGAGCACAAATCACAACCGTGCACCTGGGGAAAGGAGCATTGTCCCTCGGGCAGAGGACGGGTGTCAGGTGACACGCGGCCACCCTCCTGCTCCAGATGGCTCCTGCGGAACCGCCGGCCTCAGGTTCAGGGAGTCAGCACTTTTCATCCAGACCTGCTTCCAGATCAAGCTCAGCGTGCGCCAGCTCACCCCAGCAGCCCACACTGACAGAAAGTCCCCAACATCCCGGCTCAGAGGGCACGGGGGAGGAAAACAGGCAGAGGACGAGATGACGAAGGAGACAATAACGAGACGAGCACTGGGCTCAGGGTCAGGCTCCACCTGACATGAAACCGCTTGTGGCTACTGAGGACCGTTGGGGCCCTGAGGAGAGCGAGAACATGAAGAGGTCCCGGCACGCACAGGAATAACATGGATGACCTCGTCCCAAAACCAGCAGCCCAGGCGTTTGCTCTGCCAGGATGGCCTGTTCTTCAAGCAACTGCAACTGCCGTACTTCCTGATCCACCCCAAGATACTGTTCCAAACTGGTGCTGCCAGCACTCCGGTCCCTGCTGTTCTAGAGGAAGCCGTGGTGGAGAAGACGATGCCCTACTTCTCAGCCCAGCCGTCTGTACCCGTCTGAGGACCACAGAGGACCGATGCTCCAATGCCGCTCTTCAAAAGGCAAAGGGAAGGGTTAAGAACATCTCCCTGCGGAGATCACCCGTTCCCTGGTGAGCATGCACACCATGAAACGCGCTAGGGTAGCATAGCTGTTCTAGCATCATAAGTGTCCTGGGCAAACCTCAGGGCCCAGCCTCCAGCCCCCCTTCTCCTGAGCTTTAGAAATTCGGGATATAGTAGTCTCTTAGTGATTGTAGTACATCCTACCACTCCGGACCTGCAAGTTACAAAATGGCCCCAAATTAAACACAAAACAGGTGTAAAAAAAGATCTCACATTCTTAAACAACGAAAACAATTCTCTGCAATGTAACAAATTATCAGAGTTCAAAAGCGAAGTGAACACCCACCTTTCTGTGGACCGGATTAGACACCGCTTGCAGCTCAATGCTCACTCTAACGCTGACTCTCCTGTGTGAAGACACAAGCCCGGCGTCAGAAGCAGTCACAGCACAGGGACCCCACCTGCCAGCCTCGCTGCGGGGCCTTCCCCAGATGCTCCCATTGTGCGATGCCGGGAAGGCACCTGGGCTAGACACTCACGTCCTTACTCTCCCACTAGGAGGTAGTAATCAGGTCTTTAACCTGAGCTAAATGTGTCTCTCCTGTGAAACGGGGTTGTCAGGAGGAGTAAGAGAGATAAAAGAAGGGGAAGGCCTGAACCGTAACCCTACTATCCTGATTCTGAAACAGCATCTGTTGAAAGATAAACCATCAATTTAATAACTTTTCACATTAAAACAATTAGCAATTCAAATAATCAAATGATTTCTGAGATTCCATTTGAAAAACTTAAAATGTGATGTAATATTAAGATGCTGGAATGTTGAGTCAAGGACTAGGATAACATATTCCCTCCCCTCACACACACAAAATGTTATTTTTTCAGATCCACAAAGTACCTCTGTTCAATATACTCCATGCGGTATATGCACACAAGTACACCAGTAGGTTACCCTATCTTATTCTAGGGCAGTGGCGGGCACACTCATCAGTCCACAGAGCCAAATATCAACAGCACAACGACTGAAATTTCTTTTGAGAGCAAATTTTTTAAACTTAAACTATACAGGTAGGCACATTGCTATGAACTTGATTAGGGTCCTCCTAAGCTGGCCTGTGCTAAACACTCCAGGGGCCAAAGAGCCGCATGTCTAGAGGAACTCGAGGCCTAAAAGGAAGAAATCGTAGTCTCCCACATTCTGTACCGCACCCTGCAGAACCCAGTACTGAGCAGAGGCATATAAATAAGGGTGCTCATAAACATTAACCAAATTGAACAAAGATATTTAAATAGCTGGGAAAATATTGGCAAAAAACCATCTCCTCAAAAGTGGTTCTCAAACTACTGTGCTAGAATTAAATAAATGACATGGAAAGGGAAAGAAACAATTTGTTCAATATTAAGTTATCCTTCTAAAGGAGTGTTTGAAAGCTTTCGCACAGCCCACCACTTCCTGTGTGCTACAGAAATAGCAAGTGTGGACAGAGCAATGCGCACGGAGGGAAAACCTGGTAAGAGCTGACCAAAGTGCTTGATTTTTACGCTCTGACTTACAACTTTACATTGGCTTAAACTCTTAGCTCATGAGGAGTTACCATGACTGTGTCTGTTAGCTGAAAAGACACAAGCAGCGCTGGGAACACCACAAAAGTAGGAAGAATTAGTGTTTGTTAAATAGAGAAAATAAAACTTTAAAAAAAAAAAAGTAGGAAGAATTATCTTTAAACCCACGGAATGTTGTTTCTGTTTTGCTAGTATTTAGAACAATACATATAAAACAGATCAGATTACTACTCCAATTCCATTTAAATTAAGCATTCCTAGGGGATAGGGAGGAGAGAACCTTCCTGATTCCAAATTTGTGAGAAAAGCACAATCATATTAGTGCTTTTGTTACATGTATTCCCGAGGCTCATTGCATCAGATGCTGGGAGAGAAAAGGAGGAAAGGCCCAGACTAAAGCTATTCCTCGTGTGTACTGAACTCCCCCAGCCTCCCCAATATCTCCTAGAAAAATCTGTGCTTCAGAGGGTACACTGTCTGAAATCTGAAATCCTGTTTTACCGATTGTAATGGCTAATGCCATAGGAACATTATAAAACAAATCAATAAAACCTCAATAAACATGCTATTTCTTAAAATAGACGCCACATTCTGAGCAATGCAGACATCTACAAAACACCTTCCTGGTCAGGTAAGTAAACCTGGCATCAGCAGACCTGGATTCCAGCCCACCTCTCCCGCCCAGAAGCTGTGGCCTTCAACTCTCAATTCAAATGATTGAAAGGCACGCTAAGCCAGGCACTGCGCTGGGTGCTAGGGTTACAAACCGAAACAACATGTCCGTGTCCTCACAGAGATCCGATTCAATGGCCTGACCCCAGGTGTGCTTCTGGTTGTGTTGTAGGCGCCCAGAGAGTCCCACTGGCTGCGTGCCCACACTACTGAGCCCCTGGCAGCCCTGGGACACACCGCCTTAGCTGGCAGCAGCCTGAGCCAATGCCATCCGTCCTTCCAGGGAGGACCTGAGGGGCAGCTGGTGAGGCCCACTGCGGAGCCCAAACCAGCACTCCGGGTTTTCACCGACAGCATGTCATCCAGGAAATGAGGTCAATTACTTTCACCTCGGGCAACCTTGAACAGAGCCTTATGTGGCTGGGATTTAAGACCGACCTTGAAAGTGAAGAAGGCAGGGGCACTGGAGGCCGAGGGCAGCAGGACGAGAGGCAGGCTGAGAGAAGGAGCTGCACTCGGAGGGCAGAGTAGTCTAGGGTGACTGCCGCAGGGGGGGGAGCTCAGGAAAGAGAATGAAAAGGCGGGTTGGTGTCAAAGCCCAGGCGTCAACATTTTCACCACTTCCCTCCAGACGTTCTCCAAGCAGTGCCACCTCTAACGGGACTGCCTCCTCCTCCATGACGTCAGTAATTTGTAAACCTCACGCATTAATCACACGTTAATAATCGTTAACGTTTAGGGAAAGCGTACTATGCTCCAGGCACTGCTTGTTCTAATTCACTTCAAATTCATAATACTCCATGAGGCAGGTACTTTTACCACTGATTTAAAGATGGGCACAGAGACATTAAGTAAACAAACGAACCCGACAACAAGCCGGAACCAAATGAAGGGATTTCAAGCCAATGTGGCCCAGCCTGAGCCTGAGCCCTGCTGGGCCGCCTCTCCCGCGAAAACGGCTCCCTGTTGGAGCTCGGGTTCCCGAGGACCAGAAGGAAAGCCGGGGTTTCTGTTGCTGTTTGGGCTGGGAGTGAGGAGGCAGGAAGCTTTATGCTCTAGCACCTCGGACAGTTCCTGGTACCTAGTGGGCGCTCATAAATCTCTTTGTTGAGCTGAACGGGCCTTGAACACTTGACTAGAGAGTCAGCATTGTTTTCCCTGAGGTCAGGGATCAGCAAACTTTTTCTCGGGTCTTTTTCTCAGGCAGGTCTCTGCAGGCCACAGGTCTCTGCCACCATCACTCATCTCTGCCCGCGTAGCTAAAAGCAGCCACAGAGAGTTCCTAACAGATGAGAAGGGCTGTGCTCTAGTACAAGGAAGGCTTTACTCACACCATGGGCAGTGGGCACCTGGCCGTGGGAGCTAGTTTGCTGACCTCTGCCACGGGATAGGAAGGTTTCTTTCTAAACAGGAGAGTGAAAGGGTGACACGTGTCTTAAATTCGGAGATATTCTCAATTACTAGTAAATGAGAGCCGGAGAGTGAGAGCAGCAGGCAGGAGCAATTAACCAGTTAATAGCTGTAGGATTTCGGGCTAACTTCCAGGTGGCCATTGGTGCGATTGGTGAAGAGAGAACAGCCTGGCACCATCCAACCCCAGGAGCTCCTGCTTATGGTTCACACGTGAACTCCCCTCTGGGGCCCACCGGACCCTCAGCAGAGACACCGCCTTCGGGACTGCGCCCCCAGCCCAGAACCAGCCGCTTCACCCCTTTATCTAAGCCAGTGTAAACCCTCGAAAAGCAACTTACCCCAGTCTCCCCAACACACACACACACATACGGTGTATGCACACACTCGCCCGCGCCAGCACCGCTTTCCCCGTAGCCTGCTGCTGGCAGTGGAGGCTTCATGCCTAGCAATGGCCCAGGAAACCCTTCGCTTTACAAAGACCTTCAGCTGTGGCCGTTAACATTTTCTGCTCAACAACATGAGACGGAGAAGAGCTAGGAGCTTCAGTTGGAACCTTTCGTCTTTCTATATTCATTCTAGAACGGTGCTGTGTCTGATCGAGAGAGGATGGAGGCCACGAAAATGAGCCACATAATAATTTTACGTTTTCCAGAGTCACATGTAACCCAACAGACCCCAAATATCGCCATCTTAACATACATAATCAGCACGAAAGTCGAGATAGTCTACACCCCTCTTTTTCAGAGAGCATTCGAAGTCCAGTGCGCATTTCACTCCACGCACATCCGTTTGGATCCGTTCCAATTCAATTGTCCACGCCACAGTGACCGCACGCGGGGCAGCAGGAGAGAATGACGGGCAGGAACAACCCGCCCCTCCATCCGCAGCTGCCCGGCCTGCCAGCGGGTTCTGGACCGAGTTGAACTACATACTAGTTTCACACTCCCCAGTGAATCACTGTCCTCTTTTCCGTGCCACATATTCACGCCTGGCCCTCCTAACAGTCACCTGGCAGGCATGTTACACCAGTGTTACACGTGAGAAGCTGGGAGACGCCTGATGAGTGGTGGAACCAAGACAACATCTCCTGAGGGGTGGGGGGGTTTAAGGAGAGTAAAGGGGGGTGTGCATGCGGTGATGGAAGGAGACTTGACCTGGGCCGGTGAACACAATACAAAACGCAGAACTGTTCACCTGAAAGCTACATGATTTTATCAGCCAAGGTAACCCCGATAAAATCAACAAAGGGGGCGAGGCGGGTGGCATGGCTCAGTAGCTGAGCCTCCATCTATGAATCGTGAGGTCACCCTTGGATTCCTGGTCGGGGCACAGGCCCGACCAGCGGGCTCCATCCCCAATGGGGGGCGAGCAGGAGGCAGCTGATCAGTGATTTTCATCATTAGTGTTTCTATCTCCCTCTCCCTCTCCCTTCCTCTCTGAAATCAACAAAAATATACTTTAAAAAAAAAAAAAAAAAAAGGAGGGGGAATTCCATTACCTGGCCTCTGGCCCAATCTCTCTATATGAGAGCTGTCCTTGCGTTTGCCCGGGCGCTGGGTCTTGATTTCCTACCTCCCCGGGTGTCTACCCGACCCTGCGACCCCTGCGCGGGGCCAGGCGTCTGGCCCGTCGGCGGCATCTACATGAGTGACTGGACTTTCCGGTTGGCCCCAATGGTTTTCAGCCGATTTCAGTCACTTAAAAAGGCGTCATAAATGGGAATGGGCGATACAGCTAGAAACATTGGCTGTTCTGAAGGCGAAGCCCAAACGGACTTCTGACAGAACCCCCAGACCGGGAGCCGCGGCCCGAGCCCCGCGCAGCAGCCGGGCGCCAGCCCCACCTGTCAAGGCGGACCGGGCTCTCCCCTCCGGCCGCACCCCCGCCCCGGGGCGGCCCCGCCTCCCGCCCGCCTCCCGGCGCGTCCTCGGCAACGGCCACTCGGCGCGACAGCCGGCCCCGCGTCCCCGCTGGGTGCCCCCGCCCCCGCGTCCCGGGGCCGCCGGCCCGACACCCCGCCGCCCGCCGAGCCCACCGGCCCGAGCCGCCATCTTCGCCCTCGGCCGACCGCAACCGCCAGCCGCAGGCAGCGGGGACCGCGGCTCACCTCTCCTCGCAGTCTCTGCACTTCACCTGCAGCGGGACGAGCTCCTGGAACAGGACCTGGCTCATGCTGGCCCGCCGTCCCGCCGCTGCGCGCCGCGTCCACAGGCCGGGCTCCGGCACCCGCCGCGGCGGCGTCCGGTCCCGCTCAGGTTTGAGTTTGGCGCTCGACTTCCGCTGAGGGGGGCGGGGCTTAGGAATAGCCGGAAGCTGCAGGCGGGTTGGATCTCGCCGGCTACCGTCCCCTCCTTCCGGTCAGCAGGGGGCGGGGCTGGCCGAGCGGAAGTCCCGGCGTCCACCGGCGTGGCGGGCCCGAGGCGGCCATCTTTGATAAGGGAAATGCTCCCGCGGGGAGCTGACCACTGTCCCTCCCTTTGCTCGCCGCTGGCCCTGAACTATGGCGGCCTCTGCGCCGGCTCCGCACGCGACCGGCTTCCCCGCCGAGGGTCGCTGCGGGTTCTACGTGGCGAAGAAGAAGAGGTTCTGCAGGATGGTGGCGGCCGCCGGCAGGAGGTTCTGCGGCGAACACGCCGGCGCCGCGGAGGTAGCTCCCCGCCCGGGAGTGGAACCGAGTTTCCCGGCCCCGCCCCGAGTTCGGACTCGGTGTCCCGGGTGTTCCTGCCTTTTCACTCCGCCGCCCTCCGGGAGCCGCTCCCGGGGGCCGTGCCCGCCGCCTCCGCCAGGGCGGCGGGACCTTCTGAAGGCGGCGCCGCTTGAAAGTCCGTTCCGCCCGCCGGGCTGGGAAGGGGGAGGAGAGGTTTTGTCTTCGTTTCCGGGGACCGTTGACGCTCGGTGTCGGTCTGTAGTGGTTTGAGGTGAACAGCGTAGAGCTGACGGAGTGACACCCCCCCGCGCCCCGCTTTCCAGTCCCTGAAATTAACAGTCCGCGCGGGCACCCGCACTCACCCCAAGGGTGCCCCCCCCCCCCAGCTCCGTGAGGGGCAGTTTCAGTTCTAGTTTTTTGGTTGCAGTTAACACTCAATATTCTATTGGTTTCAGGTATACGGCAGTGGTTAGACAGTCATATAACTCAAGAGGTGACACTGCCCCCCCCCCCCCATAACGCCAGCACCCAGCTGGCCACTTAGTGGTTATGACACTGTTAGGACTCTATTCCCTGTGCGGTGCTGTTCTGTGACCGCTCATCTTTTTTTTTTTTTTTTTTTAATCTTTATTGTTGAAAATGTAACAGATGTTCCCCTAGCTGGAGCTGAGAACCAGGCCTCCGAGCACTGCCCTGTCCCCTCGGATCCCAGGGAATGTTGGACCCAACTAATTTCCTTTGAATGTTCCTAGTGCATATAGTTCCCTCCGTGACTTAGGAACAGATAGGGAGCGACTCTGCTGGCCTGTAGAATTTGGCCACCTAACAAATGGTTAAAAGGTCCTGATGCATCGTTTCTCAGACCCTCTCTTTGAACATCTCTGAAATCAGAATGTATCCTGAAATCGATGACATCACAGCTTAAATTGGCGGTATTTCTTGTCTCTCAGTTTCATACGCAGGCCTTCTTTATGACCTGTCTGAAGCTGCAGAGCCTCCTTGTCCAAAGCAGTGTTTGCTCACGTGCACGTGAGTGAGCTACACTGGCCACTGTGATTGTTGAACCCTGTGACCTCGCTGTGCCCGTGTTTTATGAATGGCCACTTAGGAGTCTTTGCCTTGTTTCGGGATTATACCAAAGGCAAAGCTAATACCTGTAAGCAATTGCATTTGATATTTGATTCAAATAAATATATCCTTTTTTTTTTTTTACTAGGAAGAAAATGCTCGGAAAAGAATCCTGTGTCCTTTAGATCCGAAACAGTAAGTATGGGGTCAGATAAGGGTTTTTTCTGTTCCGGAAACAGTAATTGTCACAAGTCTTATTTTAAATAATTTTCTCTTCAAATGTAGCACAGTGTATGAAGATCAATTAGCAAAGCACTTGAAAAAATGCAACTCAAGAGAGAAGCCAAAACCTGTAAGTAGCTGATGAGTAAAGCTGAATGATGAGCGTGTGCTGTGTGATGTTGGTACAGACACAGTAGATTACAGATGTGAACATTGAACCCTCGTCACCAAGGCTTGAATGCAGTCACTGCGTTTGCAGGTGTGAAGGCCAGCTCTGCATCCGACTGAGTCCTCGTTCAGATAATAGGATTTTATGCAACCAGAGTGTAGTTCAGAGAATAATTTCACAATGCATTTATTCAAAAATACTCTTAGTGCCTCCTAGGGTTATTCCAATTAAATGGTTCCCACGGGACTTATTTGAAACCTGTAAGTAAGCTGTAAAGAACGGGTATTGTAATAAGGTCAACGGAAGGAGTGCGCATGTGATAAGTAAAAATTAAGTCCAAGAGACCAAGAAAGGCTTCCCAGAGAGAATGATTATCTATTTTCATTAGTGTTTTAGGTGGAAGAAATCAGACCTAAATTGTTGAAACATCAGTATCTTATCTCTGGTGTTGGTCATGCTTCCTGTCTGATCAGCAGCCACGGGTATAGTTGATGCTTGGTTTTTGCTTTAACGCTGTAAACAGAACTGACACAGCCCTCAGTCCGCGCTGTAGCGAGGTTAAAACGCTCATAGACAATTACTGATGAGTTTCTCAGACTACAGATGCTCACGGAACCACTTACTAGAAGATCCGTGAGCACAGAGGTCTTTGTTCTGTTCTCTCCTGTGGTGAATCCTCCATACCCAAAGCTAATGATTTTTATGGGTTTTTTTTGTTTTTGTTTTTTTTATTAAGGACTTTTTTATTCAAGATATTAATGCAGGCCTAAAAGACGAAACAGAAATACCTGAACAGTTAGTAAGTACTTGACTTTTTACTTTTAAACAATATTTATAAGCTGTCTCCACGTTGAATAAACTGCGTTCCAATTTTTGTTTGGAAAAGGTTAATTTTTTAAAACTTAGAATGCATTTTCCTATAGAATCGATATTCTTGGTGATCAGCTCACTCCTTTTTTTTTTTTTTTTTGTATGTAGGTTCCAATTTCTTCTCTCCCTGAAGAGCAGTTGGAAATTCTAATTAAGAAGTTGAAAAAAGTAAGTGAGGGTAAGTCTGCCTAACGTTGCGAGTTCAAGCGTTGTGAGAACAGTCAGGTGGTCCGGGAACGGCCCCAGTGGCTAAGGATTTGCCCACCGCCATCCAGAGCCCCATGGTTGCGGGCTTGGTTGCTTAAGCTCTTGTGCTTGCATTTGGCACAGGTTTGAACTCTACACTTAAAGATCAAATTATGTCCCACCCAGCATTGCATGATGCCCTTAATGACCCTAACAATGGGGATTCTGCCACCAAACACCTGAAGCAGCAGGTACGTGCAGGCCACGCTGATCTGAACACGCTCTGGTCTGTCAGCAGCTAACACTCTGTTCCTTCCGAGCATAGCTACTAACGAGCTTTCCCTCAGCGTGCCTTTCCGGGAGGAACCCTCCCACTCCAAAAAACTTACAGACGTGTCTGCTAGGATGTTTGGCCTGACTGTGGGTCTGAGCACTGCGTGTTAAATGTTTACAAACAAAACAAGAGAAGACAATTTAAAGCCACACAGACATCTTCCCTGTGACCTCGCTGCCTTCTGTAGCATTACCTCCCGCTGTTTTTCCCACTTGAGCCGGATGTGTTTGCTCTCGTTTATAAAATAATCTCGAGAGGTTTGCAGGCTTCTATTTTAGGTAACATTGAGGAATTAAAGTTACTTGGCCCAAGAAGATGCTTTGTTGAGTTTGGAGCGGGAAAGGGGAAGTTGTCTCACTGGGTTGATGTTGCCTTAAAAGATGCCGAAGGAGTTCACTTCCTCCTCGTAGAGAAGGCGCCCACGAGGTTCAAGGTGAGCGGCCGGCGCCCTGCCCGGACGTGCGTGCGCTTCCCGCGAACGGGCCTGTCTCCTAGAGGGGTTTTGCTCTGGGTTTTGAAAACAGATAGCACTGGTTTGTTTTCATAAAGCTTTTCCTGAAACATCAAAAAGCCTCGGTTGTAATAATGTTCTGTTTGGGCAGGTAGATGGCAAGCACAGAAAGGAAAACGCAGTGTTTCAGAGACTTCAGATTGACATCCAGCACCTGTGTCTGAGTGAGTTGCGTAGCTTTCTGTTGTCGGCCATTCATCACAGACGTTCCCAACTCGGGTTGCTTGGAAGTCTAGCCACACATGACACCCTGCAGGCGCGAGGGCCAGGCCTGGGCAGGCGGCTGCCACGCTGCTCGCCCTCAGCCCCGTGCGCCTCCTCCAGCCGCTGCATCCTGGAGCCTCATTCCTGAACCACCAAGTGCGAGTGTTTGTTGAGTCGCTCTCAGCCCTAAAATTCAGACTCTGCTTAGTTATCTGCTTGGGAGGCCCCGTAAGGCCTTAGCCCACGAGGGGGCTGCCTGAGTTCTCCTCTCTTTCCACTGCAGACAGGATTCCCGTGCTGAGCAGGGAGAAGCTGCCCGTGGTGGGAATCGGAAAGCACCTGTGTGGAGCGGCCACAGGTGAGCAAGCATACCCAGCGCATCTGCATCTCTTGAGGTCCTAGCGCATGGCCCCGCTATTTCAGGGGTCTCTCCGTGTTCCTGTCATGTGGCCGTGGCCACAGCTCGGTGGTCTGCACGGCAGCACTGGCCCCGTGGGCGAGCAGACAGAGGGCCGCCTGCTCAGCTGCTTGTGGCCCCGGGTGAGGTCATGTGAGATCAGGCATAGGGTGCTCCCAGGTGAGGTCATGTGAGATCAGACACAGGGCGCTCCAGGGTGAGGTCATGTGAGATCAGACATGGGCGTGCTCTCTTCCTTCCCGGTTCTCTCTCTGCGTCTTCCCTCCATCTCTCCTTTCAGGACTGGCCCCTCCGTCAACCTGCACGGACACCTGCCTCTTCGTTTCTCTCTGTGGCTTTTCTTGAGATGCAAAGCTCCGTGGCTTGTCAGTGCAGGGAGATGAATTTGCTCAGGCCTTTCCTCAGCCGGGGCGGGAGGCCTGAGGTCAGTCTCAGTCTTTGGACTGAACGGTTTTGCAAACTAGATCTTAAGCTTCGGAGAGTGTTACTGGGAAGTAGATGCCATGCAGAAAAGATCATTCAAGAACGGGAGACGAACAAAGCTGACCGTTCAGAAGAGACTGATCGCTGGGGGACAGCTAAGCAGGCGGGCTGCTTTTGGTTGGGGGTTTTAAAAGCCATCGTGCTCCCTCGACGTGAAAGGACTCCTGGGAATGACGCTGCCATGGGCCGGGGCTGTATTTGCAGATCTTGCATTACGCTGTCTGGTGGAAACGTATGGCGCCAGCCAGGCGGAAGGGAGTGAAGAGCCTTCAGCCAAACGCATCAAGAACGCTAAAGCGGACAGAAGCCTCGACGCCGCAGCCGAGAACGGCGGTGACAGCAACGTGGCGGGGGCCTGGACCCCGGTGGCTGGCATCGTGGTCGCGCTGTGCTGTCACCACAGGTGCGACTGGAGACACTACGTGGGCAAAGACTACTTCCGGGCGCAGGGCCTGGGCGCCCGGGAGTTCCACTATTTCCAGCGCATGAGCAGCTGGGCGACGTGTGGGATGCGGACGGCGGCTGTGGGGGCCTCCAGCGTCCCCGGGACGAGAGAGGACGAGAGCGAGGACGGCGAGGAGCATGACGGCGGGGGACACAGGGGCCCGGAGGACCGCGCCGGGACGTGGCCCGGGTGAGTGACGGGGAGCTGGACAGCTCCGGGCGGGACTGCTACCGTCTGTTCTCGGACGAACGCTGCCAACGTGCGTTCACGCAGACGGGTCCGGCCCTACGCTAGCAGACTCGAGCTTCCGTTGTGGTCATAGGGAGCTGCCTGGGAAGCAGGGACTCAGCTCAGGGCTGGGCTTCCCAGGGAGCAGGAGCCACCAAAGCGCTCTGTGCAAACTGACCGGCACGGCCTCGCTGTGTGCTCCCTGCAGGTGTCTCCCCGGGGAGGAGAAGGAGCGGCTGGGGCGCCTGTGCAAGCTGCTGATCGACCAGGGCCGCCTGCAGTACCTGCAGCGGAAGGGCTTCCGGGCTGCGCTGCAGCGCTACACGGACCCCACCGTGTCCCTGGAGAACGTGCTGCTCACCGCCCTGCCGGCCCAGGCTCCGGCCGACACCACTGCCTGACGGAGGAGGAGCTGCACCCATCTGTCTTCCACCAAACAAGGCCTCCCACTGTGTTTTATATCATGAAAATACCGTTTATATTTAGGTAATAAGAACTTTAAAAAACGTTGTGCCTCATTGCACTTCGGTACTAGCTCTGTTTTTTACTTGAGAAGAGTCCAGGCTCCAGAGAATTCACCAAAGTCACTTCAGCAGGCGCCTGGCCCTGTCAGCCATCCGGGTCTGCAGGGGCGGGGTCTGTAGGAGTGGGGTCTGCAGGGGCGGGGCCTGCAGAGGAGGAACCTGCAGGGGCGGGGTCTGGAGAGATGGGGCCTGCAGGGGCGGGGCCTGCAGAGGAGGGGCCTGCGGGGGCGGGGTCTGGAGAGGCGGGGCCTGCAGGGGTGGGGTCTGGAGAGGTGGGGCCTGCAGGGGCGGGGTCTGGAGAGGTGGGGTCTGCAGGGGCGGGGCCTGCAGGGGCGGGGCCTGCAGAGGAGGGGTCTGTAGGGGCGGGGCCTGCAGTGGCAGGGCCTGCAGAGGAGGGGTCTGCAGGGGCGGGGTCTGCAGAGGTGGGGTCTGTAGAGGAGGGGTGTGTAGAGGTGGGAGAAGAGGTTGCACAGTCGGCTCCAGCATCTGAAACACACAACAGGTTGCCATGGGACTAGCATAGTCACTTTCCAGTCACGTGAATTTTGGAAACGCATTTTCCTTTGGTTTTATTTAGCCCTTTTCATTTCTGAAGTTCAAGACATAATAATCAGCTGTCGGTTTCTAACAGGGCCAGCCTGAGCATTTGGCCTCTGTGTGGGGTTTTTTTCCCACACAGATCTGGAAAGAATTGTCAGTTAGGCTTCTTTCCTTTGCAAACAAATACAGAGCTATTTATAATCAATCAGTAAGTTCGCCTTCAAAAGTCCAGAGTCAGACCTGTGTTCATATGTTATCAGAATTTGTTCAAGCAAACTCCAAAGCCAAAGCGATGTTTTCCAGGGGAAGAAAAAAGGTATTTCATTCTGCTGGGTATTATGCAGTTAGAACTTCCAAAAAAACACTGAGAAGCCCACTTAACCAATTAAGTTGAAATTTACAAATAAGTTTGGAGATTAATTACATCTTTTAACAGGCTACTTTTACATGTGTAAATGCAAATATAAGTGTGTTCTCTCTGGTTTGGAAAGAACTGGGGTGCAGTGAGAATTAGGTAGTGAACCAAACACCACACACAGCCCCGCTTAACTCAGCGTCTCTGTGCACAGCCACAGTAAGCAGGCACATGGTGGGACTGATTTCACATCTCATCCTTGAGTAATTCTGCCTTTCTTTGTAAACAGATGTGTTAATCATGGCATGTTTGCCAAGACAGATTCAGAATTACTAATTTGCATTAATGATACTCTTAGGTAACTTTTTTATAGGTCCATAGTCACATGAATTGTAAATTAAACAGCCTATTTATAATTCCTGACTTTTCTATTTTATTTTAATCTCACGTGTTGTGAAACTGCATGGGTTCAGATCCCAAGCCTACCTCTCAGTTGTATGACCTTGGGCAAGCTACTTAATCTCTTTGTGCCTCAATTTCCTTTAAAAAAAAAAAAAAATATATATATATATATATATATATATATATATATATATCCGATTTTTTTTTTACAGAGAGGAAAGGGAGAGGAATAGAGAGCTAGAAACATCCATCAGCTGCTTCCTGCACACCCCCTACTAGAAATGTGCCCACAACCATGTACATGTCCTTGACTGAATCGACCTGGGACTCTTTAGTCCACAGGCTGATGCTCTATCCACTGAGCCAAACTGGTCAGGGCTCAATTTCCTCTTAAAATGGGAGTGACGACAATAATAAAGCCTATCTCGAAAGGTTGTTGTGAACATAAGATGAGATTATGAATGTAAAATGCTTAGAACAGTCGGAGCACAGAGTTAATACTCATTACTAAGTGTTCTAAATAGTGCTAGTTCTGAAGCTTATCATTTTAAATAATAAGCAGACTTGGTTGTATTGACTGTTTAAGTTACAACCTTTTTCTCTTGTTATAAGTTGCATGCAAAATATTAGTAAGGTAAGGTAGTTTGATTATATTTTAAGTTAGTTACTCATGCCCTCCTCCCCCATTCAAGGAAATATAAATGAAGATAATACATCACTCAGTAACTAACCTGATACACTGGGTCAGACGATGCTCATTTACATTATATCATCCAGTTTGTACCGTTCAACAGCTCATACCCAGAAATAAGTGATTACGTTATAGGAGGCATAATCACTTAAGTTTCATAAAACCTTTACACACACACACACACAGAATCACACAGTCTGGCCCATTTGTGTTTCTGACACGGGTACCTCGTACTCTATGGGAAGTAAAGATTGCCCTTCAGTATGCCAGCTGTGGGTCAATAACTGCTTTCCCCAACCCTGTTCCTTTCCCTTCGCATCCCGACTGGTGTGTGGGACATGCACCTAGCGGTTCCTCACCTGCAGAGCCTGCGGGTCCAGCTGACGGATGTGTTTCGCTCCCATAGATGCTTCCATTTGTCCCTCTTCCTTCCTCTCCCTCTAAAACAAAAACACTTAAAAAGATAGAAGAAACCCACAAAGGAGTTCACGTACATAAGCCGCCTCCATCGGAAGGAAAAGAAGTCCCGAACCTGCGTCCCCCGCTTGTCTCCGGGCCTCCCGGATGTAGGCGCGCATGAACTGGAGGCCGAACAGCTCCTGCTCGCCCTCCTCCTCGGCGCTCTCCGCGGGGGGCAGGGTCACGTCCAGCCTCAGCGGGTTGTCTCGGAAGTTGACAAACCTAGCAGATGCCAGAGACAGGTTTATAGGTGCCGCGGAGGGTGCTCTTCTTCCCCAGAGCCACCGCGTGATAATGTTCTAAAGACTCTTTCTAGATGGTTCCACAAACCGAACGCCTCGGTGGGATGTGATGTATCCTGAGACTCTTTCAGTTTCTTTCCTAGAAGAAGAAAATGTTAGCTCGAAGCGACTGACTTCCAGAGCTTGTAAATGCAACTGTTAGTCCTGGCGGGTGCGACTCGGCTGGGCGTCCTTCAGTGCAGGAGAGGTCACGGGTTCGACTGGTCAGGGCTCATGCCCAGGAGGGGGCATGCAGGAGGCAGCTGATGGAAGTATCTCTCATCAGTCTTTCCCTTTCTCTTTCCTTCTCCCTCTCCAAGATCAATAAAAACGTTTTAAAATAAATAAAAGCAAGCAGCGCAGACTCAGTGTGGAGCAGAACTGCCAATGGCATGTCTAATGCATCTCAAACACAGATGCTCCTCGACCCGACAATGGGGTTATGTCCCGGAAGGCCCGCTGTAACTTGAAAGCAAACCGGAAATGCATGAAATTCGCCGAAGCTACCGGAGAAGATGGCTTCAGCTGGCCTCCCTTGACACATGTCAGGACATTCCCATCGGCCTGCACGTGGGCCAGGCCACCTAACAGAAGCCTGCTTTATGACAAAGTGCCGCGGAGCTCATGTGATTTATTACACACGTCACTTCTGCACCACCATAATGTCCAGGGCCATCTGTACAATGAACGCAATAAACTTAAAGTATGCGTACTTTACAGACCTGCGTGTGGTTTTTTATCATCGTAACTTCACCATCTGGTACAGGCCTTAGTAGTCGCTGCACAGGTGAATGAATAAATGAATGAATTTCAGATGTGGGATTTGTCATGAATTCTCATGTTCACTGCCAAGAAGTTGAATTTTAGGAGGAAGACACTAACGGAATTTTAATAGTAACAAACTGAGATGATTTTCATGAAAATCACCAACAGAGGGCGTTCCTTGCCTGGCTGTTGTGCTCAGTGGTTGAGTGTTGACCCAGAAACCAAGAGATCTTGGTTCGATTCTGGTTAGGGCGCAGGCCTGGGTTATGGGCTTGATCCCCAGAATGGGGCGTGCAGGAGGCAGCCCATTGATGATGTTTCTCATCAATGTTAACTATCTCTCCCTCATCTTTCCTCTCCTTAGAAGTCAATAAAAACATACTAAAAATATAGGGCATTCCGCCCAGCTAGCTCAGTCGGTAGAGCATGAGACTCTTAAAAATATAGGGCATTCCTTGGTGATGGTAAATCCCAGCACTGCTTTTGTTTTACGGTCTCGGTATTATCTGAATCCTGTTATAAATTAGAGTTTCCAAGCTGGACCCATCTTTGAAATGCCTGTATTCACCGAAGGAGAACTCAGTCTGTGTGATTTCTCCGTGTGGCTCTGTTCCGTGGCCAGAGAGGGAGTGTCGGTTCGGTGCGGGGACGCCTCACCTCAGGCCGGGCATCTCGCCCATGCACGCCGGGATGTCCTGCAGCCTGTTGTTGGAGAGGACCAGCGTGCCCAGGCTTTTCAAGCGGCTGATGGACTCAGGCAGGCAGGCGATCTCGTTCCGCTGCAGCCACAGCGTGTGCAGGCTCTGCATCCTGAGGGGTGAAAGGAGGGTTCTGCGCTGAGTCCATCACACACAGTGTGGACCCTGGTTCTTAGGAACTGAACCATCACAGCCGTGTCCCCTCCTTCAGCACCTCCACCGGCCAGCGCGCCTCACCTCTGCTTACCAGGCCGATGGCCCGGGGGGTTCATTGTACAGGGCCGTGCCCGGTGCAGAGGTGGCAATGAGATCAATGTGCTCTAGGCTTCCTCACTGTTCTCATAGCATCTCTTAAAGATGGGACCGAATCCGAAACAGAAAGTCAGACATCGCTAATGTGCTCAGAGGGCAAGGGAAGTGTGCGTGTGGTTAACACCACAGACTTGGGGGCCAGGCATCCGGGTTCAAATCCCCGATTGCACACTTCCTATGACCTTGAGCGATCCAGCCTCCTCGCCCGTCCATTCGTAAAGTGCACAGAAGTGTGTGGCATGCACTACGAAGTATTGTCACCATTTCGGCATGTTCTTGTCACACTGTGGAAGCCAGATAGCCAGTTTTGCTCACCGTTCAATTCCCGGTCAGGGCACATGCCCCAGTTGTGGGCTCGGTCCCCAGTAGGGGGCGTGCAGGAGGCCGATCCATGACTGTCTCTCCTCATTGATGTTTCTCTCCCTCTCCTCCTCCTTCCTCCCTGAAACCCGGGTGTACTAGACGCTGTTGGCTGTACCTCTCGATGGCATCAGGGAGCTGCTGGAGCTGGTTGCTCCCCAGGTCCAGCCACTCGAGGGCGGGCATGCTCAGCACGGCGGGAGGGACGGCGGTGAAGCTGTTCATGCTCAGGTCCAGGTGGGTGAGCTTCGTCAGGCGGCCGAGCTGCAGAGGCAAGCGAGGGGGCCCCAGTGAGGGAACGAGCTGGGCACGCACACGGCGAGGAAGCTCTGTGACTGCTCCCCGAAGCCTGGGCCCGATCTCCTCCCGTGGAAACCAAAGTAAAGCTAAGGACCCCAGCACAGGAAACACGCTCCCACTGAGAGCTCTACCCCAGGAGAAGTCTCTTCCCAGTAACCCAGTCCCAGGACCGCAGACCTGCGGGAGAGACGTCTGTAAGCACGCTTCCCTCTCGTCCAGGAGTGGAGATTGGCATGGAAAAGCTCAAATTCAAAATAATTTCTAATGGAACCCTCTTTGTGCTGATGCTTTAGATATGGTATTTCAGGCACAGAATTTACTGTTTAGTCAATATATATATATATATATATACATATATATATATATATATATTTAATACCTTTTAATATTTTTATAGATGTCAAAGAAGAGAGAGGAATAGAAACATCAATGATGAGCGAGAATCGTGGATCAGGCTGCCTCCTGCACGCCCCACACTGGGATCGAGCCCACAATCTGGGCGTGTGCCCTGACCGGGAATCTAACTGTGACCTCCTGGTTCATGGGTCAGCGTTCAACCACTGAGCCACACCAGCTGGACAAGCGAAAACAACGTTCAATGCTCCCAATGGGCGTGAAGCCATCCAGGATAAGAAATGCTCCATCTCGTAACTGGTGTCTCTCCAGCTTTAGAGCGTAAGCCATGAATAAAACACCTTTTCAAAATCTGTCGTCAGACTTTTACAGTTTTTAAATGGCTCAGAACAGAGTAGAAAGAAATTGTTTTTACATCAGCATAAATACGTTTGTGTGACCCAGCGGGTGTGGCTCCGTGGTTGAGCATCCACCTATGAACCAGGAAGTCAGAGTTGTGGGCTCAATCCCCAGTAGGGGGCTAAGCAGAGGCCTTTTACTTAAAATGGCGGGAAACAGCTTTCACCACCTAGTTCCTGGGATAAGATGGGGAGCCTTGCTTTAAGGACCCTCCCGCTGAGAGGAGCAGGCGCCAGCACGGGGCACGGCACAGCCCTCTGACCTCCTGCGGCAGCTCGCAGATGTCTCTGTTGACGGCCAGCTCCAGCTTCTCCAGCCCGGCGCAGCCGCCCAGCTCCTTGGGGACAGTCTTGATCTTGTTGTAACTGAGAATCAGCTCCTGGAGTCTCGTAAGCAGTCCTACGGAAAGAACGCACAGCAGAACCGAAACCGGTTTGGCTCAATGGATAGAGCGTCTGCTTGGGGACTGAAGGGTCCCTGGTTCGATTCCGGTCAAGGGCATGTACCTTGGTTGCGGGCATATCCCCAGTAGGGGGTGTGCAGGAGGCAGCTGATCGATGACACTCTCTCATCAATGTTTCTAACTCTCTATCTCTCTCCCTCTCTGCACAAAAATCAATAAAATATATTAAAAAAAAAAAAAGAACGCATAGCAGAGACCAGGGGGGTAGACAATAATGTTTCCTTAGCAAGTATGACACATTAGGAACCAGCCAGGCCCCGCCAGCAGCGTGGCTCTGTGGTTGAGCGTCGACCTATGAACCAGGAGGTCAGGGTTCAATTCCCAGGCAGGGCACATGCCCAGGTTGCAGGCTCCATCCCCAGTGGGGGGCGTGCAGAAGGCAGCTGATCCATGATTCTCTCTCATCACATATGTTTTTCAACATATTTTTAATATGTTTTTCTCATTCCTTCTCCCTTTCTCTCTGAAATAAACAAAAATATTCTTTAAAAAAAAGAACTTGCCAGTTTTATATTGATGCATTCACAGTTGTCAGATAAGGGGCTGGTTTACCAGTGCTTTAGGCATTTTTTTCATTCTGTTTTATCTAGCTATATCTTGACCAATTTTCACTTTGGGGGTTTCCTTTCTCCTTTAAGTGGTCTTCCTTTTTATTTTTTTTTAAAAAAAAGTATATTTTTTATTGATGTCATAGAGGAAAGGAGAGGGAGATAGAGAGAAGCATCATTGATGAGAGAGAATCATTGATTGGCTGCTTCCTGCATGCCTCTTAGTGGGGATTGAGCCTGCAACCCAGGCATGTGCCCTTGACAGCACAACGATGGGCATTTCTTTGGAGATCCACATTTTTTAAACTTAAACTTCTTCTAACGCCACTTCTTCAACATAGACAGGCCGTGGTGTTTTGTGGAAGAGCCACCCTCAAGGGGCCAAAGAGCCGCATGTGGCTCGCGAACCGTAGTTTGCTGACCACTGCTCTAAGCAACTGATCTACCGGGCCAGGCACCTGAGACAGGAATCTTAACGAGAAGCACCCCTGCCAGGGAATGAGACAGCTGGGGGATCAGAGCATTCGTCCTTACCTATCCCGCGGGGTATCTCTGAGATCGTGTTTCGAGATAAATCTAACACAAGGAGGTTCTGGAATCTTCCGATGAACTCAGGGATTTTCAACAAACCAGTTCTGTGCAGCTGCCACTCCTGCAGCTGATTCAGTTTCAGGAGAGAAGAAGGAAGGGTCTGATGAGAGAGAAAGGACAGACAGGATGTTACTTCCTTCGCTCCGTGCCTGCCGCACTGAGGCGGGGTGGTAGCAGATGGCTGCACCTGTAAGAGAATCTTGGAAAGTGGGTGATTTTTCCAAGGGCTTTATGTTACTCACTTTTGGGGGGAGGAGGAAGGGGAGCTGTGTACGTGCACGCAGGTGTGTGCCTGTGTGTGTATATGAGAGCTGGTGGACCTGATAAAAATATATACAAAAACATTTCCATTTTGTGAAGACTTAATTGAGTTATCTGCTTCAGAAAAGCTATGTGATTTTCATTAGGCAGATGGTCATCCTTTATTTTTTAAATATGAGAAATTACTTATGGAAATGATTAGGAGAAACATTACAAATGACTTAAGTTTATGTAGAGTAGAAGCAAATTGAGTGTTTGCAGACAACACACACACACACACACACACACACACACACACACACACACAAAACTGTGACATTATATTTCTTTTCAGTTGTTCATTCCTTTGGGTATGTTATTAAACTTAGAATTTCTTAATGAATTCCAGTCTTGAGACAGTCTCAGGATCATTGTCCTGCAGAAAGCAGAACGCGGACACACAGCTGAATGTTACCCGCCGTGCTTACCTTCCACTCCTCCTGCTCGATCTTCAAAATAACCCGGCCGTTCTCCCTGGTGACCTTCTCCTTCAGCCTCGCCAGGCTGACCCGCTCCTCCCAGATCCGCACGAGCCTGGGAGACAGGGAGGCCCTGAGCTCACGGGCCGGGCCAGGCCACACTCACCTTCCCATCGCACTGACCAGAGCGGACGCCACGCTTGATGTTGGCCATCGCGTCCACTTTCCTATGAAGAAAGGCCCATCACAAATAACTGACCAGCCTGGCCGGTTTTGCTCAGTGGATAGAGGACTGAAGGGTCCCGGGTTCGATTCCGGTCAAGGGCATGTATGTGCCTTTGGTTGCAGACACATCCCCAGAAGGGGGGTGTGCAGGAGGCAGCTGATCAATGTTTCTTTCTCATCCATGTTTCTATCTCTCTCCTTTCCTCTCTGTAAAAAAATCAATAAAATATATTGAATTGAAAAAAATAAAAGAGTTCGGCAAAGTTAACTTGGTCAGTATCGTGCGCTCTAACCATAAGGGGTTTCATCGGAGCAGCTCTTTCCAGACAAAGCCGACCCAGGGGAACGGGAGACCTGGGGTCGAGGGAGTGCTCAGGCGTCGGACTGCTGAGTGTGAATACTGGCTCCCATGTGTTAGTGATGTGATCTCTGACCAGTGCCAGACCTGTCCCTCGGGCTTCCCATCTTGAAAATGGAGAAAATAATAGGACCCTTGGGTGACAGCGACTGCTCATCGTCCCCCCAGAACCTGCTACCCCTCTTCTTCCTCCGTAGCAGAGCCTCTCAGTTTAATTGGGCTCACGATGTCACTGGGCCAGATCCGTGCCTGGGGACACCGTGGCCAATGGGTGCCGGCAGGAGCCGGAGCGCACTGCCCGCTGGCCGGAGTCCGCCCCGTGGCTGCAGCTGGTGTTTCTATTTGGGGCCGCGGGTGACTGCGGGAATGACAGCCACGCACAGCTGAGCAACAAGGTGGACGCCGGAGGGTGTGACTCAGTGGCTGCTCTTCCAGCCCCGGTCCGTCGGCCGGGAAGAGCTGACTTCCTGTTAAGGCGCCAAGAGCTGGCTTTGCTCCCCGGAGGAGGCTGTTTCGGCACGTGGAGAGGATTGCAGACACAGTCAACAGTGTACCTGTCAGCAGCAGCGTTCTCTCTCCCGGCTTTGGCTGGGAGAACGGCCCCTCCCCCAGGCAGATCTTCTGCTCTTAGGGACAGTTATCAGACCCTATAGCTGCTTATCAATAACCCTTTCCTCCTCCTCTTTGCTGGGAGAACACCTGTTCTTGTCAACTGTCCACACTCCCCCACCACCACCACCACTTATGACCCAGGTGTAAGCCTGAATGTGTCTGAATCAATCGTACAACCTCATCCCCAAGAAGGCAGGTGGAGGAGGGGTGTACCCAGGAGCCAATTCTGGCCACTAAGGAAATAGAAATAGTTTCCATTCTTCCCTCCCCTCCTCTCCGGTGCCCGGCTGTGGGGCCTGAGGGTGGAGTCACCCTCACATTTCGGGGAGCAGTGGGAGGTGACAAGAGCAGCCGGCTCTGCAAGACAGTTGGCGTTTTGCAAGCGCCTGGCCTCGGGCCTGTGGTATTTTGTGGAAGAGCCACACTCAAGGGGCCGAAGAGCCGCCGGTGGCCACGGACCTGGGAGAGCCACGGCTTTCACAGGGAGACCCTGGCGTCCCCGAGCCCCCACTCTCAGTGGAGCGGGTGTCTCTTTGGGCATGTGGTGAGCTTTCCATAAACAAACATCTCTATCAAACCCAGCGCGAAGGCCTGTAACTTCAGGCTCTTCCTGTACGGATGCCATGCGCTTCCGCTCACGCAGAGAACAAAGGGGAGGTAGCCTACTTCTGCTTGAACTCCTTCTCACGCTTCAGGTCCTCGGTGAGTATCTGGATCCTCCTCTCCCACACCTCCTTCACGGCGTGGACGGCCCCGGCGCACACCCCGTCTCCGGCCATGGCCCCTCCACATCGTCACAGCCCTGGCTCCGCTAGGGTTAAATAGCCGGTCACAGGGGCATCTCAGCAAGGACCTGATTGCACCGGGGGAACAAATGCATTTCAGGATGCTCATTGAGTACATCACGATCAAATAGCTTATATATATGTATATATTTAAATATATTTTTTATTGATTTCAGAGAGGAAGGGAGAGGGAGATAGAAACATCAATGATGAGAGAGAATCATTGAAAGGCTGCCTTCTGCAGGCCCCCTACCAAGAATGGAGCCCACAACCCAGGCGTGTGCCCTTGACTGGAATCGAACCCCGGACTCTTCGGTCCACAGGCTGAAGCTTTATCCAGTGAGCCAAACCAGCTAGGGCTGCTTTTCATTATTAATTGTCCCTACATTATTGATTTCTTTAAAGGAGAAGTATGCAAAAAAAAAAAAAAAAAGAAGTATGCAGTATGTGTGGGAAGAGAGACAAAGACAGACAAATAATCAATAACTAATTGCCAATGTGCAGAAAACCCTCAGGAGAGGGTCCCTGTTTCTAAGCAACGACGGCAGAACTCACACACAGAAGAGCTGGTGGGATCCCATGCCATTTGCAGGGATACAAACGCTTAGAATCCCACCCCCGGGCTGTGTCACAGTCAGCCTGCAGCTTGCCTCAGAGGTGAGCAAGTCTGCTTATTTGCTTACCAGACAATAAAGTATTTATTAAAGCCCCACGTGTCCACGTGTAAACATGTGTTTTCCTAGACTTGTATGTGCTCATCTGCCATCCGTGCGGGCATGTCCAGTTTTCCGGTAACAGCGCCACCACCTTCCCTCGGACAGCGGTCTCCTCTCTGGTTATCCCCTAATAGGCCAGCGCGGTGCCAGGCCCAGGGGGCGAGGACAGCAGTGCCGTGACCGAGACTCAGCTTCCCAACGTCAGAAAGAAAGGAATACACCCTCCAAGCAAACGCTCCTGAGCCCTCCAGAGAAGGACAATCACACGCGTGACCAGGAACCCCCACAGTCGTTTCGATCCCATTCCATGTTCAATTGTACACTCTGGCCGACACAGGCACAGTAAAGGCACAGTCCACAGCAGCAATCCTATATCATAAAAGCCTAATATGCTAAGTGTCCGGTCATCCAGTCGTCTGTCCAACCAATCAAAGTATAATGTGCTAATGATATGCTAAGGCTGCTCAACCGCTCCCTTGCATGGACCACCAGAGGGCAGACGCTCAAAGCAGGAGCTGCCTCCTGGTGGTTAGTGGGTTCCCACAGAAGCCGGGCTCAGGGCCAGCTGCTGAGGTGGCAGCAGCGCTAAGGATGTCCAACTGCCAGCATAGGCCCGCTCCCTGCCCCGGAGATCCCAGCCATCTGCCGGACATCCCCCAAGGGCTCCTTACCCGTCCCCTGAACAAATTCATGCACCCAGCCGCTAGTCTATGTATATCTGAAGGAGGAGAAAAGACCTTTTTTAAAAAGACGTACCGTCATTGGTGGTGCCGAGGCTGACCTGCCCCACGCCAGCGGTGATCAGCGAGGGATGGCCAGGAGACCTGCCTCCAGCGTGGCTCTGAGTGAGTGAGGTCCGGTCAGACTGTCAGCGCGGAGAGCAATGTCAGCCTTGTTCTAAATTTAGCTCATGAGCACAGCTGAGAATAGCACACCACGTGGAGCTTCTGAAGCACCGGCGGGCGATGGGAGAGCATTCCCCGCGCAGAGCCTGAGCCGCGGGCACCGGAGCAGCAGGCAGGCCTCTCCCTGCTCCCGAGAGAGTTCCTACAGAGCCCCCCGCCGGTCCTGACTTCCACAGTTAGTGTTTAGTACAGTTTCATATGTATGCGTTTACTGATTTCAGAGAGGAGGGGAGAGGGAGAGAGAAACATCAGTGATGAGAGAATCACTCATCAGCTGCCTCCTGCACGCCCCCTACTGGGGATCAAGCCCCAACCCTGGACGGTGCCCTGACCTGGAATCAAACCCAAAACCCTTCAGTCTGTGGGTTGATGAGCCAAACTGGCTAGGGCTAATATAATTAAAAAAAATAAATAAATAAAAATAAATAAATATATATATATATATGTGTGTGTGTGTGTGTGTGTGTGTGTATACATGTGTATGTATATATGTATACATATACACATATATACGTATATATGTGTATGTATGCGTGTATGTATGTGTGTGTGTATGTGTGTGTGTGTGTGTGTGTGTGTGTGTGTATATATATATCCCTAACCAGTTTGGCTCGGTGGATAGAGCGTCCGCCGGCAGACTGAAGGGTCACAGGTTTGATTCTAGTCAAGGGCATGTACCTTGGTTGTGGGCACATTCCCAGTGGGGGGTGTGCAGGAGGCAGCTGATGGATGTTTCTCTCTCATCCATGTTTATAATTCTTTATCCCTCTCTCTTCCTCTCTGTAAAAATCAATAAAATATATATTTTTAAATAAAAAAATATGTTTATTGATTTCAGAGAGGAAGGGAGAGAGAAACATCAATGATGAGAGAGGATCATTTATCAGCTGCCTTCAGCACCCCCCTCCCCTCCCACACACACACACACACACACACACACACACACACACACACACACACTGGGGATAGACCGGGAATAGAACCGTGACCTCCTGGCTCATAGGTGGATGCTCAACCCCTGAGCCTTGCAGGCCGAGCGGTAACTGTTTCAGGCTCCATCGCGCAGTCTCTTCTGCAAAACCCGTTCCTCGTGTTCCTTCGCCCCTGACCTCCCTCCAGCCGCTTACCTAGTCGCCACCTTCAGGCTCACCTCAGCCATCCTGGCCCCCGGGGCCAGCAGCCCGGGGTCCTGACCTCACCTCCTGATGCCCAGCACGGGAGCTCCCGCAATGGGGGTTATTCCCCGAGGTGGAGGCCCCGCCAGCGCCTGGTCACCCGCCTCTGTGGCCCCCACCCCTCCTCTCTCCGGCCCCCACCCCTCCTCTCTCAGGCCTCGGCTTCCACCGCCAGGACTGGCTCTGGGCGGCTGTTCCCAGAGGAGAGGCCAGGGCGCCCCTTACAGAGCTAAACCAGCATGGCGGCCGCTCCCCTTCTTCCAGGACCGTCCTGGCCTGGGGGGTGGGGGGTGGCACTCGCTGCGGGGCCCGGGGAGGAGCCTGACCACCCGGGACCTGCAGCCCTGACCACCCGGGACCTGCAGCCCAGGCCCTCAGGCTGACTTCCTGCAGAACCACTTCCGGGGCAGGAGGTGAACTCATGGGAAGGCGGGGGCACCTGGCTCACCTCGCAGGCCGCCCCAGGCTGGGCTTGGCCAGCGGCTCTTCCGAAGGCTCCCCCTCGCCCACCAGCGGGGCTCAGGGGCTGAGCATTGACCTAGGAACCAGGAGGTCAGGGTTCGATTCCCGGTCAGGGCATAGGCCCGGGGTGTGGGCTCCATCCCCAGTGGGGGGCATGCAGGAGGCAGCCAGTCCGTGATGCTCTCTCATCACTGATGTTTCCATCTCTCTCCCTCTCCCCTCCTCTCTGAAATAAAACACAAACATTTTATATGAATACACACATACACACACACATATACACTCAGTATTTTTTTTTAAATGGGACTGCCTTGCATTTACATATCTGTGTTTTTAATTTCCACCGCCTCGCTAGGGGAATGAGTGCCCTAATGACGGTGGTGGTTTGGAAAAAAGCAGGCCCCTCCGTGACCGAGAGTCCTGAGCTGTCCGAGCGGCCCTGGGCTGAGGCCCCTTCTAGGCCTGTGCCAGGAACAGGGCCAAGGCCACACACGTGCTGTGGCAGCCCGGTGGGGTGGTGCCAGCCCTGCCCCCTCCCGGTGCCCTGGACTAGCCAATGTCCCCAATGGGCTGATTTGCACAGTCCCCGCAAGCGGCTTTGGCTGGCCCGCACCTGCCGTCCGCGTCACTGCTCCTGCGGCTGGCACTCTGGCTGCATTTTTCCAGGAAATTAAATCGCTAGGTTTTTCCAGATGGGTGCACTCTTGTGACTCCAATAGACTTTGCAGCCTTGATTTTTTAAAAATATATTTTATTGATTTTGTACAGAGAAGGAGATAGAGAACTAGAAACATCGATGAGAGAGAAACATTGACCAGCTGCCTCTTGCACACCCCCTACTGGGGATGTGCCCACAACCAAGGTACATGCCCTTGACCGGAATCGAACCCGGGACCTTTCAGTCCGTAGACCAACGCTCTACCACTGAGCCAAACCAGCTTCGGCTTTCATGTAATTTTTAAATCACATTTCCAGAGCTTCTCCCTCTTAGGACTCCCCTCTCCGAGGTTCTAGAACCGTTTGCTCCGTATGTGGCGCGTATGCAAGACCTTCTTGCAGGAAACTAAGTGAAGCAGGGCCGCGGCTCACAGGGTGGCAGCTGCTTGGGAACGTGGGGCTGGGGGTAGGCGTGCTGCCTCCTCCGCAGGCTGAGATGAGGGGGCCCTTCTTGGACTGTTCTGATCCTGGGATCGATCCACCTCCACTGCCTTCCGAGCTGGCAGACCTCCAGGTGGCGTGTTCGCTTGGGTGGCGGTGCGTCCGGTGCCATGCAGAGCCCGCTGGTCACTCCGATGGGAACGGTGACATGAACCACGTCAGGCTCGGCACCATTGTTCAGCGCTGGCTGCCCCCTCTGCCTCAGACGTCAGTCAGCACAGAGACCCCCGGGCTTCTCCCCTGAGTTACCGTCACCTCCAGGAACACCGAAGGCCTGTGGGCCTGCCGCCCGCCCGCCGTGCTCCTGGCCTGGTGTCCACAGCCATTGGTGTGGACGTGTACACTAAACACACACGATAGGAAACTTCACAGCCACGTAGATGTATGATAATGCAGACGTGTTTATTGGCAGCTAGTTACCCACAACATGTTAAATTTTAAAAAATTATAAAATAGTACAGTATGACCTCTTTTTTATAAAAAGATTGCTATGTATACAGGTACACGGATCAACATGTTCATAGTGGTAGGGTTATGGATGCTTTCTTTTCCTTGCAACTCTTCATATTCTCTGAATTTAAAATATAACAACATCCAGCTGATTCATTAATTTATTTTATTATATATTGATTTTTAGAGAGAAAGGGGGGGAGAGGGGGAAACACCCATTTGTTCCACTGCCTGATGCATCCATTGGCTGCTCTGACATGTGTCCTGGCCGGGGACTGAACCCACAACCTTGGTGCCTGGGGACACGCTCCACGCAGCCGAGCTGCCTGGCGGGCCATCTACTGTTTCCGATCTAAATGTTACTTCCATCGTTAACATGTCCAATCAAGCACATGTTAAAGCAAGTTTTTCTAACAGGTAAGTCACTTGAGGTTTTTTAGACATTTGAAACAACTGAATTTCTGAATCAAATCAGAATGTCGTATTGTATTCACCTTGATGCCTCTACCCAAATGATATCTTCGTGTCTATATGAAATTTGTTATTTTATTTTAAAGCCCGTAATTACCCATTTGACTCCTCTCTCTCCCTCTTTTCCTAAATATTTTTTATTTCAAAGAGGAAGGAGAGGGAGAGATAAAAATATAAATGATGAGAGAGAATCATCAATCGGCTGCCTCCTGTATGCCCTACAGTGGGACGGCAACCCAGGCATGTATCCTGACTGGGATTGAACCATGACCTCCAGGTTCACAGGTTGACATTCAACCACTGAGCCACACCAGTCGGACAGCTCTCTCTTTTTTACTGGTTACAAAACTGTAACTGGACATTAAGATCCACTTATAATCCCCTTTTTAAAGATACTAATTTACATAAATAAGGCATTGCAATGACCTCTGCACAGTAACATACTCCTGAAGGATAATTGCACTTAGTTTATACAGCAACGGCATTGCTGTGGGGAAACAGAAGGTATTTTGTACAGTCCTTTCCCACCTTAGTGTAATCAAAACGCTCACTGAGTCAGTTTCCGAGAAAGGAAGGAGCAGGGCAAACACTGTCTACGGCTACAGTCTGCTAGGGATATGAGTTGTTCTTGGCAGTTTCAGTCCATTTCCATTGACACAGCGACCTCAGCACCACAGAGAACTACCACCGTGACCTACATGTGACTATGGCCGCTGCTCCTGTCCGAGAGGGCGCCGGAGGGGGCACCCGTGGCCAGACCGCCCCCCGCAGGTCCGAGGACACGGCCTGTCCGCGGCGCGGCTCCGGCTCCGGCTCCTGGAGGCTCAGCAGCTCGGACGCCGGCCTCACTTCAGGTCCAGGAGCATGGCCGCCGGGTTTTCCAAGTAGGACTTCCACAGGTTGGAGAAGCGCGACATGGTGGCGCCGTCGATGACCCTGTGGTCGGCCGACCAGCTCACCTTCATGATGTGCGCCTTGTACACGTCTCCCTTCTGGCTGAACCGGGGCAGGGGCTGGGGAGCAGGGAGAGGAGTCAGGGCGGGGGCGGGAGCCGGGGAGGCCGTGCTGCCCGCGGAGGACGAGCCCCCGTCTCAGCGCGCCCCTTCCCCCACGTCCCCCCGCAGCTGCCCCGGCACTCCTCTCCGCACCGGGAATGTCATCTCAGACTTCGGCCACGGAACCGCGCTTACCGAGCACCTGCTCCGCCCAGGCCCCTCCAGACTCTGGGGCCGAAGCATGAACAGAACCAACAGCCCTTCCCGCTGGGAGCGAGCATTGTAACGGGGAAACAGGAGGGACAAGTAAACGCACAGCGGGGCAGACTGTGAAAAGCGTGGAAGGAAACTCGGAGCAGCTGGCAGGGACGGCATACAGAGAGCAGAGGGGAGGGCTTCTTTTTGGACAGGGTGGCCCGTAGTTAGAGCATCGGCCTGTGGACTGAGGGGTCCCAGGTTCGATTCCTGCTCAGAGCACAGGCCTGGATTGTGGGCTCCATCCCGAGTAGGGGGTGTGCAGGAGGCAGCTGATCCATGATTCTCTCTCATCATCCATGTTTCCATCTCTCTCTCCCTCTCCTTCCCTCTCTGAATCAATAATAATAAAAAAAGGCTCCTCTTGCTTGTGCTCACCCTCCGGTTCTCTCACAAACGCACCTTAATGGACCCCAGAGCCCCGATGGCGACCTCGGGCGGCAGGATCACGGCTTTGGCGTAGGTGCCGCCGATCTGAAAGCCAAACAGAGCAAGACAGCCGACAGGTTAGCGTGAGGGGCAGGCGCCGGCCGCTGTGCTGAGCTGAGCTGAGCGGGCTGGTCGGCGGGGACTCACGGAGCCGATGTTGGAGAGGGTGAAGGTGCCCCCCGTGAGGTCGGCGGTGCTGAGCTGCCCCAGGGAGCCCAGCTTCTGCAGGCGGTTCAGCTCGGCCGCGATGTCCATCACCGAGCGCGCCTGGACGCTCTTCACGTTGGGGACGATGAGCCCCTGCTGGGTGTCCATGGCCACCCCGATGTTATGAGATGCCTAAAACAACAACAGCAACAACAACAACAATGATAGGAGAGGACCCCTTCCCCTGCCCTGTAACAGCGGCCAAACATCTCTCACCAGAATGGGGTGGCTTAAAAGAAATGATTTTTAAAGAATTTCAAGACATTTTCTGAAAAAGCGACTTTTTCTGTCAGTGGAATATACACTGTCAGTGGAGACGTCAGCTGACACGGGCTTTCTGGAGAACAGTGAACAACAATACGTGCCCACGGCTGTAACAGCCTGTCACCGAGAGAGACAGGAGCTTGGAGAGACGGGGATGTACTGTCCGGAAACGTGAGGCACTGAGAACGACCCCAATGTTGACAATAGGTCACTGGCTAAATAACTTATTTACTGACAGGTGATGATGTCAATAACACATTAAAAGCAAAGGTTTTTACAAAAAGTTAAATAAGCAATAGTGAGCAGTATGTGTAATTCTATATATATAATATAGATGTATATTTAATGTATATATAGATATATTTAAAATATGTAAAAATAAAATTCTGGAAGGATGCACATCTCAATAGACACAGGTGAGTTATCCTGCGATCACGGATCGGGGATAAACATCCTTATTTTCTTGTCTGAACTCGTTGTAAGCAGCCTCTCCTCAATCAGGAAATGGCACTGGTCGCTGGGAAGGCACTAGATACAACCCCTCAGAACAGCCACGCTCACTTACCGCTTGTACATGTCTGTGAGACATACAGGCAAGAATGAGCATCCCAAGAGCTGTCTTAACCTACTCCCAACAGAAGAGTTCACTCAAATGGAATTCAAACTCCTTACTTGTCCCATTTAAATCATGCTTGTTTTAAAAACTGCACAAGTTCTGTTTTGAGAGGTTACTCTGAGAGAAGGGTTGCTGGGAGGGGCAGTATGACCCATTGCCTCATGCTGTGTATTTCCATTATTTGAGCCAAAACCCAAAAAGGCTTAAAAATGCCTAGCTGACCCATACCGTTAACCAGCAAACCCGCCGCCACCACCACCACCAATTAGGCTTGGCTTCCTGCTTCTTCCCTCCCTGGGAGTCTAGTCTAAAAAGGGTCGCATCTGCGGGACCCCAGACGCCTCACTGACAAGCACGCCTGCCCCACGTTCTGTGCGGCCAACCACAGCCTCACGCACACAGCCGACCTTGTAGGTGACCTTCTGGCAGCTCTCGTCCACCGAGGCGTTGAGGATGGGGAACTGCAGCAATCCCAGGGAAGCGGCCTGGCAACAGAGAGGGGGTTAGCATGCGGAACTCAGGAAGGGTGTGTGTGTGTGTGGGGGGGGGGAGGGAGTGGGCGCTTGCTTATGCCACGTTCCACTGCAAGTCCCCACCAGCGGGCAGGTGACCAGGTGGCTGCCCAGCAAGGGAAACAGGGTCACCTATTAACTTAAGAATCAAAGAGAAAGCAGCCAAGTAGCTGGTAAACATCAAGATTTTACCCCGCCCCCAAAATGTTTAATTTAAAAAGATTTTTCAAAATAACTACAGGGTGGGACAAAATAGGTTTGCAGTGGTTTGTATGGAGATAATACGATAATTAACCAACAATGAACAGTGGGCCGTGTTTGGTAAAAGGCGCAGGATTTATGCGATCTGGAGAAAACCAGAGGATCAGCAGACCGTGTTGGGCACTCACACTGCGAGCCTGCTTTTGCTCCATCTTACCCACGGGCTGCCCAGGCCCCCCAATGCCTCCATTCTAAGGGGCTGCCTCACCCTGGGAGTTCCCGGGGAGCAAACCCGTGGTCCCCAGGCAGGAAGCCGTGTCCGGTGGGAAAAGGCAGAGCCAAGGGTTTCCGGGCCGGCCCTCTGCGGCTCCGTCCCGTCCTGGGCCCGGGAGGGCAGAGCTGGTGGGAGTTACTTGATGGGTCACATTTACATCTTCCCGTCCGTCCCCTTCTCCCGGACTTCTCTCCTTTCCCCTCTTCCTAACACCACCCCTCTCCGCCCTGCTCAGGCTGCCCTCCCCGCCCACACCATCTTTCCGGCAGCTGTTCTGCCATCGGGACCCGTGTGGCGCCATGCCTGTGTTAAAGCTTAAAATAGGAAAACAAAGGTGCTCAGGGGTGTCCTCAGAGAGAATCCTTCGCCCTGGCCCTCCCAGGCCCCTGAGACTTGCTATATGCATTGTTGTTACTTTGACCCAAAAAAAAAAAAAAAAAAAAAAAAATCACGTTCTGAGCTGGAGAGCTGAGGAAAGGATTATGAAGCACTCGCTAACTGCCTCCTTCATCTTTATGTAAGATTTGTCACTAAGGGTTAAAGTATCACACATAAGCACAGTGTTTTGAGTATGATCCAAATTTTGTAAAACAAACACACAAAAAACAAGGTGTATCCACGGGGAGAGGTCATTTTTGCCCATGTAAATACTTTGTAAGGTTTCCCAATGTTCTAAAACGTACATAGGCAGGAAAAAATGTTACTTTAAAACAGCCGAAACCGGTTTGGCTCAGTGGTGGACAGTCGGTCTGCGAATTGAACGGTCCCAGGTTCAATTCCGGTCAAGGGCATGTACCTTGGTTGCAGGCACATCCCTAGTAGGGGTTGTGCGGGAGACAGCTGATTGATGTTTCTCTCTCATCCATGTTTCTAACTTTCTATCCCTCTCCCTTCCTCTCTGTTAAAAAAAATCAATAATATACATTTTTTAAAAAAGTTACTTTAAAACAGATAAAGCCGCTGAGACTTAGGCCCAAAATGAAGAGCAGGCTTTCATTCAGACTGGACACCGAGGAACAGAACAAGGCTTCACCCACCGACAGGCCAGCCTCACCAGCTCCAGAGGCCGCTCTTCCAGGGGACACGGGGAGGAATATCGTTAACAGGCGGGCTATCCGGAAAAGAGCCCTGCAATGCCGCCCCCCTGCTGCAGGGAGTGGACTCACCTTTATGAAGAAGGGCATGAAGGAGAGCTTAATCCCCCGCGCAGCAGCAACGGGCTTCAGTTCCTCTCGCAGCCTCACCAGCGCGGTGAGGTCAACCTCGTCGCAGTACCCGAAGTGCGGGATCTTCAGGGCTGCGGTCATGGTCTTGACCATGGCCTTCCGAAAGCCTGGAAGACAGTGCACGTTCAATTCTTAGCTCCTTCACCCCGTCTCCCTTTAACCTAAAATAGAAGGTGCAGGTTGTTTACTCTCAACTACACGCCTCCCCACGCCTCCGTTGAGTGTCAGTGCTGAAGCCCCCAGGGCCGAGTTCAGTGACACAGCAGGTGGCCCGCGCCAGGCCGCGTGTGCAGACAGCTCTGCAGGCTGCCGGCCAGGACCCACCAGCGGCGCTCCTGCTCTATCCCTCTTCAGGAAGTCTCCCTCCTCCGTGTTCATAAACAAGTCAGACACAGTTGCTTTGAGAGCTAACAAAAAACAACGAATATTTAAGATACTTGGAGGCTTCCAACAGAACAGTTACTCACTGACACATTCCTATTCCAAGAAACTGGCTGACACAGAAATTAACAGTGTCAATTGGGAAACCAGTTATTTCATCATTAAAAAAGAAATCATATGCTGAACTTGAGCTTTCCCTTCGGTAAGAATTACAAACACCATGTTATTTAAAGAAAGAAAGAAAATTTTAAAAAAATCAAGCGCCCCGTTAGCTGCAGGGACCTACGGAGGCAGCTCCTCCCCGGAGACGGCACCGTCACCGGCTTCTCGTTACTGTTACCTGTTATGGGCTCCGTGTGGTCCTGGCCTGTGAACACCACAGGCTTTGCTACTGGGGCGGGGAGAGGCGTGTCTTTTGGTTTCGGTGGAGGCGGCATGATTTCGGCTTTGGGGGAAGGAGGTAATATCGCTCCCGTCTGCTTCTCCAGAAAGCTGAGAATGTCTTCTTTGAGTATTCTGCCATCTTTTCCTGAGCCAACAACTTCACTCAGCTTAATCTAAGAGGATACACTTACTGTGAAAAATAAAACTCCCGAAAATAAACAAATCCATCAATAAGGTCGCTAAGTGGAATTTAATGCATTGTAGGTTAAAAAAAAAAAAGTACCCTGCCCAATAAGTTAGCATAAGGTGCCGCCTCCATGATCTTAACAGAGCGGTAAGAACGCTCCCTCCTCCGTCACCCCGATACTGTGCACACTGTGCGTCTGCCATGTGGTCACTGCGGCACCTACGCTGAGGTAATCCATTCCTATTGAGGAAAACTTACATTGTTAAACATCAACTCTTCTTAAATTCCTTGCATGATTCTTAATTGTTTTTTTTCCCATTTTTAGAAACCACAGAGAAGAACTGAGGTCACCTGATGCTCTGAATGACGCAGTGTTGCATATGATTACTTCTATGTTCTGTTATGCTAAATGGTCTTCACCTTTGGACACGTTTAATGGCGAATAAACTGCCACGAAGGCTCTAGACCATGACTTAGGGCATTTCCCTGATTTGATGTTTGGCTATAAAGTCCGGGAAGGAACCGCCCTGGGCTGGCTTCTGGAAGGATGGTCGGATACCTGCTGAAGGGATGTGAACCCTTAATAACTTCTCCTTCCAGAGTGTACACATTTGTCCTTCCCTGGAACCGAGCCACTCCTCTCAAGACAGACAGACAAAGCACTGCCCCTGGGCGCACTGTGAAGGCTCAGGCCCTGGAAGGAGGCAGAGCTGGGTCCCGATCCCCAGTCCAGCTCCCTCCTCGATCGCAGGCAACTTCATCAACCTGCCCTCCCAAGTCTGCAAAATGGGGGAGTCCGCACCCCCTCCGGTGATCAGTGGGCAGCGTCTGGCTCAGGTCTCCCATGACGAAGGCAGTCAGGGGAGCCCTGGAGACAGACTTCAGAATCCTAGCTCCTCCATAGCTCTGTGACCTTGGGCCAGTGTCCTGACCTCCTCCAATCTTATCTCAGAACGGTGAAGATTACATGGAACAAGGGTAAATTCTCACTGCCGCCTTCCCGGGAGGTTAGGGACCGGCTGACAGAGGAATACCACACCAGCTCCTCGCCTCAGTTCTGGGGCTCTCCCCCCCTCCCGGGATCAGGCACATCCTGGAGATGACAGCCTTGCCTGGCCCATTGCCCGCCTCTTCCCTCCCCTCTGCTCATGCCCAGTAAAGGTGCTCACTCTTTCAATCAATCAATCGTCACATGTCCCAATCCTCGTCTCAATCTGCGCTCTTAGGGCACCTGACCTAAGACAGGAGCATTTCCAAGAGCTGCCTCAATGGCGGCCCTGGCTGTTCCAGCTCTAAGACAGGTAATGCTGTAAAAGCACGTCCCTCCGTCACAGAAGTGACGCAGTCAGTGGTTCTCATTTCTCACGAGTGCCTTTCTGCAGCTGCCACTTTTCAGTAATGGACATTCTCGTGTTTCCTTCCACCCCTCTCGTGAGCCATCCATCGGGCTGGCCAGCGCCGAGGCCAGCGCGCTGTGTCCCGGTCACACGCTGAGACGTACGTTGTTCTCCATGGCCAGGCGGCGCACCGCCGGCGTGGCCAGCGTCTTCTGGCCTTTGATCTCCTGGTGCGTGTGCTCGTCATGGGACATGGCGGGCGTCTCCACCACGTCCTCCTCGGAATCTGGTGACAAGGCAAATGTTTACCTTCAGGTGAGAATATGTAAACAAACTCTATAGTCAGAAGGCAAACTAGTTGGGCTACTTCAGAAAGGAGAAACAAGCAGGAGTGTGTGTGTGTGTGGGGTGGGGGGGGTACTGGTATCTGGGGGTACTTGGTCTCCTCTCGGGAAGCCTGGCTCTCCCAGCCTTCGCCACGAGTGCCATCTGGTTCAGTGTCTGCGACACACCGAGCCATCCATGTGCTCACCACACCTGTCAGCAGTGACCAGTGTCCTGAATCTTCATCGCTGCTTCTGTCACCACTATGACTTCCAGAAGCCTGGCCCCAGGGCACTGTCACTGTCCACACAGTTACCATGGCGACTGGTCAAAAGGTAATCACAGGTCACCCAGGACCCTTCCTATTTCCCTGACTGCCTGTAAGTTACTAAAAATGAACATCCCTTTTGATTGGCACCCAAGGGCACAAGGACAGTGGCGATCAATTGGCAAACGGGGACATGCACTTCTGTACCTTTCAAAGCTTCCGTTTCTATGTCGACGAGGGGCTTCCCCACGTAGGCCGTGTCCTCGAGGTTGTAATACAGCTTCCTAATGACCCCATCGTAACGGCTGGTGATGGTGACAGACGCCTTGTCGCTCTGGACCTCACAGATGCTGTCGAACTGAGACACAGTGTCTCCCTCCTTCACGAACCTGCAGGAGACAGGTGTCAGACCCGCCCGCGACCCAGGACCGATTAGCCGCCCCGCTGCCCCGCCGAGCTTGGTCCTATCCACCCAGGCTGGCAGCTAGTCCCAGAGGGGCACCAAAGAATGTTCCAGAAAAGACCATCATGGTTCCAGAACCTCTTTGGCATGATCTCTAATACCAACTTTTTAAAAACCATTCATAGATCTGTAATGTGAAAATTTAATTAAACTTTCAGGTTTTCTGCTCCACCCACTCCTTGGGAAAAGTTCTAAAAAAGTATTTTAAATGTGTGTTTTTCCTTCTCATTGTTTTAAACTTCAAGGGGTGCCTCTTATTTCTAGAATCAGATAGAAAAATTGATGTCCCCAGCACACATCCTGTGTAATTTCGTGCATTCTGGCTTGAGTTCTCTTCTAATTACTTCGCCTGTCCTCGTATATCGATCCCTTTATCCCAAAACCATTGTAAGTGCACTTTACCAAACGGAACAGGAAGAAGACCAACCTCAAATGCTACATGTGATTCTGAGTCTAATATCATTCTTTTTAAAATTTTATCATTTTTTCTTTATTGATTAACGTATTACATATGCGTCCTTATCCCCTCATTGTCCCCCCATACCCCTGCTTACGCCCAACCCCCACCCCCGTGTCTGCGTCCACTGGTTAGGCTGATATCTAACACCACTCTTGATGCATCTAGCACATTCCTGACGCTTTACATTAGCTCTTCACTAACAACACTACTGTTCAGTCATTCTTATGCCTTGTCTTTCTGTTCTAACCAGTTCTCAGTCCACATAACACACCACCCGTGACGGGGACATGAGGTGTGCGAGTGCCTCTGGGGTTCCGCTCCTCCAGAGAAGCAGCAATACGGACACCCGTCACCCCTCAGCAGTGACTGTCCCTTCTTTTAGCTGGAATGGGGGTGGGGGAGGCTGCGAACATCTTTAAAAAGAGGAGGGAAGGATGCCGAGACATGGCCCAGAGAAGGTGCAGCGGTGTGAACTGGCTCGGCAGCACGCTGACAGCACCAGCTAGCCTGGCCCGCTGCTTTGAAAAAGCCCGGATGCGAGACAAGTTTCTCCCTTTAAACAGAGACTGCTTATTGTCACTCCGATCTCCTAAGACTGACGCACGCATTTCTCAGGGACTTACCATTCTTTGACAGTTACTTCTCTAATGCCTTCTCCGATGTCTGAGAGTTTGAACTGAACAATCTGTCCCTGTTGACCTTCAAAGGGAAATGAGACATAATCTCCTTAAATATGTCACGTGTTGTTAAGAGGATGCTTTTACACCTAAAACCAGAAAATATTCTCCAGCAGAGGCAGAAATTATTTCATTTTACGGATAAAAATTTCACAATTGTAACAATGTAATCATCATTCATAGCCATCGAAGATTTAAATGAGTTAATCGAGGGCACCGACCCACGGCCACTGCCACGAAACTCCCGTGTTCCCGCTTCCAAATCAATGTTCTGTGACAAGGGGATGGAGGGCTTCGCCAATGACATGTTGGCACAATTGTAGTGAACAGACTGTAACACACACGTGTACCGAGACCCCAGCTTCAGCTTATGGAACTGTAATAACCGCCAACAGCCTGCTCTACCTCTCCTTGGCCTGGTATTTGGCTTCACACTCTCACTCTTAGGGGCTAAGGTCAGGCAGACCCTGCACAGAAAACTCCATGGACATTCTATTTGCCCAAACTGGGTTCTGTCAACTTACCATTAAATCTGAGTCTTTTCCTTCCACGTTCCACTTTCTACCCCTCTTTAAAGATCTTCTCCCTCTTTATAACACTGGATGCCAATGAAACTTTATTGTAATTATTCTAAGAAAGTCATATTTTTGGTTAGCAAATGGCTCCGAACTGATTTAAGAACACGCCTCTATTTTTATACTGCTAATAGCTACAACTGCGTATAATATACACAAGCAAGCTGATTAAGGGGCACGTTTTTAAACATGAGGAGGTAAGTTAGGAGGAAAGAGCCGTGTCTTTGCTGGGGAGGGCTCAGGAGCCTCGTTTCCACTCCAGGAAGCAGGCCCTCGCACAGCCTGCTGCCCATGGAAACTGCAAGGAACCTTCCGGGGAAAGTTTGGTTCTAAGTATCAAAAGCCGTAAAAGAAGGCCCCGGCTTTGAGCCAGAAACTAGTTTGAAGCCTTTTTTGCCCGAGGACAGAGAGGCACACGCAGGCTAATGCTCAAGAACAGTTACCATGAAGACCGGGACCCAACCTGAGTGATAAAAACGAGGCAGAAATGCACGATGACACCTCTGTGCAAAGCCATGTTATGCAAGGAACGTAAGGAGCGACAGCATGTGCAAGAGCATGGAACAGGTTCCTTACCAGGTTTCTAGAGAGACCGCCAGAAAAGAGGGGTTAGTGTCCTTGCAAATCTAACACTTAAAGCCTCGAGTTCTTCAGAGAGGGTAGAAGACGTGTGGGGTGTGTGTGTGTGTGTGTGTGTGTGTGTGTAACGGAGTGGTAAGAGCAGGGAGCCTTGTGTTTAGGGGCACCTCTGTCTGGTTTCATCCCACCATCCACCAGGCCAGATGAAGTCCTCCTTCAAACACCAGCCAGGCAGGGAGGACACGGGCACAAACTATCCTATCGAGCGATCAGGTCACATTTACCTGGACCGAGCGTCTGTCCACGCTGGCCATTGCACGCAGAGGAGCCAGGTGATAAAGAAGAGATGGCCAAGACAGCCCATTTCCAACTCCATGAAGACGCGCGTATCAAGGGAGTGTGAAAGAGGAGTGGGGGGGGGAGGTAGGGTGCAAAGATGATTTTAAAAAAAGAAATGCATGAATGTGGAGAGAGCAAGGAGGGCCAGGCTAGGAATAAAAGGCCCACTTTAAAAACACCACTTTGGTACGTCTGCAATGGCTTAGCGTGCCGAGGAGGTACAGACGTCCTGTCCGCGGCGATGGCGTCACACTCACCTGCAGTGGTTCTCAGCGGCCGGTGCGGGTGGCTGGACTTGAAGGACGGGGAGCCGAAGAAACACACATATTTGGGTTTCAGCGCGTGCACCACGCTCCGTGTCTGACAGTAGCGCACACAGACCTAGCGGTGAGAGGACCAAAGGAAAAGCTCTGATGCGTGGCCTGTGCGGCTTACCCCTCCGAGCATACGCACAATGTCACGTCCGTTCTAACAGTGGGACAGTCGTTACCGCTGCATAAATGATCTAGGCCCAAATCAGAATGCCTACATCAAGCGGCAGGAAGAAGCGCGGGGAGCCGGTGCCGGGGAAGCTGAGGCGGGGACGCTCTCAGGGGAGCGAGGCCAGCACCTAGGACCTCCCAGGACCTCGCCAGGTGCTATGGGGACGGCTGGCTGCTTCTCCCTATGGCCTCCTGCTCAGGCCACGCTCTCCGGGAACTCCGTCCGAACGCGGGCCTGCCCTAGTGTGTTCCTGTGGCTGTAGGACTTGTCCGTGCACAGCACGTCTCATCTTATGCTGTGCGGCTTGTCTGAGGCCTAGCTCTGTCTCTGTCTGTCCGTCCGTCCGTCCTCCACCACAGGCTGTCATTAACCTCTGTGCGGGCAGCGATGGTGTCGGTCTTATTTATATTTGCATCCTGGGTGCCTAGCACCAGACCTCCCGAAAGGCTTTGTAAGGTTAGGGGTCGGCGGCTGCGGAAAGCGCTGGGGCAGAGGGGACGGGGGAGGGGGGGAGGAACGCTGTACAAATCAGAGGAAACACTATGACGACCGGACGGCCACTGCCCAGTGCCAACCGTCGTGGGGAAGCGGGGGACGGCGGGGCGGTGGTGTGGGACGGAGCTGCATGGAAACACAGGCTGGGGAGACACTGGTGCAGAGCCGGGAGGCAAGGGCACGCCCCAGGGCTGAGCTGGAGCAGGCGTGTCCCGGGTTGGCCCCGGGGAAGGACCCGGGCGGCTCTGCTTTGCTCCAAGGTCCTCTTCCTAGACCTTAAGTCCCTGGGGAGCGGCGGCGCGGGGTCGCGCCTGGCACCCAGTGGGTGCCCCTCAGTGCCCAATGGCTGCATCCCCAGGGCCTGTCACCCCGCCCCGCACCCAGATGCTGCTGCTCAGGGACAGGCCAGCCGGGCTTCGGGGTGCGGAGGGTGCGGAGGGCCGCCGGGCCCCGCCGGGTGCGGGGAGGGAGCGGGTCTCCACGCCCTCGGCCCCCACCTCCGGTGCCCTTCGCTCTGCGGGCGTCCCCCCGCCTCTCCATCACTGTGCCCGGGGCGCGTGGCCCTCAGGGGACACCCGCACACACCGCCCCGCCACGGCCGCGGACCCCGCACTCCTTCCCGACCCGCTCACCAGCCGCCCGGCTCGCTGGCTCCATGTCCGCAGCACGCGCGCTGCGGCCATCTTACTCCGGAAATACAGCGGCCCCGCGGCTGGGGGCGTGGCCTCTGCCCGGGCCACCTATCAGGACCCGGGAAACGCACCTCCCCCTGAGCGACCAATGAGGACGAAGGAGCGGCCCACCGGACAGCCAATCAGGGAGAGGGGCGGGGCCGGAGCGACGCCCACGGCGGGGCGGGGCGGGAGGAGGATGCCAGGAGGCAAACAGCTGGGCGATGGGGAGCCGGTGGGAGGAGGGCCGCCCAGGTTTCCTTTCGGGGGACAGTGTGGGTCCCGTGCACCCCCGGTCATCTCTGTGGTCCATGCAGGGGGCAGGGGAAGGGCGATGCCAAAGGAATGTGACTGGAGACAGGGATGCGACTCAGACCTGAGGATGTGCAGGAAAATGCCACCCCCACCCCCACCCCACCCCCTGCCTCCAGCCCATTGCAACCGCCCGGGTTGCTTGGTGCCAGGCTTCGACCCACTGGCGGAGTCACGAGCCTGTACTGAACTACATCCCGACGACTGGCAGCTCACTCCCGGCGAGCATGCCTGACCATCTGAACTGGCTGTTCCATATGCTTTCAGAGAAAGGTGAACCAGGTTACCCTGAAGTCTAAAATAAGCACGTAACCAGCACGTTCTTCCCTTCTCAGCACAGGACATTTATGTCGCAGACATGTGAACCTGCTGTATTTGCCTCTTGGAGAGATGCCGAATTTGGAACCAGGAAAGATAAGATCGGGGCTTGCACAGATAAGTTTCCGGGATGACATTGGTCTGTTTTTGCCTCTAACCCAGAACGAAAATCTGCACAGGTGTCTAAAGAAATACAAAGAACCGAAACCGGTTTGGCTCAGCGGTAGAGCGTCGGTCTGCGGACTGAAAGGTCCCATCAAGGGCATGTACATTGGTTGCGGGCATATCCCCCGTAGGGGGTGTGCAAGAGGCAGCTGGTCGATGTTTCTCTCTCATCGACGTTTCTCACTCTCTATCTCTCTCCCTTCTTCTCTGTAAAAAATCAATAAAATATATTAAAAAAATAAAAATAAATAAATAAATAAAAGAGGCCCTGATCTTTAAAAAAAGAAATACAAAGAGAACACTGTAAGTCTTCAATTTTGAAGATTAGTGGCTGTGAAACAAAATCTCAGGTATTACACAAATTAAATGTCTAATATTATCTAATCTCACCCTTTTTTTGCTTACTTGCCTTTCAGTGTATTTCCTTCTCTCTCTCTCTCTCTCATCTCTCTCTCACACACACATACACACACACACAGACAACTGTGAGCAACAAATCAGTCATTATCTATAAAAGAAAAATCTAAGAAAACAGTTTATAAGCAGTTAATATATTTGATAATACTACATGCAAGTGTTTACATAAAACACTTTGAAGTGAATTATTTCCCCCCCTTGGGTCCCTATACCACCTTCTCCTCTAATGTCCCTTTATCCCTGCCTTCTCCCAAGAAAATATCTAGTTTATTTCCTTTCTTTTATCCTCTCTTACCTCAATGGATTACTGCTTCCAAATTCAGTATTATGTTTTCTCAACTTTCTTTCCAAAAGCAAGAGACATGCCACCTACTCACTAGTCAATCCTTTCCCTTTCCCTCAAAAGAGACAAAGAACTGATTTCTCTTATTTTTTTAAACTAATAAACATGATTACGTCCCAGCAATTCCTCTCCTAGGTGTCTACCCAAGAGAAAGGAAAACATATGTCTACACAAAGGCTAGTACAACCATGATTGCAATACCATTGTGCATAATAGCCAAAAGCTGGAAACACCCCAACTTTCCTTCAACAAGTGAATAGATAAACAAAATGTGGCACATCCATATCATGGGATAGTATTCATCCTTAACAATGACAAAAGCACAGACTCATGCTTTAACCTACATGAACATCACATTAAATATATATATATATATATATAATTTTAGGGAGAGGGAGAGAGAAATGTGGATAGATGTGAGAAACATCGATTGGCTGCCCGCTGTGCGCCCCCTGCTGGGGATCCAGCGCTGCAGCCTGGGCCGGTGCCCTGATGGGGAGGGAACTGGCACCAGCCACCTGCTGGGACCTTTGGGAGCCTGGGAACGGTCCTCCTCTGGGCCTGTGCCAGAGTCCCTCTAGGGCAGTGTCTCAGCTGCACTGGACATTCATAGCAACGGGGGTCGGACTAGCAGACAGGTTCCCATGCTACCGCCCAGGGCAGGCCCCGGGAGTCTGCGTCTGGGTGACACAGGCGCTATGGGTTAGCCGATGCCATGTGACTGATAAGCTAAGAATGCATACCTGCCAATGGGTTTGTTCAGACATGGGTTCTATTACATATATATATTTTTTAAAAATATGTTTTTATTGATTTCAGAGAGGAAGGGAGAGGGAGAAACACCAAGGATAAAAGAGAATCATGGATCAGCTGCCTCCTGCACACCCCACACTGGGGATCAGGCCCACAACCTGGGCAGGTGCCCTTGACCAGAGTCGAACCCGGGACCCTTCAGTCCATAGGCCGACGCCCAACCACTGAGCCACGCCGGCTGGGGCTGTATCTTTAATTTTAACCATGATCATGAAGAACTGCCGGATTATTTTCCAAAGTGGCCGCAGCAGTATGCGAGAGGAAAAGAGACGATAATAATACTCGATACCCAGGGCACACGCATTTCAAGGAACAGGCTGCGGACGGGGCCCTGGGACCGGGGGAGGAGGTGGGGGGGTGCAGGGCCCGGGACCCGGAGGAGGAGGCCGGGGGGGTGCAGGGTCCCGGGACCCGGAGGAGGAGGTGGGGGGGTGCAGGGCCCCGGGACCCGGAGGAGGAGATGGGGGTGTGTGTGTGTGTGCAGGGCCCGGGACCCGGAGGAGGAGTTGGGGGGGGAGGGGTGTGTGCAGGGCCCGGGACCCGGAGGAGGAGGCCGGAGCGTGCAGGGTCCCGGGACCGGGGTTGGGGGACGTGCAGGGACCGGGACCCGGAGGAGGAGGCAGGGGCGTGCGGGGTCCCGAGACCGGGGAGAGGGAGGAGGCCGGGGGGTGCAGGGTCCCGGGACCCGGAGGAGGAGGCCGGGGCGTGCAGGGCCCCGGGACCGGGGAGAGGGAGGAGGACGGTGAGTGCAGGGCCCGGGACCGGGGGAGGAGGCCGGGGCGTGCAGGGCCCCGGGTCTCCGTCCTCAGCCCTAAGTCAGAGGCTCCAGCTGCGGGCGCGGCGGGCAGCCCGGCGGGCAGCTGGAGCGGCCGCCCCGGGAGGAGGCCGGCATCCGCGGCGTCGCTGTCGGCGCCCCGGCAACGTCCGGGGGACGCACTTCCGGCGGCGCTGGGCCGCGATTGGCTGGATCCGGCCGCGCAGGCGCACTGGCTGCGGGGCGGGCGGAGCGGGTGGAGCCGGCGGACCTGGTCCCGGAGCCTCCGGTCCCGCCTCTCCGCCGCCGCGGCCCCTGGGGACCCGCTTCGGAGCTGCGGGGCGCGGGCCGGCGTGTCCTCCTCGCCGCGCGCGGGCGGAGGCCGGGCCCGCAGGCGCCCTCCATGGCGGGGCCGCGGGCGGAGGTGGACGGCGGGCTCCTGGAGGGGGTGAGCGCGGGGCTCCCGGGAGGGTGGGGGTGGGCTGTGCGGTGTCGCGGGGAGCTGTGGGGTCTCACCATCTCTCTCGCAGGGCGGCCAGATCCTGAGGGTGTCCACGGCCCTGAGCTGCCTCCTGGGGCTCCCGCTGCGGGTGCAGAAGATCCGGGCCGGCCGCAGCACGCCCGGCCTGCGGTAACGGGGCCCGGGGGTTCGGCTGGGGGATGGCAGGGCCAAGGGGGTGCGGCTGGGAGACTGGGGCGGGGGCGGGCACAGGCCCTGAGGGCGCGCTGCGGAGCCTGGGGCTGTGGACGCAGGAGCCCGGCAGTGATGCTGAGCAGATCCGGGCTGCAGGCTCCCTCCCCCCACCCCAGGGCGGGCTTCAGCCTGGGCCGTTAGCCGTGGCCTGGGTGGTTCCGTCTTGAAACCCTCCAGGGGCAAACTTAGAAAACAGGACCCAACGCCCCTCCCCTCTGACAGCTGTCACTGGGCGTGGGGGGGACCGGGGAGGAGGGGAGGACAGAAAGATTCGCTTGGGGTGATGGGCACCAGGCCCGGTACAGATGATGTTTTGTTGACTTGTGCCCTTGAAATCTGCATGACTTAATGAACCTCCGTCACCTCATTACATTCAATTAAAAACCAATAAAAAAAAGAGGAAGAACACAAGGCCTGTTCCCTCTGGCTAGAGTGCTCTCTTTCCTAAGTCTCTTTACCAAAGCGTCATCTTTCAAAATGCTTCCCCTCCGCTGGGGCAGCGGGGAGCCAGAGGGACCCCCCTTTACACAGCACATTGTCAGATCAGATCCGGTAGGGGCCAAGAGCTGGTCCGGCCGCTTTCACTGAGGCCACTGGGAAGCTGTGAATAGGACCAGGAGGAAGGCCACGGGCGGGGAGGGGGAACACGCTGACCTCCTGTCTGGAAGCGAGGCGCGCCCTCCGGAAGGTTCCGGGGATGCACCTGTGAGAGAGGGCCCAGGAGGAGGCCGGACCGATGCCTCTGTGAGCACTCTGCCTGTGGTCCATGGCAGGGGGTCAGCTCTCTCTCAGCCTCTTCCTTTACCCACACGCCATTTGGAAATGATTACGAGGCAGCAAGGGAGATGCTGAAGACTCATTCCCTTTGCCAGGGTTTGCAGCAACCCCTTTGCCCTCGGGGACAGCCAGTTCCTAAGGTTGCATTGGGTACATTATTGTTTTGCTGGGGCAGCCGAAACAACATCCCACAGTTTATGTTCCCACAGTTCTGGAGGCGGAAGTTCAAGATCAAGGTGCCGGCAGGGTTGGTTTCCTGGAGGCCCAGAGGGAAGGGCTCTGTCCCAGGCCTCTCTTCCTGGCTTGGAGGTGGCCACCCTCTTGAATCAGGGCCTTCCTTCATTCCGTGCCGCCCCCTGGTGGTCATAGCTTGTGATCTAACTCCTAGTCCTCAGAGTCGAACTCCCGAGCAGACACTTTGCATATTAGCCTTTTATATATATAGATGGTCTGGCAGGATCCCTTAAAATGATGCCTGCTAGCAAAGTCCAGGTGCATAAAGCCCCTGAGGACGTGCTGACCTCGGGAGATGTCATAGCAGTGTCTGTGGGTAGGCCTGGCTGTTTTCCTGCCCCTGCGGTTTTGGCACCAAGCTGGACACGCAGGACAGTCCGAATGCACGTGCTCTGACACAGTATTTTGATCCGAAGGCCTCAGCACTTATCCGGACTGGAGATGATTCGGGACCTGTGCGCTGGGCAGCTGGAGGGGGCTGACATCGGCTCCACAGAGATCATGTTTACTCCCGGGAAGATCCAAGGCGGGAGCCACACGGCGGACACCAAGACGGCCGGGTGCGTGGCTCTCCCTCCCCCCACGTCCGGGCTTTGGTGTTAGACCCGGGTTCCCACGCAGGTCCCACCCGCACCAGGCACCTGGCGGAGCCCCTCTGAGTTTCCCTTCCTCACTTTCCTTGTAAACTTCTTTGTTGGCTAAGGTGTTGCATATGTGTCCTATTCCCCCACTCATGCCCTCAGGGGTCGAGACTCTGAGGTGTGGAATTGTTTGTTCATCGCAGCGGTGGCTGTAGCTGGGATTTTCTCACGTGTACGGTGTAGCACCCTTGTTTCCCTGCTTCTTATCAGTGGAAACTGCACGTGTGAACACGACTGTGCTCCTGCTGTGGGGTGGTCCTCGCCTCTGCCTGTGCGTGTCCCTCGTGCTTGACTCACGCCGATGACAAACCCCGTTCTGCTGCTTTTAGTCTGGGCACGAACTCGGTTTTCCTTCTCTCCGTTGGCGAAATGGGCACATCCCACTTACACTGTGTCTTTAAGACGGAGGGTTTCGTCATTCAGTTACCGAAATGGTTTTTACCTTTAGCCTCGAGGGTGAGCACCTGCCGGCCCCGCTGCCTGTGCTCCCGCCGCCGGCGATGGGTCAGGATCGGGGTCACCTGCTGTCAGCTAAGCCCGCTCTGCCTTCCCCTCAGGAGCGTGTGCCTCTTGCTGCAGGTGTCCCTGCCCTGCATCCTGTTCGCCGCCGCGCCCTCCGACCTGCGCCTGCGAGGCGGCACCAACGCCGAGATGGCCCCGCAGATCGACTACACGGCCATGGTGAGGGCCCCCGGGGCGGGCACCCCACACGCCCTTCCCTTCCAGTGCCCGGAGCGGTTTGTGTGCATTCCCGTGTGTTTCTTCACGGCGGGCTTAAGCTCGCCTTATAGTTAGTGTTGTGGCCTAGATGTGTTCCTGGTGAACCCCTTAAAAAGCTCAAGTGTCACGATGATACGAATCCTCTTATTATGCAAATCAGCCCGGGTCTTAGGATTTGGAAGGGAAAAACTCAAAGCCAGAGTGAAACACCACACTTGACGGGTGCTGCGAGGATGTGGAGAGAGCGGAACCCCGTGCCCTGTCGGTGGGAACCCAATGTGGTACAGCCACCGTGGGAAGCAACATGGAGTTCCCTCAAAAATTAAAAATAAAATGACCGCCTGATCCAGTCATCCCACTTCTGGGGATCTGTCCAAGGGGATTGATAAATGAAGATCTCTGAGAGAGCTTGTGTTCATATAGTACTATCCGTAATAGCCAGAATGCGGAAGCAACCTCAATGTGTGTTATATTAAAAAAAAAAAAAAAAAAGTGAGAAGGCGGAGTACAATCCCGTTCAGCAGAAACCCCCTGACTCCTCCCGGTGCGTGCCAGGGAGCGGGCAGGAAGCCGCGGCCTCGGGCAAAACCGTCGTCGGGGTCAAGGACCCTGAGTGGCGGTTTTTATTTTCATGACGCAGACCGCGCAGCCCTGGCTCATTAGATGGTAACTGACTCTCAGCTCCCTGCCCCTTTTTCATTGGCAAACGAGCCAGCCTTCCCAGCGTGTGTCACTCTGACCCTCGTTCCTGGCTCGTCTCCGTGCGGAGCCCTCGTGTCTGATAAATGCACTCGTGGAATCGGTGACTATTGGTTGTTAAGGCAACAATGCTCTCATGTTTCAGGTTTTCAAGCCAATTGCTGAGAAGTTCGGTTTCACGTTCAATTGTGACATTAAGATGCGGTAAGCGGCTTACTTCGTGGCGGTCTGACCCCCCCTCACGGCAACAGGGTCGGCGGGTTAGACGGTGGAGGGCAGCACGGCGTTTCCCGCAGGAGGCAGCTGAGCGCTGTGTGTGCAGCTGCAGGAGCGTGGGGCTTGGAGGCAGCGGCCCAGGATCCGCTCGTGTGCGGGTGGGTTTCAGGGGGATTCTGCTTGGAGGCAGCACAGACCTCATGGCGACGTGGCAGTCTAAGCAGAGTCCCGGGGGCTGTCGTCCCCAGGCTGGGACGTGGTGGATGAGGAGCTTTCTGTGCGGTGCCGTCAGGGTAGTGAGTGCGTGCCGCGCTGTTTTGCAGGGGCTACTACCCGAAAGGGGGCGGCGAGGTGATTGTCCGGGTGTCTCCCGTCAAACAGCTGGCCCCGGTCACCCTCACCGAGCGCGGCTCCGTGACCAGGATCTCCGGGAGGGCCTTCGTGGCCGGCGCTCTGCCGTTCAAGGTAAGGCATCCGTTTGTAAAAATTATTGTTGTTCTTTACTCATTTCAGAAAGGAAGGGAGAGGGCGAGAGGGAGAGAGACATCAACGATGAGAGTCATTGATCTAAAGCAAATCTTCCAGATGTTCTTAGCAATGTGTGACATCTTGATGCTCTAGCAACTAAACTTGGAAATTATTGGGAGAATTAATTTTTTAAATATTGAGATTTAAAAAACTTTTTCTTACAATTCCGTGCTTTCTACTCAGGCAAGTCAAGCCTTTCTGTAACGCACATGAAGGCTGCTTGTCTCGAGGGTGGGAAGACAGTTGTCACCGTCCGCATGAACTTGGTTCGCTCTGCGTCTCTGTTTCGCCCAATCAGGTGGCGAAGGAGATGGCGGCGGCGGCCGTGCGCTGCCTGCGGAAGGAGTTCCGGGACCTGTACGTGAACGTCCAGCCGGTCCAGGAGCCCCGGGACCGCGCCCTCGGCAACGGCAGCGGCATCATGTGCGGCTCCGGGCTCTCCCCCGCCCTGGGCTGATTGTCTCACTGACACGCGAGATTGGAGGGCGGTTTGTGTGTAGCTTCTGTTGAGGTTTATAGTTTTAGGAAGATCGGTCTTAAAGGGCATTGACACCCGAAACAGCTGTGCAGTCAATGAAGACGGTCATTTTATTCCGGATTTTTTTCTGAGGATGGTTTGCCTTTATCGCATTGTTTGCATGCTGAACTTCACTGCTGACACTCATCAGAAGTTGGCCTTTGAGGCTGATCTGAGAGAAATATTTCCCGTTGCTTCCCTGTACCTCCGTGTGAAGCCGCTTTACAAACGAATATATAGATATGGCCAAGATATTTTAGAAAAGAAATAGAGCCCTAGCTGGTTGGCTCAGTGGATAAAGCGTCGGCCTGCGGACTGAGAGGTCCCGGGTTCGATTCTGGTCAAGGGCATGTACCTTCGGTGCAGGCTCCTCCCCGGCCTGGGCCCCTCCCTGGCCGCGCCCTGGTCGGGGAGCGTGCAGGAAGCAGCCAGTCGATGTGTTTCTCTCACATTGATATTTCTCTCCGTCTTTCCCTCTCTCTAAAAAAGCAATGGAAAAATATCCTCCTGTGAGGATTTAAAAAAAAAGAAAGAATTAGAAATATAACTACTCCATTGACCTAATTAGGAGTTAGTGATTCGAGTGTTATAAAAATGCTTGTTTGAGGTGTAAAAGTCTCTTTTGTGGGTATTTAAACGTTAAGAATTCCTGTTAAAGGGGTCATAGTAAGTGCATGTCCAGAATGGTAACACTGTCTGAACCTAAAAACAAGGCGGAGCATCTCTGGAGAGACCTTTCCCTCTCAGATCTCCCTCCACCGCTTACGGCACAGCGTGGCTCCCGGGGGCTCTCCCCACGGGGGCGGGTGGGCATCGAGGGCGAGGGCCCCCACGCCCCCTGAGGACGGAGAACGCCGGTCACGCCGCTCTCCGCGTGAAGAGCTCACGTTCGCTGCAGCCCAGCAGACAATGCTCCCGCCGGCCAGCCGGCCCGTGCGCTGGTGGCGAGTGCGGCTGGGCTGTGGGGCTCGGGCACTCACTCCTCTCTTCTCTGCAGCATTGTTGCTGAGACGTCCACGGGCTGCCTGCTGGCGGGGTCGGCGCTGGGCAAACGAGGTACGAACGGAGGGGTCTCCGGTGCCCGGCGCCGGTTAAACTCTCTGTCGGGAGGAGTGATGGGTGTCAGGCTGAGGAGGAGCCGGTTGGCTGGTTCTGTTTAGAGCCCATTGTGTTTGCAGTCTTTCCCCGGCTTTCCGCCTTGAGAGGTTTCACACCCAGAGAAGAGCTGCAGGGCGGGTGAGGGCCCCTACCCCATTCTCACTGGCCCACCGTCCTGAGCATCGAGCTGCAGGATCGCCGAGGACGGCAGCATCACAGCGCCGTCCTTACGCCCAAGAACGTGTCTGCCGCCCCCAGACACCCCAGCAGCCTCCAAAGCCTCTCAGTGCAAAGTGGGGTTTTCAAAAATACAAGTTTTTACTGATGACAGAGAGAGAAACATCAATGATGAATCATTCGTCAGCTGCCTCCTGCACGCCCCCATGGGTATCTAGCCTGCAGCTGGGCATGTGCCCTGACCAGTTATTGAATGTGACCTCCTGTTCACAGGTCAACGCTAACCACGGAGCCACTCAGGCTGGGCAGGTTTTCCTTTTTTCTCCTTTTTTTAAGCACAGACAGCATTTGGTCATCATGTCTGTTGAGCTTCTTTTTACTACAGAATAGTCTCTTCACCTCTTCTTTTCCCCCTCCTTTTGTGATGTGGACATTTTAGAAAGTCCAGACCGTTTTCTCCTAAGATGTCCCACCCTCTGGGTCTGCTTGGCCGTCTCTCGTACTGAGACAGTCAGACACCGAGTGCTCAGGAGGTCACACACCCGGAAAGCTCCTGTCCTGAAAGCCGCCCTGCACGCACGGAGGCCCGGAAAACGCCGCATCCGTGCCGGCGGAGTCTCCGAAGCCACGTCCCTGCCTCCTGGCTAACGCAGCTTTTCGCCGTGCCCTCTAGGTGTCGGCGCAGACAAGGTTGGCATCGACGCGGCCGAGATGCTGCTGGCGAACCTGCGGCACGGCGGCGCGGTGGACGAGTACCTGCAGGACCAGGTGGCCGCTCCGAGGACACGCCGGGGCCTGCGGGGCTTGAACGCTTGGTCGAGTGCACATTTTAATGCTGACTTCCAGGCCCCGAGGGCGTGGCCTGGTTGTGTGAGTCGTTAAAGTATTAGCCAGCGTGTGAGCTGTTTCTCCTTTCTTCCTTTTCCAAAAGCTGATCATTTTCATGGCCCTGGCCAACGGCGTTTCCAGAATAAAGACGGGACCCGTGACCCTCCACACGCAGACGGCCATCCATTTTGCCGAACAGCTAGCAAAGGTGAGCCTTCCGTCAGAAGCAGCAGCTGCTTTCTAGTAGAGCCGATGTGGGGTCAGATTTTAAGAAACAGAAACCTCGTTGTCTATAAATTCTACATTATTTTATAAAACTACATGATAAAGACTGTAGTAAAGAGGACATGGGCTGCATGTTCCTGAAAAAGGCAGAAAACAAAGCTGTGTGCATTTAACCTTTAAAAAAGCAGAGAACCAATTGTAAGAGAGGAGAAGAATATGTAAATGCTTCATTTTTTAAAAAAAACTATGAAATTAAAAGGTGTTTGATGTGAACCGCCCACCAGTTAAGCTTATGGTGTTTCTTCTCACCCACGCACTGAGCCCTCCCTGGTTTCAGGCAAAGTTCACGGTGAAGAAGTCCGAGGAGGAAGGAGACGCCTCCAGAGACGCCTACATCATCGAGTGCCAGGGGATCGCCATGACGAACCCACACCTGTAGGGGCTCCGCCTGGGAACCACCGCGGCCACCTGTGTCACACACTCACTGTGTCACCCACCCCGCAGCACGCCGCCCCGGGTCCCTGAGAAAGGACCCCTGACACTCCAGGCCGCGTGCGGAGCGTCTAGACCTGCTGGGGCCGTGCGGTCAGTCCGTCTGACCGCGTGTCTGCGGCCTGTGGGCCGGAGCTGTCCACGGGCGGGTGTCTGACCGCTGGGACCGGGGGAAGTGTGGTATAAAGTGTTCTGTTCTCCGAGCCACGTGCTAGTCTTTCTTACGTGATGAGTGAAGTTGGGGTGTCAGGGTGTTGGGCAGCCGGGACACCTGAGGGGTCTGACTGCTCCCCGCTCACACCCTCGGCGTGCCATCGACTCCGTGAGCCTCTCATCCTAACCACGCACCCGCTCCCTCGCCGGCCTGGGTGACGTGCCGACGTGAACCCAACAAGGAGAAGTGCGGGACGTGCCCGGCTGCCCTTGTCGTGCTCGCAGGCCGCGCTGGCCGCGGTCAGACCCGGCGTGCCTCTCTCCGCGCGGCTCTCGGCCCAGCCACGCCCACACTGCGTTCCTCCTGCCCCGCGGGCACCAGTTTGGACCTGAGCTAAAGGGGCCAACTGTGCTCTGGGAAGGGACGCGTTAAAACTCGGTTCTGTCCGGAACTTCAGCCCGGGGTGCTGGGACTGTCCACAACCTGGACCAGAGGGTGGCGTTTCCACACTCGGCGCCAAGCTGGTCTGTACAGAACAGCCGCGCGAAGTGCACTTGTCCTGCTTCACTGTACTGAAGGGAGGGAGGGAGGGAGGGAGGGAGGGAGGGAGGGAGGGAGGGAGGAGGAAGGGAGGGACGGAGAGGGAGGACGGAAACAGGAAGTCAAACATCGAAAACGTGCAAGGCGGCTGTCTAACGGGCATGAGGGCGCCCTGTACACAGGGTGGGCAACAGCAGGTGAAATTCCCAGCCGCCATTACCCAAAAGGTAAGGCCTAAGGGAAGGAACAAAGGAATAATGAACAGTAGAAAGATAAATCATACACATGAGTAGTAAATAGTGAATACACAATATTCACTATTATTTACTCGCTATTGTATTTCTCCAGGGAGGTTTACAGAGATGCGGCTCCCAGTTAACCCGAATTCTGACGGGGTAACTGGGGGATACCCAGGAGTCTCTGTTTCTAAAAGGACCCGAGGCGAGTGACGGGTTGGGACTGGCTACCTGACACCTGGAAGCAGCCCTGGCCTAGGAGGCTCCTGGCTGGGGGGCAGCTGGCAGGATCCAGCCTGACGTGGGAAGAGGGAGGCGCAGGTTGGTCGGCCCTTACCCCGTTGTCGCAGGGTCAGATTCCAGAATCTCCAGTGGGAAGGCAGCGTTGATTCAAAGTGCAGGGCGGTCCCCGCTCAGGTTACCCGTCTAGGGGTGTGGGGGAGGGTCCTGCTGGCTGGTCCTGTGGGCAGGAGGAGGCCAGGCTGCAGCATGACTCTCTCTTCTTGCCCTCTCAGGGCCCCCCAAAGCCAACAGAGCAGCAGATGCGCATTGGCGACAGCTCCACTGCCTCCTAGTGGTCAGCTTCGGTGACCACACCAGCCCTGGAGCCTATTTTTTGATCGCCCACAGAGTGTGAAATGCTTAGAACTCTTAGACCTCCATTCATTTATAAAATTAGAGGCCCAGTGCATGAAACTCAGGCACTGGTGGGATCCCCTGGCCGAACTCCCAGACAACTCCCGGTGGAGGGGACAATTTGCATATTATGCTTTTTTTTAATTTTTAATATATTTTATTGATATTTTACAGAGAGGAAAGGAGAGAGATAGAGAGCTAGAAACGTCAATGAGAGAGAAACATCAACCAGCTGCCTCTTGCACACCCCCTACCGGGGATGTGTCCGCAACCAACGCACATGCCCTTGACCGGAATCAAACCTGGGACCTCTCAGTCCACAGACCGACGCTCTACCACTGAGCCAAACCGGTTTCGGCCATACTAAGCTTTTTATTATATAGGATGAAGACTAGAATCTGATACTCTTTAGAAAAAAAAACATATATATATATATATATATATATATATATATATATATATATATATATATGTTTTTATTTATTCCAGAGAGGAAGGGGGAGGGAAACATCAATAATGAGATAGAATCATTGATCAGCTTCCCCCCTGCACGCCCCCTACTGGGGTTGGACCCCCGCAACCCAGACCTGTGCCCTGACTGGGAATTGAACTGTGACCTCCTGGTTCATGGGTCAACTCTCAATTACTGAGCCACACACCGGCCGGGCAGAGTCTCTGATATTCTTCCCGGCTCTGCCATTCTTTGTCTATTCAACCAGACCTGATTCCCATTTCTAGAGGAAACATTGGGTCCTTACAGAACCCGTGAAGTGGCAGTGCTGAGAGGAAAAGCCATCGGAGTCACTCTGCTGCCCGGGGCAGGACACGGGAAAGCAGCCAGTGTGTTCCTGCCCAAGGAGGGCGGTGACGCTGCGGTGCCAGGAGGCCGAGGGGGAGGCCATCGGCTCCTGAACCGAAGCCGTCTTCCCCCCGCCCCCCAAGAGCTGCCTTATCGGCCGGATCCTGGTGCACGTCCTCAGCGGCTTTCTGCCTTGGAGAAAGGGAGCCCATTGATGAGACACCCGAGGCCCCTCACGCCGGCCGAGCGAAGCAGCAATGACGTCGAATTCCTGAGGCGCTTTTGAGCCGAAATAGGGCACGGCGTCTCATCTCACGCCTGCCCCGGCTCAGGTGTCGCCCGCTCGGCCACCCCCGAGAACACAAAGGGGAAAGGCTCCCTATCGGGCCGGGAGCCGGGAAACCTGCCCTTTCCCACCCTCTCACCTTTCTGGCCGCCCGGGCCTCCCCCACAGCAGGGAGGGTGTGGACAGCTGGCCCCGATGGAAGGCAGGATCCTCAGGCACTAACGCTTGCAGCTGAGATTTTTTTTCCTCTCAAATGCCCTTCACACCCCTCAGCTGGCTTTGCCTATTCAATCTCCCAGTTGTTAATTCTTTTTTTTTTTTTTTTTAAATGATTTTAGAGAGAGGGAGGGAGAGAGAAACATCGATTTATTGTTCTACTTATTTATGCACTCATTGGTTGATTCTTTTGTTGTTGCTAATCCTCACCCGAGGATATTTTGCCTTGATTTTTAGAGAGAGTGGAAGGGAGGGGGAAAGACAGAAACAGAGAAACAATGATGTGAGACACAGTGAGTGGTTGCCTCCTGCATGCACGCCGACCAGGGCCAGGGATTGAGCCTGCAACCTACGTACGTGCCCTTGACCGGAATAAAACCCGGGACCCCCTCCGTCTGCAGGCCGGCGCTCTCTCCACTGAGCCAAACCGGCCAGGCCATTGGTGGATTCTCGCATGTGCCCTGACCAGGGGTGTGGACAGCTGACCCTTATGGCACAGGGGGCACTAATGCTTGCAGTTAAGATTTTTTTTTCCTCTCAAATGCCCTTCACATCCCTCAGCTGGCTTTGCCTATTCAATCTCCCAGTTATTCATTCTAAAAAAAAATCATTTTAGAGAGGATGGAACCCATAACCTTGGCATGTCAACACGGTGCTCTAACTAACTGAGCCACCCAGCCAGGGCCCACTATGCACTCCTGATGCACTGACTTGCAGATGTCAAGTACCAAGCAGGTACTCTTCATATATATATATATATATATATATATATATATATATATATATAAAATTGATTTCAGAGAGAAAGGGAGAGGGAGCTCCCTTGATGAGAGCGAATCGTTAAGAAAATCAGCTGTCTCCTGCAACCCAGGCATGTGCCTTTGGCCGGAATCGAAATCTGGGACCTTCAAACCTGGGACCCTTCAGTGCACAGGCCAACGCTCTATCCACTGAGCCAAACCAACCAGGGCCCGAGGGGGGACTCTTCTTGGCGTCCACTTAGCGATGTCTCCATGGGGACCTCTCTCCCTGGAGTTTGTTCCTCTGATGGCCCTTCCCCCTTTCCCATCCTGTCTGCTCCCTGGATGCCTTACCCTCCCCCCGGGAGGCGGTGGATGGCATCACTGAGTCCAGAAGGAGCAGAGCAGGTGAGCGAGCCAGGCTCAGGGAAGCCACGGACGGGCCAGGAGCGAGTCACAGCAGAGAAGGAAGGGCGCCTCCACCACATGGTGGGAAAATGTTCCCGAGAGTCAGGGGTCAAGGGCACGCTATTTATTAAAATATATTTGTATGGACTTCAGAGAGGAAGGGAGAGGGGGAGAGAAACATCAGTGATGAGAGAGAATCATGGACAAGCTTGCCTCCTGCACACCCCCCAATGGGGATGGAGCCCGCACCCAGGGCCTGTGCCCTGAGTGGGAATGGAAACCTGAAAATTGTTCCCCCACGTTTCCCTCGCGGCTCCTCACAGCCTCGCCTTCTGCCCCTCCCCGGGACCTGCGTCTCAGCCGAGGCAGGCACGACCTCGCAGTCTGACTCCCGTGTGTCCCTGGCCTGCGCTCCGAGGCCGCCTCGCGGAGGGAGGTCTTATTGTCCCGCATGGGAATCGCAGCGTCTGTAACAAACCGCATGCTCTCGACAAGGATTTTAAGATGTTTGCTTTTCCAGGCCAGGGATGGTTTTAAAAGTTAACCTGTGCACCGTCATGATCACCTGTGTGCCCGTCGTATGTCCACAGGCTGCCACGCCGTCCCAGCGTTCACACGCACGCATCCCTGCCTGGCACCGCGGAGGACACGGGGACCCAGCGTGCGACCCGCGTGTCTGGACGAAGCGGAGGCGGGATGACATCATGGGACACAGGGCGGACGGATGTTTTCCAGGGACTTACGCACAGAGGGTGATGGGAGGCGGGCGTCACTGCAGCCCGAGGGGGCAGGCTGGTTAGAGCGGGGCCTGCCAATCCCCTCCTCAGCACCTGCACGCTGTCATTGCATAGTGCTGCTCATCCGAGTGATTATTACCATATGGATTTTACTATAATTTATAAAATTTAAAACCTGGTTGTATAAGATTTGTA